GCCCTTTGTGGAGACCATGGTTAGTGAAGCACATCTATCGCATCCACTCACCCTAATTTATACCTTGGACACTAGGGTGATGCCTTCCCTGAGCTTACAAAGAAGCAAGGCGACATCAAAGAGATCCTTGACGAGGAGGAAGAGTCATTCTCACGTACCCTTGATCGGGGCGAGAAGCTCTTTGACCAATACGCGACACGTACGAAAGATCTGGGTGTCAATGAGCTCAATGGTGCAGACGTATGGCGGCTGTATGACACGTACGGGTTCCACGTCGACCTCACACGGCTCATGGCGGCGGGGAACTCATCTCATCATCATCTGGTATACCGGCGGATGCAAACTTTGGCGTGCTCGAATCGTATTCGGGCATCATAATCCATCTATCTCGCCCGGCTTGTAGTGCGATTGGATGGTTCCTTGGTGCGTTCGTTTCTCTCCTAATTTCGTGTTCCACTGTGACCTAACTAACCACTACACGAATTAGGTCCATACTCTCCAGCTTTCCCGCCTACCCGCATGCACGAGCGCAATCGAGGCTGACACATATTACCCGCGACTGAGGTTCGGCCCTCCTCCCTTTCATCCGGTTCCGCACAATCTTCTCGAGTTTCGAAAGCATACTCATCAATGCAATCAATGTTTGCGCATGGCTTCGTTCCAGGGGAACTTCTTCGTCTGCTCTACTGACCTTCCCGCGGTGCCCACCAATCAGTCTTACGCCGTTGAGATCCAGATCGAGTATACTCTTACGCAACCATTTGTAGTTATGTAGACTACAGTTTTACACACAACGTGTCACGGGGAGCAGCGTATTTCTACATATCTGCGATTCGATGCTCGCCCGAGCTCTGTCTCTTGACTATGTCACACACCTCGTCACACTTGAACTAGCACAACGCCACGCTACCGTGTCTCTAGTACAGTTCCCTTAGATTTGTAATAAATAAAAATGAGAATGCCCAACAATATTGACACGAGTCGCATATCTTCTCTTATGGGCCGTGATACTACAATGCAACATTTGTTTTACCAACTCCTCGCTATTCTAATCTCGAGGATCAATGCTAAAGTTGTTTGCTACGATAATGCCTTATATAGCCTTGTAATTCAAGACATGATAGGGGAAAATGTGAACGCTCGACAACCTCGACATGATTAACCTACTATCCCGTCCAGGTTATGATGGTGTAATGTCACAACGTAGTCATGACTTGTAATGTTCATATATATATGATGACCAAGGCTAGTGCTGCTTTTCATCATAAAGTCATGAATAGTTTTTTATTGAAAATTTTAATTATGACAAGTGAGCATGGCTAACATAGTGGACCCAAATTCAACACGATTCCCTGATGGCTGTCATGTTGCTGTGTTGTACCCTTGTCATGAGTGCCTGAAGGTACTCTAATTTCGTAGATGTATATACCTATGTATCAAGAAGTCAAATTTATCGGCGTATAAATGGTGATATATGGCAGAAACAGAATTATTTCTTTTTGTAGTTATCACGGGTACAATATCACGGACTCATGAGTTCACTGATGGCAGTGCGAGTCACTTGATGACAATGCAACATGAATGCAGCACTGGAGGACTACTTTACTTGCAAGGTTTCGGAGATGGAACATCAAGAGCGAACGAGACGTGTGCGCTTTCTGGATCCTCCGCTACTTCTATTTGCTTGTCCTGACGAGGGATAATTTTCTTAAGAGAGCATAAAGATACCTTGCCTAGGTCATATGGGCGTAAGAAGGGTGAAGATATAGTCATACAAACAAGTTTATTCTCTACAAGGACTCGAATGTAGTTTGCAAACAATGTTTCTCGCGGGCCACAAGCACATTGAAAGTACATGATCAGTCCATCCATGATCCCCCGTCAACTGTGATAGTCTGTCCAGTGATATAGGCAGAGTCTTTGCTTGCGAGAAACGACACCGCGTTCGCAATGTCTTCCGGCGTTCCAATCCGCCGCAGTGCCACACTCGTTTCATACTGTAAAGCAATTGAAGGGATCAAGAAACCTTACCTCAAGAGAGAAATACTAATACGTACACTTTGTATGAACGTCTTGCTATCAGGAAATCCTACCTGTTTTGCGAATTCTTCGGAAGAGCTTCGCACTGGATACCACGTCAGCGTCAGGATGCAAAAACTAACAAAGAAAATGGGTAGTGGATGGGGGTAGAGAGACGAAGGTGGCAGAAGAAATAGCATGGAGTAAACATACGGAGATGCGTTTCAACTGGCCCAGGAGCGTAGGCGTTCACGGTAATGCCGTGTGATCCCAGTTCACTCGCTATAACGCAAGAAGGTGAGATCAGACGGAGTAATAAAACGTCTTGAATTCACCGAGCGCCTGTGTAAATGATCGAATGGCAGATTTCGATGCACTGTAAATACTGTTGAACGGCATCCCTTTCCTCCCTGCTACAGACGACGCGCCTATAGCAACGGTATTATCATCTAAAACAAAGGAACAAAGGACCGTACATACTGATGATCCTCCCGCCACGCCCCTGCTTGATCATAGTTTGCGCTGCAGCACGCAAGCAAAGGAACGTCCCGCGCACATTGGTATTGAATATCTCATCAAAATCGACGAGGGTAGCTATTGGGACTCATATGACGACATCACGAAAACGAATCAAAGACGTGATTGGCTTACAATCAACCAAAGGTTTCACAACGATTCGTCCGGCATTCGCTACCATCTAGAATACTATTTGTCAGGCAGTTTGATAGGCTGACGGCGTACAAGACACGCACGACATCCAAATTATTGAACTCTTGTTCCGTAGCCTGTACCATGCGCTGGACCTCCTCCTCTTGTGATATATCACACTCCAAGACAAGACATCGCCTCCCTTTCGCCCTTACCTTATCCGCGACGCCGTCGAGGGTCGTGCGTTGTGATTTCAAGTCTGCGATGGCAATATCTAGTCCGTCCTCTGCGAGGCGCAGGGCAATAGCGCGTCCAATGCCATGGGCTGCGCCGGTAATGAGTGCGGTGTGGGGCTGGTCTGCCTGTGCTGGAGTAGCGGAATCGGCCATGATTCAAACGTCAGGCCTGACCTTTACTTATACTTGGATATGCTGCGGAGGGGCAAAGATGTGTCAGTGATTACTGCCGAATTGATATTCAAGTGACCTGTGGTTCATGATTCAACTTGTGCCAGTGGGCCCAAGAGCTTCTATACCGGAGAACAAAGACAAGTTCCAAAGAGGAGCATTCATTCCTTCCTCGATAGTAAGCGAGACATATCAAAATGATCAGAAGAATCAGTGTTACGAACCCTGACGCAGACGCCGCGCTGAGACCGGACCAATTGTCATATGATGCGCAAGGACCCTGCAGTGACGAAATCCGCAATCAGACGAATTGGGGGTACAAAAACGCGTCCTCCGCATCAATTTCAAAGCGGGAAAAATTCAACACCTCGTAGGAACGCGCAGCGTACTGCTCTGCTCTGCGAATATTGGTTCAGCCGCAAACCCTGAACCTTGGAGTTGTTGCGGAGGTAATGACGGCACAATGACTGCAAAATTTAGTTTGACTGTTTATTATCATCATAACATAATAATATGCATTATGTGATTTATTTGTCTTGTTGCCGTAGTGTGCGATATGCTTATCTGGCACCACTGAAGTACTTACTTTCTGTGGGTTCTTCCGTCCGTTGGCTTTGCCTACGGAGTTGCAATTGGCATGCATTTTGTGACCAAATGCAAACTAGAATGACCGGCAACATAACAGACTGAACATAGTTTAGTTTACATCGGCAACAGTCATCGCAACAAGTAGCTCACAGCGAAACTTGATACAGCGATTTTTGGCTAGCGGCTCTGGTGGATATCACTTCCCGGAGCCAGAGTTGACATTGCACAAAACCAAATGCCATGATATGCAGATAAAAAGAACAGTGGTTTATTCCCGCACATCAGCAATAAATGTTTCCTGCAGCCCATCAACTTCCATCCTCGACTCGCCCTTGGTCAACTTGTTAGCAGCCCTTCGTGCGCGCTTGCGGTCCTGTTTCAGAGACCGCCTATTCATCGCGCGACTCTGGCTCCGCACAGCTGCTTCTTCGTATGCAGAGAGGTCCTTCGCGCGACGGAATCGCTTCGGTATGCGCAGTTGTACTGAAGAGTCGGTAGCTCCTGCATGTGTGACCAACGAGGGCGAACGAATACGCTTGCGGGATGACGGGATTGATAGTGCGGACGCAGTCATGCCATCATCGACTATCATGCCAGATTCCCGTGCAGCAATGTCATTGTTGACTTCGCTGTCATCCATAGCTACCTGCTCCTGCATCGGTGCATTTTCATTGAACGCGCCGGCGTCTGCTGTGCAAAACAAACCTGCAAGCTCAAACGGTCTGGAGAATGAATCGAGGATTTGTGACTGCCCGACGGTTTCTGCGCCTGTTGTGGCAGAAGGCATCGACGATGGATGAATGGTGGGCGGGACAGAGAAATAGGGGATTTTTTGGTGATTCCAGTCCATGAGAACGTGACGTGCGGCTGAAAGTAGATCAGGGGTACCTCCCTGCAGATGTAATAGTTGTGTAAAGTGTCAGATCTCACAAAAATAAAGCTGACCTTGAGCAGGCGTCCGCTGTTGAGCGCAAGCATGGTGAGAAACTCCAGCGTGCTTGAGAACTGGAGAAGATTGTATAGTTTTCGGAGTGTCTCATGTTCTGTCCGCGCGAGGATTTCTTCCACTGAAACAGTGCGATTAGCAATCCATCCATCAGCAACTGAGTTTATACCAAGAAACGCACCGACAGCGATGGGATCTTCTATATCCTCAACTTTGAGGACATTTCGTAGGAGAATGCTGCCCTTTTGACTACAGTCACCTGATTCGTCTTCATCAAAAACTACACCAGGTGAATCGACGATCTTAATTCCTCGCTCCAGCTGCACGGATTGAAGGTCCTTCGTGTGACCTGGCTGTGCAGCCACTGCACAGGCCTGAACTCACATAACATGTAAGACATTCAGTACGAGCAGTAGCAAATAGATCGAGACCTTTGATCGCTTCAAAGAATTGATGAGGCTGCTTTTACCGACGTTTGGAAACCCAACAACACCGACTGTGATACTCTGTGAACTAGGTTTGAATGCTTTAAGAAGGCGCATAAGTCCGGGTGCCGTCGTAGAGCTGAGATGAGAACGTTGATTGGAGGAAGCAGAACGGAATGGGAGTGTCGGCGTGGAATGTCGCAAGTATCGTAGCCACTGTTGAGCATTCTCTTTTGAAACCAAATCTTCGTCCACAGCGCACGGTGAGGAAGAGTGCAAAAACCAAATGAAACCAAGATTCATACCGATTTTATTCAACACAAACACGAGCTTCTTCCCTTCACTTTCTCTCCGTCTTACCTCTTCTTCGACCAGTCGACTCCTACATCCCTCCGGATCGCGAGCGTCGAGCACAAGAATGACGATGTCACTTTCATCGATTACTTTGTGTAGCATACGGACGTAGTGGCGACGAATTTGCTCCTTTGTCTTCTGTGAGGAGCCCGCATAAGATGCGGTATCCTGGTCTACGGCCGCCTGGGTTTCTGAAGCGAGAGCTGCTAGTGAAGACAGGGTAGGTTCAGTAGCCATATAGGCATCTGGATCATCAGGCTGGGGAATCGCAGGCTACGAGGGGTAGCAGCTCAAGATGAAGTAGTAATAGTTAAGACTCGAATGCAACGTACAGAACTAGATTTCCGCTTCTCCGCAATCCGAACCTTTAGTTGAGGAAGCCTTGGTATTCCAGGGTCTTTCTTGAGCTCTGATGCGCAAAATTTGGGGATCGATCATCAGTGCTTGTTCTTTCTGTAATGGGTTGAATAAATGAGAATGGGGACTAACTGGATTTTTGCGGTACTGACGATTTCTGGGATTCTATAGACCATCAGATGAGAAAAACATGAGCGTGGAGTGCTTTGCGTACTGTTCCTGCCCATGATAGTCGCGAATGAGAGTTTGGTATAATTCGCAAAATTCAGATGATATTTCACTGAACAAAACAAAACAAAAATAAAAGATAAACACTTTCAAAAAATATACATATAGAAAACGAACAACTACACACAACATTCTCTCTTTTCACATGTGGATTCTAGTCTTTCTATGCATAACTGTTTCTAATGTTGCATTTGCAGTCCAAACCTGTGTATAGTTATTAGTCACTGTGAGCGCTCAACGCACTGACCAGTGACTAGTGATTATCCAAACCATACTTCAAATCGCCCGTAGAATCACACTCCTTCAAGTTCTGCAACCACCCCTGGCTGCCCACACTTGAAACCGCACCATCACATCGGTCGGCAGTTTCACTTTATTGCATCAAGGTAGCGGTAGCGCTTATGCAGGCTGGCTCTTCTTGCGCATGTATGGCATGCATTATACGTGCCTCAGAAGAACCAATCGCGCATCCTGATCCAACCACACATACTCAACTTCTTGACATGCCACTGACACACTCCATGGACGCCTCGCAGATTATTCTTCCACAACGTCGACGTGACATTCCTGTCTCCACACCTCGCTGCGGAGTTATTTTCTAGCGATTCCATGGTACGCGCTCCACATTGTGAAGAACTTGCCTGTAATTGCCACACTGGATACCTCAAGACACCGCTGATGATTCAGGGATAGCCTTTATCCATGGAGATATTGGCAAGTTATTCGATCAAATTAAGCTTTAAAATAAACTTTTCAGACAGAAGACCCAGCACAGTTGTCTTGTCAACTGGCTTGGGATGCTGTGGCGATATAAAGTCTGGACACCCGGCAATGCTGTGAACCTAATCCGGGTGCACATCAAGCATCGCTTCCTCCATACACGGCTACGAGTCCACTGGGCAGTCTATATCTTGATAGGATCATCAAACCAGCACTGGTAAACATTTGAAAGACGCAACAGGCTGTGTGTCATGTTGTTGCAGATGGATAAGTGATCCAAACTGTATCATGGGCATCAAAGATACAGCTGATTGCGCAGTGCTGAAGATGCCAGGACCCTGCTGACTATCATCTGTATGTACCTCTGAAGGTGAGTACAGAAGGTGTGACATCTAATGACACGATCTAGAATAGCGCGCTACGCTCATGAGGAGCCCCTGACACGAAGTTCACTGGAGTGGTGTGTAACCTGAACTCCTTCACCTTTGTCTCAGAATTAAAACCCTGATGTCATATGAAAAAGAAGCAAGTATTCTAAATCTCGGGTATGCTTAGGCGGGTCTGCCATAAACACTGGCTCCGTGTACCTATTGATCACCGGCACGCAGAATGATGAGAATTTAACATTTACATTGAATCACCGACCTCTTTTGTCACCATGCGCCCACTGAATTTTGATGATTCCCTGCGAATAACATTCAAGACCTTCACCATCCTTCACGTCGCTCAGGCTAAACGTAGTCAAGATGTGCATTGTTCAGACAGTAATATTAATCGCTGCGTGCGGTCGTATCATCATGTGGGGTTCCGATTGGAATCGACTCTTTTGTGGTCGTGGTTGTTTAGTATGCGGCAGATAGGATATTGTTACGGACTAACGTCATTAGACGATCGACTATTATAAAGGTGTAGCTCAAAGAACCTGTCTGAGTTCGAATACAATACATGGGTAACAAGATCATATACTATCGTACCAGCGCCTTCACTGACCTTGCCGCCTCCATCAAGTAATCACCCCGCGTCGAACCCGAGATTCGGAATAGGGACAAGGGGCTATGTTATGATCCTTCATCTGCACCGCAGCCTATTGTTCATTCATTTCTGAGTCAGGCCGACACACGATGCAAGTACCAATGGACAGTGTTGGTCCGATCATCCGTCAACAGCGCCTATATCAACTGCTATGTAAGTAGACCCTGCAGTTCACGAAAGCATCGATACTTACCTGTGAGTGATCCCCGGACGTTTTCAGGCTCCAAAACAGCGAAGCATCTGAGTGCGGTGATATCCTGGATGTAGTACATGTGCGTCTGTTAGATAAGACGTAATAAACTCAGCTAATGGAAGACAGACACATATGTTCCGTATCCAGTTGGTCTGATGCTCCAAGGACACACCTCGTGCCCACAGGTGAGTGCAGCGCTTCTTTTTTGCACAGTGTTGACAGTGGCATATGAGTTTTGCGCGAAATTTCTGATGTTGTACTTGTCGTAATGCCCACTGAGTTTTTCAAGGACCCACTGTAGAATGTTATTTATTTATTTTATGTTCCTCCGTGACATGATCCATGGGTTGAACGTACTGCGGCATTCTCTGCCCGACCATCGTTGCTTGTTACCAGGGCAGCAGTTTTGGGGCCTTGTACAACGACAAAGTCATTTGTACTAGCATTCCGAAGAGTGTAAGTCCCAGTTTTAAGGTTGCCTGGAATCATCATCGTCGCGAAGGTGAGTGCACAAATGAACGAGTTGTGTTTCTCGAAATGGGACAGTGTGTAGAACTTTTGATGGCAAACCTTGCATTTACCAGGCCATTCTTATAGTCATCAGAGTCAAGACACATGGTCCGAATTCCCCGATGATAATCATGGTAGTGTCGAGACAGTATATGAAATAGTACCACGGGTTAATTTTGCTCCCAGATTCCCAAGTTCAGTGGACTTCGTCACGGTATGAACTCCGCATGCACAACGGACGGGCATGCGGCAGATTTAAGTGGCCTCAAGGCACATAATCATTCATTCGCGAAGGCGAAGATGCAGAATTGGGGTGGCGCCAAGTTGGCATCACAGGCATGATGTTCGGACTCTTGCCGGGGATGCCATCATATAGTAAATGAACACAGCCATAGTATGGGTGTTGTTCCACTTCTGAACAGTGGTCCGGATACATAAAAGCCGGCAGTCGAGTGGGACACCAGAAAAAAATAGAAGTGACCGGCTTACCCATCGCAAGCACAGCTTTAGATGCATGGCATGATGAGTTTTTTCATGAAATTTTAATGAACCATTTAGAACACAGAAAACAGTACTACCTACACAAAAATTCTGCTGAGATCTGGCTGGACGTGACCCTGAACTATGACACCTCGCACTCCACTCTGGCACCCCAGGCCCAGTGTCACCACCCACCCAATTCCCAGCTTTCATCCTTAGGCAGATATCTTGACAAATTCCCAGTATACATGATGCTGTGGATTGTTGGTTAGTATAGCCTGCAACAACTGATGAGCATGAGGCCGCAAGTCAAGTTTAGATAAGCTTACATTTGTACCATCCCTTGTCTTTACGATGGTCCAATAGAGAGAGGGATCTGACTGAGGTGAAATGCTAGGTACCTTGCGTGTTTGAGAAACCGCGTCAATGATGACTACGTCACTCACAGATAGAAGTCACCAAAACCGCTGGCGGCGGGACGAATGAGCCATGGGTATGATTCTGTCCCAGAAGTGATTCCAGCGCCCGCGGTGGGAGACTCTCCCGTCTGAGCAAAAGTGTTCTGCAGGAAACTTCTGACATGATACGTGTCTTCAAGTCCTGCCAGCTTGTCCAAAACCCACTGTCAAAGAAAAGTTAGCATATAGAGGCCAACTCTATGAAGGCTCACTGCAAGGTGTTCAAAGTGACTATCTTGGAGGACAATCAAAGTCGAAGTTCTCTTGATGTCCTTGAGAGCAACGTATTGTCCGGTAGCTATATGCCTGATGTTATATGTCGCAGTCTGAAGAGTGGCCTGATCAATCATTTTTGCCAGAAAGCATAGAATATACGGTGAGCCGAAAGAGCTGAGGTAAATAACAGGTGAATTAGCGCTGTCTCGGTGTGATTGTCGCGGCCGACCATGAGGCAAGAAGCATTCTCAGATATAGCGCTCGTATCAAGCGCCCAAGCTAGGTGTTCGTAGGAATGCTCCGCGGCAGCGAAGCGGCAAAACGGAAGCTGCCAGGAAGTACTGAGGACATTGTGAAGCGCCAGGACCTGACAGAATCATCGCCGCTCTTAACGTGTTCACACGCCCCTTAATTAGTCAGAACTCTCATGCTCAACTCGTACTGACTTCGACTCGAGTACAGTTAGATCAAATGGGCATATGTGGCGTAATCTTAGACGCTCAGTCGAGTCTCAGAAGCTTAAGATAGACGCTTCACCATCATTCCCCGTACTAATAAGTACGTAGTATAATACGACAATGACTAGCCAGGAGGCCGAGCTGATCAACTGGTCGAAACTGGCGCTGAGTACTGTGTTGATTCGCCAAGCATACACAACACCGCCATAGGGAATGCAAACAGAAATTTCCAATAGAATGTCTTAATTCGTCCGTGGGAGGCAATATTTGATGAGGGGGCACTAATGGTCGCCTTCCAGTTTGATGTCCAGAAGGTGACTGAGGAAATAATAGCGCCCTCAGCTAACGTACGGCTTGACACTTGATTTCCAATAGTTATCCGATTGGCAACCCTAGGAGGTATCCAGGGAACCATGTGTTATACCAGCGTCTGATAGAAGTAGCACCTCGTCTAAAGGGCACTCTTAAAGTGTAGGATTCGTCTTTTTAGGATCCTCCGCGAGTTGAGCCCGCTTGATAGCTGATACCACTCGCGCGTGGAGTTCTTCATCGACTGTGGCTACAAAGCCGTGATTCTCTCCCATTCCCCTCCCAAGTCCGAATTGGAGTGGAGCGCCCTCAGAATCTGTGATTTTGCCACCTGCCTCCTCAATGAGGATGCTTCCAGGGGCATGATCCTGCAAGTCAGGGTAACAGAATTATTAGCGCTACTAAATCATTGATTGTCAAATGACTTACCCAGATTCGCTCCTCGTAAGGCTGTTTACCGCCAATGGTAGGGGCCGGCATGCGAAGATACACCGCGCCCTCTCCTCTGGCAAGACAGCAATATTTGGCCTGGCTATCCATTCCCCATTCAGTAAGGTGGAGCTCGTCAGAAACCCGTCTAATCAATGGTATATTCGTGTGCTTCGACTCTTCTGATTGCAGGACATATGACTTCTCTGAAGAAAAGAAAGGGAGTTTAATCGCACTGGTGCCAGACAAGGTGTTCTGTTTGAGGAAATTAAGGGAATCATACATTTGGCATACAGAATTAGAGATTACCTGAAAGGCGCCTTGCCCTCGGACCGCAACGAAGATACAACCCTTTTCTTCATCAGGGCTTGCAGGGTGTATTTGTATATTCGGACATCCGATGACGCCCAGTACAACCTGGCTATTCACAATGAGAGACAAACAAACGGCATATTGGCCACCGCGCAAGAAGCCTTTCGTTCCATCGATAGGGTCAACTGTCCACATGCCTGAGTGCAGGTCAGAATACGGAATTAACGATATACAACATAGCCTCACGTTTATTTGGACCACCCGTATCGTTTCCTTCATCTATCGCCTTTAACAGGGCCTCTGAACTGTGCTCGTGTTGAGAACCTAAGCCCCATTGCGCTTTCTCCCCGTCGATGAGATCTTCCCGCAATGCATTGGTAGCCAAGGAGACCACTCGTTCCCGCAGTTTAGTATTTGATCCTTGCCGGAGGGCATCTGCACCCTCCTCGCCGACGATAGGATCTTCGGGGAATGCATTCCTCAAAACAGTATTGATAACCGCCTGTGCAGCATAATCTCCGACTTCATAAAATTGATTAGCTACGACCCTCAAACCTGAAAGACGGAAATTGATACCTGTCACTGGTGAATCGTCTTCCTTCTTGAGGGTATCCGTTCTGTCTCGGACTAATTGATTGAACACAGTGGAAGTCACGAGACATGCTCTCCGTACTGCTGCGATCGCAACGTGTTTCTCGACTGAGAATGCTTCAGGAGATGTAAGAGACATTGATAGTAGGCGTCTGGGGATGTCTCTGAAATGAGCCTGAGCGATCAGGTGCTTGCTAGCATGGTACAACAACATACCAAGCAGTCACCTGCCTGGGGTCATCATGAGATCGTGGGATCAATGATCCTAGTTTCAACTTTTGACTGTTTATTCAATTTCAGCTTCAACTTCGCAGACCGAGCTTGCATTGAATCTCTCTATCTTTTCTTCAAATCATGGAGCTTCGCGCAAAAGTCATGGCAGGGAATCTTTATTACTGACAGTACACTTTTCAATCTGTCCCGACATGTTAGTGGTTGCTTTGGGGTTTCCCAACGAGGTCGCATTTAGCCTTTCGTTCTCTATCATGAGCGCACAACTAGCTGGCGAGAGCTTCCACCTGGCATCAAGTGCTCTGGGAGCCTGGAACTAGTTCAAACTCAGGCTGCGCGTCTGTTCCGCACTGGCAGTACACGTTTTTCCGCCAATTTCCAAGCACCGATGCTTCTAGAGCCAATAATACCAATACTGATCGATCATTTTGCCTAGTGCACAGTAGGCGCCTACTTATACCCCACATGCCTATCTGTCGAAGGTGATGCTCACGAAGTGAGTCTATTATAAAGTTTAAGGGCTAAGCATCTATTTTCCTTTAGGCTGCCGGCATACTGTAGACCAACGAGGCCACCCGTCAGGATACGAGAAGTGGCATGGATTCGGTATAGCGTACTTGAAGGGTACGTTATCCCATGCGTGACTCCAAACGTTCTCCGGGTGTAATTACGCACTGGTCGCAATTTTGTTTTTGTGCCCTACAGTGACTCAAAAAGGAAATGCACAGCATGACTAATTTGACGAATTGTCGTCTCCCTCCTCCTCCTGCGCAGTTCATGTCACGATAGTAGGCTCTAGAGAAAGCTAGAAGTCCGTATGTACTAGAGTAGGAAAGGAAATGTAGTGTAATGTATCATCTGAAATGTAGTAAAGCAATTGATGTGAAAACCTCTGTGCAATTCATTTTTGACAGTTGCAGCACTGCGAAAACATTGAGCATACAGAGATCAAATCAAAAGATAATGCAACAAACCTTTCTAATATTTGGTATGACCCCCTTTAGCATTGAGAAGAGCCTCAACACGACGTGGCATGCTTTCATACAAGTTCTTGATGTAGTCCGTCTCGATGTTACCCCATTCCTCCACTAAAGCGGCCCATAGCTCTGTGAGATTGCGTGGTAAAGGGGTCCGAGTGCGCACTCGACGATTCAAATAGTCCCAAATGTTCTCGATGATGCTCATATCCGGGCTCTGTGCAGGCCAATCCAGCTTATCAATCTTCTTCTTCCGGAACCATTCTCCCGCCAATTTCGAAGTATGCTTCGGATCGTTGTCTTGCTGAAAATAGACGTTCTTTTTGTTGATGTCCAGGTCGCGGAAGGTCCCCAGCAAGTCATCATTGAGGATTTCGACATATAACTTGGCATCCATGTTGCCCTCGATGCGGGTAATGCGGCCCAATCCCTCTGCAGTTAGACACCCCCAAACGATGACATTTCCACCACCATGCTTCACAACCTTCTTTGTGTAGCGCTCATCAAACTCTTCCCCAGGCTTCCTCCAACACCACGAACGGCCGTCGGAGCCAAATAAATTGAATTTAGACTCGTCTGAGAAGACAACTGACATCCAGTCTTCTGCTGACCAATCAGCATGAGCTTTCGCCCATGCTAACCGCTTCTGTTTGTGAGCTTCTGTCAAAAGAGGCTTTGTACGGCGTACGTAGGCATTGAGGCCACATGCCCGAAGTCTCGTTCGGATGGTTTGAGCATTGATATCGGGGAAATACTTCTTTTGCAGGTCGGCAACATCATGTGCATGAGTGCGTGCCAGTGCCCGGACTGCGAAGCGAGCATCATTGGTCGTGAATTTGCGACGACGACCTGATTTAGGCTTGACATCATAGTAAGCTTCACTTTTAGCAAAGCGTTTCACGATGCGGCCAATTGTAGTGCGGTGGAGTTGAAACTTTTCAGCGAGGTCTCCATCAGACATGCCAGCAGCTTTGTCTCGGCAAATTCGAGCTTTCTTTGTAGGAGTTGTGTATTTTGTCATGGATGACTAGTGACAGCAAGGGTGTAGAATGAGTCTGCAAGTGGTGCAAGTGTGACGTTGTGCGGCAATGAGCCGACAAACACATTTTCTGTAAAGTCACACTAAACCTAAAAATGAAATGCACAGCATTCTCTTCACAAATATCTGGACAGCTCTCTCAGAAAGCCAAGTATCACAATAAAAGCATATGGTATTGAAAATATAGACCTAGTACACTACACTGCAACAAGTGGAACGACACAAAATGGTCTATTGCTCGAGTACGAGGAGGAATAGGAGAAATGTCGATGCTGTGCATTTCCTTTTTGAGTCACTGTATGTCGTCGGCGCTGCAGCTTAGGATCCGACATGATATTGGGTTACAGCCACCCTTCTGTACGCCTGGCATTACAGGCCACCTCGTCAGAGAGTGTTTATCAACGTCCAGCCTAGTACCTGACGCTATTTGGATAGGGCTTCACATGCCTTCGCCATGTTGGGATGCCATCTTTCGATTTTGACTAGTCTGCTTCAGTCACCCCGTTATCTCTCCTGGACCGAAGCTGGCTCGGCGCTTGAACCTGTACCTAATATTCACCCCATTTCCACCCTTGATGCATTGATGAGCTAATCGGAAAAGACCTTGATGCTCCTGACTCCTGAGTCGAGTCTATCATGCATTTCTTGCTGCCGTTGGGCAGCCACGCGGCTGGTTGCACCGGTAGTACGTCGGTCAAACCATATTTATGAGCCATTGAATTTCTGCACGAAAAAGAAGGAAGGGTTACTGCAAGCTAGCATTGATTTGTGGCGCTGCAAAGGCGTCCAGAACAAGTCAAAACTTTACGACAGATCTTTATGCCTCTGCGCGTCATTTCGTCTAGCGCGTATGCTAACCGGGAAATAGAATTTTTCATACATTCTCAGGGCGCGGTGACCATGAGCGATGCTTATGAAACAGAGGAATGTGTCCCCGATGTCAAAGCTAGCAGAAAGGAGCGCCTTGAGGACCGGCATTCCGTTGATGGCAAACGTTACCAGTAAGGTATTGCAACGTTATTGTCATAACAGGAAGCCAGCCCGATGCTGCATGACGCTAATTTGATCGATCTCCGAAACCTAAATTGAACGCAAGCTGCTGGTAACTCCGATTTTTGGCCCTCTGCTTGTGACGTAGGAAGGGTAACCTGACCTGTCGTGCGGTGGCCGGCCGCGCCCCCGGGCCTGTATGGTTAACGTTGCCAAAGTCCTTGTGCGTCCTGCTTCTTGCCCCCATCAGTAGCCACGGAATTCAGTATAATGATAGGCCCGCGGATGTACGGGAGCTCACATAACACAAAGTGACATATAATGGACGGCTACATGTTAATGGTGGTACCACCGGCAGGGTGACCACTTCAGTGCCAGGGGTCCCAGTGCAATGGCTGGAGTCCTTGTCCTTATGTTGGACACGCTCTCGATCTCTGTGTTGTCCATGCGCGCGTACTTCTACGCAACCAATTACTTCTATGCGTTGTATCAACCTTGTGACTCGCTTCTTTCTGGCATCCCTGTCATGGGATATATCATCTGCCCACAAAGAACTTCAGAAGACATGCATATATTTGGCGGACAGCTTATCTGAAGAGCTACTGCCATCGATCGTACATATATCGCAACCTCAATGCATTGACTTTGCTATTCCTTCTCCCCAGCCATAAGAATGTCCTTCAAAGAGAAAATCAAAGGCATAGGAGGTAATGCTTCATACGAAGCAAAGGCTCGCGTCTTACGAGAACAGCTTGAAGCTAAGCTTCCAGCCGGTCTCAAACTCCCCTCAGCAATTCTCGAGGACCCACCTCTTGATATCACTCGCATTGCTGAGACGTGTGGCTTGCTCACTGTCCAAGAGCTGGCTATCACTGAACTAGATGCGACCGCTGTGTGCCAAAAGATTGCTGCAGGCGAGCTGACAGCAGTCGAGGCTGTCACTGCCTTTGGAAAGCGCGCAGCTATCGCTCATCAGCTCACAGCTTGTCTTATGGACTTTTTCCTCGACGAAGGCATCAAACAAGCGCAGCAGCTGGACGAGTACTTCCACAAAGAAGGCAAGGTCATTGGGCCACTCCATGGACTGCCAATTTCAGTCAAAGTTAGTGCATCATTACTAACTTGCAATCATCTATCTTTATTTCTCGCCGTCCTCAGGGCCATTACGCACTCAAGGGGACAGTTGGGTGCGGAGGCTTTCTCGTGAATATGGAAACTTCGACGGAAGACTGCGATATGACAAGCATTCTGCGTTCATTGGGTGCAGGTATGTAATTGATCCATGCTTTAACATACTGTTGGTCAAGCATGTTCGTAGTATTCTATGTCAAGACGAATCAGCCACAGTCTGTGATGCACCTCGAATCTAAGTCTTCCTACGGTCGAGTGGTATGCCGTCTCTCGAGTATAAATTAGTTTTCGGCTCAAGTCTATTAGTTGAACCCCCACAATACGAACCTTACTGCAGGAGGATCTTCTGGTGGTGAATCAGCCCTTGTCGCCATGAAGGGCTCTTGTATGGGTATTGGCACGTAAGTCCGTTTCCTACACATATCATGGAAACTGATATATTATCCATGAAGCGATGGCGGAGGATCCATTCGATGCCCGTCCGCCCATTGTGGTATATACGGAATCCGTCCGTCCTCTCGGACGACACCCACCCATGGAAATCTTTGGTAGTAAGTATACCAAGCTCTGATAGAGTCACGTTGATAACCACCACCATAGTCAACATGGCCAGGACGGAGTCTTTCCTTCCACAGGTCCGATGTGTCGTTCAGCACGAGACATGCGACTTTTCCTCGAAGCTGTCCTTGGGGCCAATCCTTCACTTCGGGACCCAGATGCTTTACCTATTCCACTGAAAGTGCCAGATCTGACCCAGAAGAAACTGAGGGTAGGAATCATGATGCACGACGGGGTCGTGATGCCTCATCCTCCAACTATGCGAGCACTGAATTTGGTGAAAGAAAAGCTTGAGGCATCGTCAGAGGTTGAGGTAGTAGACTACATTCCGTATGACCACGACCGCGGATACAGCTTAATTGTGAGTCTGGTGGTCTGTTGGGTCTAGATAATGTAACTCATGTGTTTCTAGCGCGAGCTCTACTATGAGGATGGAGGAGCTACAGTCCGACATCTTCTAGAGGAAGGTGGAGAAGATATGCATCCGCTGACAGAATGGGTAATCAGTCCACCACATGTGAAGAATCATGATGCCGCGCAAATTTGGAAGGTGAGAGGTTCCGAGCTCGGCTGTCTATTGACACGGGCGCTGACCTTACTAGCTCCGTGATCAACGTGATGACTATCGGCGGGAGTACTCTGATCACTGGTGGTCCCAAAACGTCGACGTCGTCGTATGCCCACCTTTCCAAGGTACAGCTAGCCCCCACGACACTACAAAATATTGGAGGTTCGTAAAAATATATCGCAGGGCGCCAGAAAATCTGACAACTCATACATTAGCTACACCGCTATCTGGAATTTGCTAGACTACCCAGGGGCAGTCTTCCCGACAGGTCTCGTTGCTGACCCAACCGTTGACATATATCAGGAGTCACCTAGGCCGATGAGTGCGGCAGATGAATACAATATCTCTTTGTGTTAGTCGCGCTCTTGCAAATTGGATGGCATGCGCTGACTATTGCGTACAGATGATGCAGCGATATTCAAAAGAGCCCCAGTGTCGCTGCAGACCGTGAGCCGAAGATTCAATGATGGTTTGGTGCTGGCAGCACAGGATGTAATTGAACGGATCCTCCAGTCTTAGGGGTGTCATATTCATTACACTGAAAGCATCATACGAGTCTTTGAATCCTGTATGTATTTGTATCATTAAGGCACTGAAGGTCGTCTGAATCAGGATTGAGAGTCGTTGTCCGCATCATGGCATGTTGGATACTCGATCTGTGTTGTCCATGTGCGGTACGTAACCAAATGCTTCTATTCATCAACCTTGTGACTCGTTCCTCCCTGACATCCCTATCATGGGGCGTATCATCTACTCACAAAGAACTCCAGAAGACATGCATATTTTTGGCGAACAGCTTATCTGAAGAGCTGCTTCTCTCGATCGTACATATATCGCAACCTCGATGTATTAACTTTGCTATTTCTTCTTCCTAGTCATGAGAATGTCCTTCAAGGAGAAAATCAAAGGCATAGGTGGTAATGCTTCATACGAAGCAAAGGCTCGCGCCTTACGAGCACAGCTTGAAGCCAAGATTCCAGCCGGTCTCAAGCTCCCCTCAGCAATTCTCGAGGACCCACCTCTTGATGTCACTCGCATTCCTGAGATATGTGGCTTGCTCACTGTCCAAGAGTTGGCTATCACTGAACTAGATGCGACCGCTGTGTGCCAAAAGATTGCTGTAGGCGAGCTGACAGCAGTCGAAGCTGTCACTGCCTTTGGAAAGCGCGCAGCTATCGCTCATCAGCTCACAGCTTGTCTTACAGACTTCTTCCTCGACGAAGGCATTAGACAGGCGCAGCAGCTGGACGAGTACTTCCAAAAAGAAGGCAAGGTCATTGGGCCACTTCATGGATTACCAATTTCAATCAAAGTTAGTGCACCATACCGATTTGCAATTAGTATCTATCTTTGATTCCTGCCGTCCTCAGAGCCATTACCCACTCAAGGGGACAGTCGGGTGTGGAGGCTTTCTTGTGAATACAGAAACTTCGACAGAAGACTGCGATATGATAAGCATTCTGCGTTCATTGGGTGCAGGTATGTAATTGATCCATGCTTTAACATACTGTTGGTCAAGCATGTTCGTAGTATTCTATGTCAAGACGAATCAGCCACAGTCTGTGATGCACCTCGAGTCCAAGTCTTCCTGCGGTCGAGTGGTATGCCATCTCTTGAGTATAAGTTATTTTTCGGCTCAAGTCTATTAGTTGAACCCCCACAATACGAACCTTACTGCAGGAGGATCTTCTGGTGGTGAATCAGCCCTTATCGCCATGAAGGGCTCTTGCATAGGTCTTGGCACGTAAGTCCGTTTCCTACACATATCATGAAAACTAATAAATTACCAATGCAGTGATATCGGGGGATCCATTCGATGTCCGTCCGCTCATTGTGGTATATACGGAATCCGTCCGTCCTCTCGGACAACACCCATCCGTGGACTTCTGTGGTAGTAAGTATACCAAGCTCTGACATGGAATCGTGTTGATAACCTCCATAGTCAACATGGCCAGGACGGAGTTTTTGCTTCCTCAGGCCCGATGTGTCGCTCAGGACGAGACATGCGACTTTTCCTTGAAGCTGTCCTTGGGGCCAATCCTTCACTTCGGGACCCAGATGTTCTACCTATCCCACTGAAAGTGCCAGATCTGACCCAGAAGAAACTGCGTGTGGGAATCATGATGCACGACGGGGTCGTGATGCCTCATCCTCCAACTATCCGAGCACTGAATTTGGTGAAAGAAAAGCTTGAGGCATCGTCAGAGGTTGAGGTGGTAGACTACATTCCGTACGACCACGACCGTGGATACAACATAATTGTGAGTCTGGTGGTCTGTTGGGTCTATATAATGCAACTTATGTGTTTCTAGCGCGAGCTCTACTATGAGGATGGAGGAGCTACAGTCCGACGTATTCTAGAGGAGAGCGGAGAAGACATGCATCCGTTGACAGAATGGGTAATCAGTCCGCCACACGTGAAGAACCATGATGCCGCGCAAATTTGGAAGGTGAGAGGTTCCTATGTCGATAGTCGACATAGGTGTTGACCTTACCAGCTCCGTGATCAACGTGATGACTACCGACGGGAGTACTCTGATCACTGGTGGTCCCAAAATGTTGATGTCGTCGTATGCCCACCCTTCCAAGGTACAGCTAGCCGCCACGATACTGCAAAATATTGGGGGTGAGTAATAGTATTATCCCAGGACAGGCAATCTAACAGCTCATATATCAGCTACACGGCAATTTGGAATTTGCTAGATTACCCAGGGGCAATTTTCCCGACAGGTCTCGTCGCTGACCAAGCCGTTGACATATACCAGGAGTTACCTATCCCGATGAGTGCAGCGGATGAGTACAACATCTCCTTGTGTTAGTCGCGCTCTTACCAATTGGATGGCATGAACTGACTATTGCGTACAGATGATGCAGCGATATTCAAAGGAGCTCCAGTGTCGCTACAGACCGTGAGCCGAAGATTCAATGACGGATTGGTGCTGGCGGCACAGGATGTAATTGAACGCATCATCCAGTCTTAAGAGGTGTCGTCTTTATTACACTGGAAACATCATACAAGTCTTCGAATCCTGTATGTATTTGTATCATTACGACGCTAAAGGTTGTCCGAGTCAGGATTGTCTATGTCGAACACGTCTTATTGGTGTCGCTCAGTATCTCTTGCAGTGATTGTACCCAGAACGCACTTGTATAGATACTGGAGGAAGATACACGAGTCTGATCATATTGATAATTCCTATGATGCGGCAAGTACTAATATATAACTCTAAAATTACAGGATACTCTGGCTCAATGTAACCCCGACCACAAGTCCTTCAACAGTGCTGCCCACATTGCTTTCACTACTTATCATCAGAAGCCTCTTTCTAACGCCAGTCCTCAAAAAGAACCTCAACCGCCTCACCAGTAGCCTGAGGCGCAAGACTAGACAGTGTCGCAGGCGGCACAAATGGTTTGACAGCCGAAGCTAAGTCTGTTGCGGGGATTCCGAGAGCGGATGCAAGCTGACTGAAATGCCCCTCAAGTTCTCCCGTCACCTCCTGACCTCTCCGCTGGTTGTGATAGGATGTATCATGTTGCCTCCCAATTCGCCCAACAGACATTCCCCACCACCCGACTTCCTCTTTCCAGTGCTTGAGCTCCACAGCCGTGATATACGTATACCACACTGTGAAGAGAAGGGCTATTGTCACCAAAGCATATATGAAGGACCGCAAAGGCGCCCTATGTCCCGGTGGGGAGACAGGCGTTAACATATCTTTGGATCGTGAAGGCGGTAAGTCTGACTGGTTGACATGGTCAGGGCCTTCGGACAAAGAACCTGGCAAATCTTTCTCCTTGGCTAGAGATGTGGGCGTTTCATACGATGTTTTGGAGGAGGAACGGTCCTGTTTAGATCTTTTTCTGGTGGACATCGCGATCCTACGATTTGCAGGGATATACACGTTTAAGGAGGGATGCGAGAGGTATTTTCCTGCGATCGCCGAGGTTAATGCGACACCAAGACCTTCTTGGACAAGCTTACCAAAATTTAACCTGAAGAGTAGTAATGGGAGTGCTGAAGATTCGAATATTGGGAGTTACTCGTTTTTAATAAAGAGGGATGCATGATGTCACCGTACTTTACAACTCCAACGTACAGCCACCTTCGATCCAGCCACAACTAATATTTGTACATGTTGAATTTTGAAGGACATCCTTCACGTGTTCTATTACTTAATCTATTGCACACTGACTTGTCAATGTCAAGGCATCCTAAGCCCCATTAGCATCTGCATGTGATGCATACTTAATCTTGGCACCCTTCATATATCGTTGCAAGGGCTACCTTGTTCTAATTAACACTCGGAGGTTCAGTCTACTTATTAACTTCGGGGTTGTAATCAAAAGACTAATACGTAGCACCTCATATCCCCGTAATCACCTCACTGCAGAGTCTCCACCATAACGCCAGCGCTCCGTTACGTCGTGACCTCGGTCGTAACATCTCTGTTCGTCAAGTATTGTAATTACATTGTTAAGAAACGTCCGTCTTGACACGTCCGTAGTGGCCCATTATATGAAACAGCAAAGCAACAGAAAAGTCCGGTAACATCAAATTAGAACAACAATCAAAAAAAGGTGATATCGGCAAAGTCCATCGGGTATATTAGATGATGGGCACAGGCTGTAACACCAATGTGTTGGCGCTACTTTTGTCGACAAGTGCGAAGTTCTAGTGAAGAGGGAGGAGAAATGTCAAGGTATGCTATGCGTGGAGAAGGTTGCAATGTTCAGGGATATAGCCAGTGTACGACCGGGAATCAAAGCATCGAGCATGCCGCAGGCGCAACCAAAGACAAGAGAAAACAGAAATGGGACGAGGATCCTACGCCAAGAGTTTCACTGAGAAGCCAACGAATGCTGCACCTGCGGCAAGTATTCCAAAACCGTCATATAAGGCTCTGCTCGCAGCACCAGTGGAATTGGTTTTCCCAGAAGATGATCCGGACCCTGTTGAACTGGAAGACCCCGCCGTGGCAGCTGGGACACCACCGGTGACTGTTGTCGTGCCGCTGATGTCTGGACAAGTGTTAATATAGATGTGACAAAAAATAGCATTGATCGTACATTGATCAAACGATGGTAGAGAGTAGTTAGTCTCGACGTATGGCTGAGTTTGATTTGTGGCAACACCCATGGGAACGAGGTACTTGAATGCAGCTTTCAGCTGAGTGTAGAACTTCATAGCCTCGGACATGGTAAAGTTGTTGAGCTCGTGTGTGAGCATGATAGTACCCGCCTGCAAGTAGTGTCAGTCCTTGATGGATGGCGATAAAACTAGGGAAGGCATTACGGTAGCGTAGGTGCCATTTTGTGCACGAGCAATGAGGGTCTCGTAATTCTGGTCGACATCAGCAACAGTAACGTTATTAAAGCCTTCACGCCAATCATTGGAGTCATACTGCCAAATGATCGTGCGCAAGCCCAGTGCATGGGCAATGGCCCGGACCCGATCGTCGACATCGCCGTAAGGAGGCTATGAATGCATTAGACAGTTGTACGCCTGACAGTAATTAGGCTTACCCTCCAGCACGTAGGCGTCACGCCGACCACCAACTTAATTGCTTCCATCTATAAGCTAAGGTCAATAAATTTCTGACTGTGCTCGATCAAGAATCTCACAGCTAAGAAGAGGCCATTAGAAAGGAAGGGAAGGGAATGATGCTAGACAACGTACTATAGTAAAATTCTGCAAAGACTTCTTCGTTGGTCAAAGTAGTCGCTATTTACACAATGACATGATCAACCACTTAAGTATGCTCGTTCCCACGTAGCACTTACTATATTTGTGCGACCAAGTGTCTGCGCCAGTATAACATCAATGCGCCATCACGAAAGGTGCGTGCAAAGACTCACGAACACAAATTTCATGACCATCAGCGAGAGCGCGCTGCGCCTCAAGAGGCCAGTCCATGACATTACTGCCGATGTAGAACATGGCTAAATTGTAATAAGGATACTTATAATAAAGCTGAAAACGAGCAAAACCGACGTACTAGCTTTTTGGTTATTTTGCGACAAGAAGTCGTAGAATGCATTGTGGGAGCAATTGGGTCCATCATCGAAACCATAACCTAGGGTATTAGGCTAGACAAAGTCAGTTACTGGATTACGATGAGATAGAAAGATATACCTCTGGAACGCCAGCCAGGTCCGGAGGTAATCCAGCCAATTTTGGAGTAGTGCATTGATCATACGTCCACCAGCAATCTGGATCAGACGAAGGGTACGTAAAGCCGCTGAAATCACCGGTGGAGGTGGAAGCAGGGCTGCCATTGGGCTGAATATTTGGGATCTGGCTCTGGATGGACTGGTACTTGGCTTGAGCATTGGTGTCATTGGGGAGAATGGTCGCGATTGTCCAGATAGGCGGGAACTGGTTGGCAGCGAGAGCAGCAGTAACAGGCGCGTAGGAATATGGGGCGCATTCCTGATTCGGATCTGAGTTAATGAGCAGTCAGCATGATCTCTTAACATGGCAATGGCAAAAATGCTGGTCGCGCAAGGAACATGAAGTACGTAATTGGGCCCAGAGTGTGTGGACACGAAAAGCAAGAGCTGTCGCTATGGTCATCATAGCCACATGGAAGGCCGAAGTATTCCTCGGCTCCCTCTTCTTTGGAGATAGATAGGTCGTATGATGATGTTGTATTCAAGTAAAAAGGGCATTTTCAAATTAAACAACGCACTCGAATGGAGCGGCGTCCACCACATTGCGTCAATGTGACGATTCAAAGGATGCGCAATGCGCCCAGCAATATATATGCATATCCATTCCGAACCATTTTGGCTTATGCCTGTAACTCGTATGCATGAATGATGTTTTGATTCTTACCAGTAATCTGCGCCTCGCCCTGTTCATTGGTGCGGTCCTGCGCACTGGCGGACAAAGTAAAGAGTGTGGTTGCAATGAGAGCAGAAGAGACTGCGGCCTGTGAAGCAAAGAGCGACGACCAACGCATGTTGGTTAGTTTAGGCGGTCGGAGAAAGAGAAAGAGATTGCGAGTTGGCAAAATTGGCAGAAGTTTAAAATTGGCGGGAAGTCGGAAGGGAGGATAATCTTTCTGCAGGAATGAAAACTCTGCTGGGAAATATATGCGCTGGTTAACTCCGTGTTACAGGAATAGTGGGAGGAGAAACAACACCGCGCTCGGAACAAAAGACACGCAGAAATCGGTATATATACCTGTTTGGCGACAGTCGTGCCGTTAACTGTAGGCAGCATGCATTTCGAAATGGCAGTATAGGATCCGGCTAAAAATAAACTATCCAAAATGACCAAGCTGGCTCATGGCCCTGAGATATTTCAGTATAGCCCTGTATCCAGCGCGCACTATGTCCAGGTTGAGTAATGGCTATACCGAACAGCGACTCAGTGACAGTACAAGGTACTGAGCGCCAAGGTAGAATTCGGATTCTTATAGATCACTATCCTTGAGGGAGTTCATGACAGCTGCTTGGCCGTCTATGAGGCCAACAAGTCGTTGACAAAGTCATAGAAAATCTTCAAACGATACGTCAAAACTTGACGTTCCAATAGAACTATCTTAACTGAGTTTCAAAAATACATGCTGCAACATTTTTAGCAGCGTTTTCGCTGAATTCAAATTGAGGCAAGTCAGAAAATACTTGCAAATCGGGCCACGCGGGGTGATTAGCAAATTGTGATTGGCTGATTATTTTTTCGATTTGCCGATTTGCCGCGATTTATTTATTACTATTTGTACATAATATCTATACTTGTAAGTTTTCGCTACCGATGTATCCGGGGTGAGAGCTCAGCGCTCCGGGCTCTACTCAGTACTCGGTGACAGACCTCACTCGACTCACCGTATTGGTATCACAATTGCATGCACATGTGCGCCTCCGTCCAACTCCAAGCGTGATTGCGCATCCGACGGCATACAATCAAATCGCTCCGCTTAACGATCACGGGGTATCGCCTTCTTCCTAAATTTAGCTGGAGTCGTCTTGCAAAGTCACCGTGACAATAATAGTCTCGGGTTCGCCATAATCTTGGTTCAATATTACGAATTAATTCTGCTACGGTAACGGATTAAGAACTATTTCTCCTTCTGAAGACGACTGAATAGTTGTTGGTTCAAGTATGTGGGCAGTGTGCAAGCATCGAAGGAAGCACTATGTCAGCCGTAGCGATGTCAGTGGAGTGTACTTCCGCACTGCAGCAATGCTTCTCAAATGAGTCAAGTGACCCTCTGACATCGGAACAGCTTATCTACCAAGGCGCTCGTGATCTCCCTTCTCCGCCTTACAATCGTGTCTGACAGGTCTGAGTAACGACCTCTTAGTCTATGGACCATCTTACCATATCTCACAGACACATATACATCTCTTCTGATGGTCTCGTGCCCAACTCGGTCGGTGGTGAGTTACACTGAATCCTGCGCTTCGCCTGTAAGCTTCCATGCATGCATGCTCAATTTGTTAACATTACTTAGACATGTTGCAACCAAGATAGTATATGTTGCGACCTCCTCCCCATGAACTCAACATCCTTCCTCTCATGATGCGTTCGCAAGCCCAAGTGCAAATTGAAATGTGGCAGCCATCGAGTTTGCTGCGTTCGCAAACGGCCCCACCCATCGACACGTGGTGGTCGTCATCGACAATTACACTGGCAATCGTTTGGGTTTGGTCTAGCTATGCTATGGAGCATGCTCGTGCTAAACATGCAGGACTGAAAGTTGTGAGCGTGCTAAATGCGGACGACGTGTTGCCTGTGCACGAGTCCAATCAAGATGGGAAGGCTGTGAGACAGTAGGTCTCAGAGGTCTCAGAAGAAACATGTGTGCAAGGTCCTTGATGTCTATACAACGCCCGGTGGCAAAGGGGCGAGTGTCAGTATTTCTTTATGCTTCTGTCGGTGCTCATGATAAATCCACTTGTAGCATCTACTTCAAGCGCCCCAGTCCCACACGTTCACATGCTGAGTGCCTTGGTGACGTGCTGGTTGCGCACTTGCATTGCAGTTGGACATTGTCATGTTCCTGGACACGAACCTCATTCAGGTCTTAGTTTGGGCATCATTTGCACACACTAATATTCGGTATTACTCTTCACTTTCACTGCTCCACTGCCAATTGTATGACATCAAACCCGTGCAGCTTTTCAACTGGTTGCCAATGGCCACGTTGAGGTGGGACTCGGTTTACACATTGAACCGGGCGTCCGCCGTGCACTGTTGGAATCCTCTCGTTGGCTCGCTACCGGGATGTTGTGCCTAACAAGTTATATGGCGGAGAATGGAGCAGAGCAGGGATCTACCAGGGTGAAGGTACAATATTGTCTTCCAATATTAATTTCTCTTGCATTTCAGGGGCCCGGGCGTGCACGTTTGATGCTGATGAGCTGTGGCTCCGCAAACAATGATGTGATTGTCTTTTTCGTGATCAGAACAATCTTGACGGTGTATTGCAACTTGAAATTGGAGCAGTAGTAAGAGAAGTTCGGGGTGTTCCTGGTATGTGCATGAAATTATTCCACCAAAGTCCAAAAGTAATTTACATAAATCAGCGTTGCAAAAGATTGTTCCGTCTCGTGTTTACTGCGCTCCATGTATGACCTTGTTGCGCGCGCCCAGATTCTCAATCTCCATTACGAGCGTATCTATGATTCACGAACTTATCGATTCAACTTCCATCTGCATGGCCAGGAAATGCTGATGGACTATATGTTGCTGCAGGAAACAGCGAAGACGATGTGACCAACTTGCTCACGCTCCGGGTCCTGAATGCTCCAATTGATGCCCATTCCTGGCTTTGTGTACACTCCTGGCCAGCTGTCAGAGCCACCTGCCGAAGGTGAAGCGCAGGAGGCCTGACTGCAAACCTTCGCTTCTCCCTCTAGAATTTCTCAATCCTCATCTGATGGGGTTTCGACTTCGCAGGGTTTGTGTAAGTTAGAAGAGAAGGTGAATGGTCCCTGAGTCAGACACTACGTGATTTGACGCGGTTGTGGGCGATGGTGACTGCGGAGAGACGTTTGCTGGTGGTGCGAAAGGAGTATAGTACACGCTGTTTGCTTGCCTGTGATCCTGGTCAGAATACAACTATCCTTGCGGCCTTCGACTCTGGGACGCTCAATTAAATGAAGATAGTTCCTGCCGCGTTTGTGAGTAAGGTGGGTAAGATACTGGAAGGGAGGTACTGCTGGTGCTCGTGAGTTGGCTACTCTTGAACGTAGATAGCATGATTTAGTTTTTACGATCTTCTTTACAGCATGATCCAGTGTCCTATCTTTATTAAATGCTGCTCTAACTGCGTTGGGAATACACATCCGCTCTTCCGGGAAATAGAAGGGCCATCGTTGATGCACTGGCACCATTTTGTGCTGTGCTTTTGTCAGATGCTTCACTGCAAGATGCTGTCGTGGCCATGGAAGAAGGTGCAGATCGATCAGAAGACCCGGGGAATGAAGAAACGACCGATAAGGACGGGCATTGTATGTAAGCGGTGGAGAAGGATGGGTATTCCTCCTGACCTCGGTGCTTGGGGAATCGCCAATATCGTGGTTAGGTTTGCAAAGAATATGGCCGTAAGCCCATCACTACTAGTACTACATAGAAATATCCAGGTCACATTTGCCAAGACTAAGGCTGTAGTCCTGCACGTGACATCATCGCGGGCGCCACACCTTTGTCCGTGACTGCCATGATCCACACCTTCAAGTTGATGCCCTCTATATTTGTGGACCTACAAGAGCTCATACGGGACCTCGAACCTCCTGTACGAACCTCCTGTATGAACCTTCTGTATGCGATAGCAATTTTATGTCTTGTACGTGTTCGATTCTCGCCACATCCTTGCCATGTATGGACAGGCTCTGATATCAGAACAACACAATTTGCCGAATAAGTCGCCGCAGATCTCTTCTGGTTAGCACATATGAGCCTTATGAAGTTATCTCACATTTGCACAGGGAACAGCAATGTCACAAACAGATAATCATGCGCTGATGATTCCTGTACACGGTGTACGACACTTCTCGAGGCTTTCTCTGATACCTGCAAGTGACTTACCCTGAATTTCAACTTGTGGCCATGATATGCACTGTGCTGTAACACGCATGTCCAAGAAGGGGCTGGTCTATAAAATCAGAGGTCATTCAGATGTCGTCCGCACCACACTTCCGAGTTTCAGACACAATCTACTATCATGAACACATTTCTCAATAGACGTGGCAGACAGACTACCTCGTTAAGGGATCCATCCCCTGATACCACATCCGGTTCCGCCAGCCCTCCAGACACGGGAGTTGACATATCATCCACCGACTATGCCCACAGGCGTAGAGAGCTCATGAAAATGATGGCTGACCTCAAATCCATGGGGTGGGTGTTTGTGGTTCTGACTGCACAGCTTGCTCATGCGACCTCTTACAGTGCCGAGGCGCTCATCGACTTACCATCCGTAGTCGTCATTGGTGGCCAATCAGGTTTGCGATCGTCTCCTCTTTCAACCACAGCTGTACTCAACCCAACATTTCAGCGGGTAAAAGCTCACTCGTTGAAGCCGTCAGTGGGGTACGTCGGCAGACAGTCTGTCCCTTTGTTCCTTGACTCATTATTTTTTCCATTATGATAAAGATCAATGTCCCGCGGGACAGCGGAACATGTACAAGGTGACCCTACCACCATCGGTCACTGCATAGGATGCTCATGCTACTCTATTCAGATGCCCAATGGAATGTACAATGTCTAGTCATGCCACGTCGTGGTCTTGCTCTATCACTTTACGGATGAACTTTGATAGTAACGGTAAAGACATGGCAAAGACTGTCACAGTGCCTTTTGGTCGAACGATTACTGACAGAAATGAGGTTGAGGTTTGGCTGCGTCGTGCCCAGTCAGCCATTCTCAACCCGAACCTCCCTTCTGCGAGTTTTCACACGAAGACCATCGAGGAACTCAGGAGCGCAAAGAATACACTAAAGTTCTCCCGAAACGTGGTGTGCGTCTCCATTGAAGACCCTGATGCGACAGACCTGTCCTTCTATGATCTACCGGGTAAGTACGTGTTGATCTGGATTGAGACAATACATTTAACGTGCAATGAAGGTTTGATTCAAAATGAAGAAGCCGAGACCGTTGCCCTCGTGAAAGGTTTGGCGGAACATTACACTCAGAAAAAGAACACCATCATATTGACTACCATTCCCATGAGTGGTACGTGTATAAACTGCGAACTTCTTTGTAACCGAATCGAACCGTGCCCTCTCAGATGATATGGAAAATCAACAATCCATGAGTCTTGCCAGGGCCGCAGACCCTGACGGAAAGCGAACAATTGGTATGTCACTCATATTGCAATATGATCAAACAGCTCAAATTTGTTCAGGTGTCCTTACGAAACCTGACACGCTCGGTGCCGGTGCTATCAACCAACGCAAAAGATGGGTGGAAATCATCGAAGGCCATTCGGAGGATCACAAATTGAGGCACGGTTTCTACTGTGTGCGTCTTCCTGACGATGCCGAACGCTCACAACGCCTGTCTCGTGCTGAATTGCAAAGGCGTGCTGCTGAGTATTTCGATACAACTTCGCCCTGGAATGGTGTGTCCGACCGTCATCGGTTCGGAATTCCAGGTTTCGTCTCAGATGTCAGCCGACTGCTCATCCAGCTGATCGAGGAAGCGTGCGTGGACATTCTAGGTCGCTCGCTATAACAGAACTGACATTGTTTATAGTTTACCGCGCCTCAGAGAAGATATCGACAAGCTCCTTGCCCAATGTAACCAGGAACTCGGTGCATTACCCCCGCCACTTGCAAATGACCCACAGATCGAGGTTTTGGGACGTGTTAATGCATTCTGCGACGTCTTCAAGGGCTATGTGAATGGCAGTCATGAAGACAAACGTCTTGCGCAGCGGAATCGCGCTCTCTATGCTATCTTTAAGAGGGATATACGCGGCACTGCTCCTGACTTTAGGCCTTTCGAAAATACGGAAGATTGTCCTCCACTGGATGATACCAAGGGGAAGATGACTCTTACTGAACGAGATCCTGGAGTGAAAACGATGGGTATATATGAGATCAGCAAAGTCATCCAAGAGTATGTTTTCGTATTTTGTTGTGGTAATTGAATGGTAGCTCAATCATTCATCAAGGGCAATTGGATGGGAGCTTCCAAACAACGTACCATATCAAGCAAAGGCGAACCTCATCGCTGGCTTCATCAAACTCTGGGCTGCTCCGTCTGAGCGCTGTCTCGCTGGCGTCAATGATGTGCTCGATCAAGTCATTGACACACTCATTGGCATACATTTTGGACGCTTCAGAGTCCTTGAGGGTTATGTTGGGTAAGGATTGACCTTTGACCGTTATTCCTTTGGCTCAAGTTGTCTTGTGACGTCAGTAATTTGATCAGAACTCAGGTTGATATCTGCAAGGCGCTCGCCAAAGAAGCTGTCAAAAAAGCTTTGGATTTGGAAACTACCCCATACTATACTCAAAACACGCACTATCTTCAAACACTCAGCGAAAAATGGCTGGCCTACTATAAAGTAGTTCGCCATAGACCCAAGACTGAACGCGCACAGTCTCCATATGTATATGAGTCCGTTTATCGCGGCGAGCCTCCCGAGTCCAAAGCTTTGAGGGCTCTTGCAGAGGCAGGGTATACGAGTCTCAGCATACCAGATCTTGCACGTCTGTTACCTCCCGACTCGCGCGAGAAAGAGCTGATTGTGATGGCTGATGTTCGAGCTTATTATCACGTTGCCTACAAGGTGAGAGTTGTTTATTGTCTGTGTTTCAACATGTTTATCCCCCGAGCAGCGCATCATCGACCATATTCCTCTGACGATCGAGCATGCTCTCCACCATGCTCTGGCGGAACAACTGTCGCAGAGCCTTCTTACAAGCTTGCTGACAGATGTTGCATCTGGATCCAATTTCTCTGAGCGTATGAACGAGTTGGTCAGCGAAGACCTTTCCATTGCTCAGAAACGAGCATCGCTCTCGACAAGAAAACAACGCCTATCAGACATTCGCCGGAGACTCATGACTTTCGGCAATAACATTTAATTGCTGCGAGGGGGTTGCGATGTACTTTCATCTGTTAGAGTTCTGTGCAAATATAGATTTTCCCTCGTCGATCTCCTGTTGACCTCTGTCGTTGTTACTGTAGTGGTCATTGTATTTTTCTGCCATGTGCTCGAACGTCGTTATCTTACATACTTGTGAGCAAAGCAATTGGGTTCTTTGTTCGTACTGGTACATTGCTACCTAAAACAAGGAGGCACGGCTGACCTGAGTCCTTAATCGACGTCGACTGGATTCCAGGTAACTGCGCCCTCCTTCCCGCGGTCCAACGCGTCAAGCTTTGCCATGTCTGTAGGTTCGATTTCCCAGCCAAATACTTGGCCGTTGGATATGATACGTTCTGGTTGCGAGGATTTGGGCAAAGGCACAAATCTGGGTATAATCAAATCAAATAAGAATATAGGCAGATACCAATCGTGCAACTTACCCCCGTTGCAAAGACCACCTGACAAGAATTTGAGCAGGATCCTTGGAGTACTACACCACATTAATCAGCATGACGCAAGCAGATACAGTATAAAGTCACCTTTGTAGAGAGCTCCTGAATGACTTGGTTATCGAAAGCACCACGCACAAGAGGGGAGTAGGCCTGGACAATGATGTTGTTCTTCCTACAATAATCGACGATGGGTTTTTGCTGGCAGAACGGATGTAACTGATGACAATTTCAGCTTCCTCGTAATGGTTGTATGAGCCAATCGTAGAAATGCTCACCTCTATTTGGTTCACAACAGGCATATCTAGACCAGCCTCACGAATCTCTTCTATGTGCTTGGCTGAGCTGTGTAACTGTTAGCCGAGAGGTACCTATGAGTGATGATACCTACTAATTGGAGACGCCGACAGATTTGATCATCCCGCTCGCCTTGCCATCCAACAGAGCCCTGTAGGCAGCAAGACGTGCGTCCTTACCTCCAATGGCGCTGTGGGTCAGGTATAAATTATAATACGCTAGTACCTATCTTGTAAGCCATATAAATTGTTAGGAAGGTAAGACTTGCAAGATCCAAGGTTCGCGATCGAGTCTTTCAAAGCAGCCGTCGTGCCATCGTAGGTGAAATCCTCATGGAAGACCTTCGAAGCTATCGTAACAAAGAGGATCAGATATGTGAGAGGTTGATGTCCAGGAGCTTATCCTCACTGATAAAGACGTCTTCGCGCTTAACGCCACTTTTCCCTACCCCAACACCAACTTGAACTTCATTCTCGTAGTACCGGGCCCCATCGATCATTCTAACGATCTAACTGAGTTTTGAAACTTTTGATGTGCAATACCTACCGGTAACCATTTTGAAGGGCAACCCTGCAAGCTTCCGCGCATTCCTCGTTCAGGTAGACACCAAGCCCGATAGAGGGCATGGTGTGGCCTAAACGATTTGTATTGATCAGATACTACATGGAATCATGATGATAGAAACTCACCATCAGAGAGTGTAATTGTTTCAACCATGGTTTAGAGCTGGAGGGTAAAGATAAACGGGAAAGAGCTGGCTATTTATGCGAGTCCGAAACATACAGCGTGCTTGGGACTCCGCTGGTGAATGCTACACGCACGGCTTACACAGAAGCCAGCCTCTTCATGGGGGAGTTGAGACATTGACACGAATCTCGCGAAGGCAGCCAAGTATGTCAAGCGAGCGAGCCCAACGTGGGACCTGCATACTAAAGGAAGGATGAAGGGTTGGCACTTCCAGTCAGTATTGACTAGTTAGTCAAGCACTGACTGACGATTGACTGACCCAAGATGTCGACGTCATGTAGTATGGGAATGGTGCCTTACATAAAGCAGCCTGGTGCCGAGCCTGTCAAGATCCAACAATCAAATCTGTTGAAGAGAATTGGCTCGCGAAGACAACAGGAGAAATGACTCATGTCTGCGCCAAAGATGAACTTCTCTGAGTGTCCCACGTGAGTCAGCTCTGTGACACTTGATAACTTCAGTGAAGTTAATTTTCTGTGTTAGCCTCGTGCCAAAATTGAGCCTACGCGTGAGTAAGCGACGTAGCGTAACTAGTAGTCTGCAGGCAGAACTGGCAGACCCGAAACGACCATCGCTCCGTTTATCAGACATTCGCCGACTCATCAATAATATTTACAAATTGCTGCGAGGGGGTTACGATGTGTTTTTTAGGTAGCAATGTCCCAGCACTAAAGAACCCTTCACGAGCATGTAATATAACGATGTTCGAGCACATTGCAGAAAAACACAATGACCACTACACTAACAACGACAGGGGTCAACAGGAGGTTAACAAGAGGGAATATCTATATTTGCACAAGGATGCAGCCCTGAGGCGGCTGACTAGACTTCTTAATCGACGTCGACTGGATTCCAAGTAACTGCGCCCTCCTTCCCGCGGTCCAACGCGTCAAGCTTTGCCATGTCCGTAGGTTCAATTTCCCAACCAAATACTTGGCCGTTGGATATGATACGTCCGGGCTGCGAGGATTTGGGCAAAGGCACAAATCTGGGCGTAAATCAAATAAGAATATAGGTAAATACCAATCGTGTTACTCGCCCTCGTTGCAAAGACCACTTGACAAGAATTTGAGCAGGATCCTTGGAGTACTACAACACATCAAACACCATGACGCAAGCAGATACGGTATACAGTCACCTTTGTAGAGAGCTCCTGGATGACGGGGTTGTCGAGAGCACCACACACAAGAGGGGAGTAGGCCTGGACAACGATGTTGTTCTTCTTACAATATTCGACGATGGGTTTCTGTTGGCAGAACGGATGTAACTGGTGATAATTTCAACTTCCTCGCAATGGTTTGTGTGAGCCAATTGTAGAAATGCTCGCCTCTATTTGGTTCACAACGGGAATTTCTAGACCAGCCTCACGGATCTCTTCTATGTGCTTTGCCGAACTGTGTAACTGTCAGTTGAGAGGGTATCTGTGAGTGATGGTACCTACTAATTGGAGACACCGACAGATTTGATCATTCCGCTCGCCTTGCCGTCCAAAAGAGCTCTGTAGGCGGCAAGACGTGCGTCCTTACCTCCAAGGGCGCTGTGGGTCAGGTATAAATCATAATACGCTAGTACCTGTCTTGTAAGCCACATAAATTATGAGGAAGGTAAGACTTACAAGATCCAAGGTTCGCGATTGATTCTTTCAAAGCAGCCGTCGTGCCATCGTAGGTGAAATCCGGATGGTAGACCTTCGAAGCTACCATAATAAAGGGGACCGGATATGTGAGAGGTTGATGTCCTAAGAGCTTATCCTCACTGATAAAGACATCTTCGCGCTTAACGCCACTTTTCCCTACCCCAACACCGACTTGAACTTCATTCTCGTAGTACCGGGCCCCATCAATCATTCTAATGATCTAATTGAGTTTCAAAACTTTGACTAGTCACTGATGTGAAATACCTACCGGTAACCATTTTGAAGGGCAACCTCGCAAGCTTCCGCGCATTCATCGTTCAAGTAGACACCAAGCCCAATAGCGGGCATGGTGTGGCCTTAACGATTTGCGTTGATAAGATACTACGTGAACCAAATGATGACGAAAACTCACCATCAGAGAGTGTAACTGTTTCAACCATGAATTAGATCTGAAGGGATAAAGATAAGAAAAAAGCTAGCTATTATGGCGTGCCTGGGACTCCGCTTATGAATGTTATACGCACAGTTTACAGGGAAGCCAGCCTCTTCCTACTGGAGTTGAAACGTTGACGCGAACTTCGCGAAGGCAGCTAACTATGTCAAGCAAGCGAGCTCAACGTGAGACCTGTATACAAAGGCTTGAAGGGATTTCAAGAGTCGGCATTTCCGGTCAGTGTTGACCAAAAATAATGAGATAGACGGTCCAGCACTGGCTGACAATTGACTAACCCAAGATGTCATGTATGGGAATGGTGCCTCACATAAAGCAGGTGCCAAGAGGTGCCAAGTCTGTCAAAGATACAATAATCAAATCTGTTGAACAATAGGAACGCCTCGTGAACATTATACATAACAGGAGAAATAACGCTTGTCCACGCCAAAGATGAACTTCTTCCTAAATGAGTGTCCCACGTCAGCTCGACACGTATATCCCCAATAGTGAGTCGTCCGCGTCACCTTCAAGTTTCTAGCCCATCAAGTTGCGACTCGACACTTGCCTTCGCGTATTACTATTCATTCCCTCGGAAACCGGATTTAAACCAGGACATTTTACACCCCCAAATTCGCCAATGTTACATAGCATAGCGGGTATCGTGATGGACATTTCTCCCTCTGCGATGAACAGATTCACTTGGATGCACATCGACGAGTTTGTGGAATCGTATATAGCCCATCCCGAAAGATCTATTGCCATGTGCGCGAGTGTAGTATAAGCATGGTTCATCTTTTGAATGTTCGTAGTCACTTGTCTCAGACGGCATTTCTCCCGGGCCTGAGAGACACCATCCTTGAGCAAATAACGTGTCATCAGATTGATTTGTTTCATTTTGTGTTGCGATTCAATATTCAGTAACGAGGATAATTGCATTTTGTATTGATGGACCATAACTTGAACATCCACACAGTCACTCCAAACAAGTCTCGAACCCTACAACTCGGTCAACTCACAACTAGTAAAACAAATATAAACGCCCACCAGATAGCAGAAATTGCTAACGTGCCGAGTTCCTAATCCGAGCCTTCTAGCCTTGCCAAAGCTGAGCGCTTGAGCGCTGAGACTAGATAGTGCCAATAAAACCCGCTGGACATCAGCTGGGAAGAATGCGAACATGATTTCGGTTATGAATTTTCGAAGCTCTCCCGAGCCTTTGACAGTGTGTGACACTCATGTTCACACACCGCTGGCACTGTCGTAGCAGAGTCAACATCCGGCCTTCGAGCTTCAAAGCTTCAAGTTCGTATGATCAGAATCATGCAAGTATCATATTCATAGCACTTACCTGCGATTAGCCGAGCTGAATCAATGGTACGCCATGACAATTATCCCATAGGGCAATAGTTATATCATCCCAGCTTCAAGTTCTTCCCGCGATTACATACTTCGCAGAGTTACCAAGGATATCTTAGCCTATCTGAGCGCGTGTAGTTCTGCCGCGACGTCCAAGGCTAATTTCCTGCTGTTCTGCTCCAAAACGAAGATGAAAATCCACTTAGACATGACGATACTGGTGGTCATATCCAGCTCCCGTTCGTGCTAGTTCGGGAAGACTACCGCTCCAGCTTAGGTGGAGGAACAAGTCACTTCAGATGGAGACTTGGATGGCTAGTAGCGCTAGCGTAACAGCTCGCTCGATCAGAACAAGCTATGTGGATGCTGTTGGGGTTTGATTCATCTTCGAAAGCTTACAACCTGTACTACATGATAGTCCTCAGTAATTGGAGTCAAATTCTCGGACTGGAACCCCTCGCACTCGTTCACCAGATTCCTCCGTTCACACATAACCGGCCTCTCTGTTGCTTTCGTCTACCAAAGCTTTCACTGCTTGCGCAATTTCCACTGCACCCTAAGCCAATTATATCAGCTTTGAATCAGATGCTCGATTACAAGAAGAGTTGCTCACTGGAGTATCAGAATGGCAGCATATGGAGACCTCAGCGACATTTGCTCCGATGTGAAGCAGCTTGCCTCCGACTGTAGAAACTTTATGGAACCTCAGAAGATTTGTTACCTGCGAGATGAGAAAAGATATGAATGAGAGGCTAAACACTACAACTACCATAGGCCAAGGGAGGTATTCACTCGTTGGCGCACGACTTCAATGGGTACTGGATCATGCTTCCTGGAGTCCAAGACACAGGTGAATCGAAGTAGCATGCGATAGCAGACAAACCAACTTCGTTATCAACAATTTCCCCTCATCATTGTAATCAAGGTCAGCAAACCACTCTAAACTTTTCTCGTTACTCAGTCATGCAAATCAGTACAGCAGTGACTAACCTGCAATGAACGGCACGCCCAGTTCTTCTGCAGCTTGTTGATGAGCTGTTCCAGCAAGCCCCATAAAGGCTACACCTTGAGGACTGGCCGCGCTAGATTTGAAGATTTTTGTGACACCAACGACTGCCCGTGCAAGGTCGATAGAGCGTGCTGTCTGACCATAGACAGAGCCGTGGGGTTTTATCTATGGTTATCTCAGCCACCGGACTGTGGAAATCGATATAAAAAACCGTACGTGATTCATTGGAAGGCCGTAGCGTTTCAAAAACCCGTCCAATGCACCTACCTGATAGATGAAGCAGGACTCTAGCTCGTCCTGCCAAGTCGTGAATGTTTCAATGCATTCACATTGACTGATGACATTGCTTACCGGCTCAATTGCCATCTCGCGACGCCCAAAACCTTGTAAATCAGGCAAGGAAGGGTGGGCCCCAACGAGGACGTTGTTGGACTTAGCGAGTGCAACCGTCTTGTTCATGACTGAGAAGTCGCTAAGAAGAATTGTTAACACAAAGAGTCAAAGTTGATAAGTGGGACTCAACGAAGCATGAAATCCACAGGCGACATTTGCCAAGTGGATTGTCTTCATAAGACCTTCGTCGTCTCCCTGTTCGGTACTCTCTTGAACAAATGAGACGATGTTCATCGTGCAATACATACGATAGTGTACAACGAAAAGCCCTTGTGTAATGTTGACGTGACGAACGGCTACTTATAATGACACGACTTACCTCCCCCATATCACAGTTTACGGTAGCTTTCAATGGTTTGCTCATCGTATATATGTTTCGCGTGGCGTCCGTCCGTAAAGTCAGCGTTCACTGAGGGCAAATGGCAACTTGAAGACAATGTCGCCGATAAGCTGAAAGTACTTAAAAGCAGGTGACCTTATGAGTCCAGAAGACCTCGGCCCGCGGTTGCACATGCTGGTGGCTGCGCCCACGACAGTGTGAAGTAGACAAGAAGCAGTGTGGATCACAAGATAAATTTGGTTCCCATCTGTATCAATGACATGCAAGCTGTCGTATATAAGCATCACATGAGCAACTGTGACTATGTCCGGAACGATGAACAACACTAATGCATAGTGTTACACCTCATTTGCTCAGCTACCAGTACTCCACCTGGATACTATTTTCTCTTGCGGAACCCCTGTTGTACTTTCCGGGCGTGTTTCATTGCTCGGCCACACGGTCTGAACAGTCTGGTCTAACAGAACTTCATCTATATGACTGCTTGGTGAGTATAATGAGTATAACATCACGAAGCAACGCTACCTTCACCAGGGTCTGAGCTGCTTGGCCGCGCATTTCTAGCCACCCAAGATGGATGATACGCAGGCGGAAGCCTTTCTGCAGGCGCATCATGGGGGGGAATCAACGTGCCGGCATCATCTTCTCGAATGTATGGCACCACTTCAGAAAAATCGTCATTCACAAGATATGATGGGCCAATTGACGGGTTCAAGGACTGGACCCGCTCTGGGGTCAAAGAATGTATCACTGGGAGAGTAGACTCCCTAGACTCGTGATGGCGCCGGGCAGGACTTAAACTACTGTATCTCTGAGTGGCTACTAGGGAGTGTTGTGAGTGCGTGAGTGAACACATGAAGAGTACAAGCACCTGCTTCAGTATCCGTAAAGGACGCTCCATAGACAGGCTGGTCACCATATGATTGTCCCAGAAACACGGATGGTGTATCCTGGATCATGCGAGGCCGTTTACCTCGTCTGTAACAGTAAACACCACCGAGCACTGCAATTATGGTGAGCGCAACGCCACCCACTGCACCACCTATGATGGCTGTCCGTGAAGTAGAAGTAGAAGTAGACGAAACTGAATTAGTATTCCCAGAGCTGGTATGGAGTGCAGAGGCAATAATTGTGGAAGTGGGGGAGCCACCTGCAGTAGGGGCCGTCGTAGATGTGGGGAGGGATGCTGAAGGTGAGACTTGGTTCGGGCAAACCGTGAAAGTATTGTTGTTGTTTATCGCCTGCTGTTCTACTGCATAATCTGCTGTCCATCGACTGGGTTATCGTGAGGAACGAACTACTGTCTCCTTCGAGATTTGAACTCACTAGTACCTAGCTCAGGGTCAGACAGGTACTGTGTGCGTTAAATAGACTTACCAGGATCCATCGGACCAATATGATCTATTGTACAAGAAGTTGTCGATCTTGATGTTCTCATTGCACACAGCCTGTTGAATACCTGCTGGAAGCCTAAATTATACCACGCGGTATTGTGAGTGGGTGCGTTGCCTCCATTCTCAGTTTACTCACGATTGATTGGTGCTAGCACCACAGGTAGCAAGGTAAGTAGTGTATGTTCCAGGAGCTGCAGAACAAGTGAGTCGTTGCGTTGAAACAGATTTAACTCGTATTTACCCGCATCAATTCCAGCTACATCGCCTGCAACAGCATCTTCCTGGCAACTACGTGTTTGGACAACTGTTATTAGCGGACCATGAAAAAGAAGAATATGAATTACTTCATGCAGAGCATGCTTAATGCAAATGCGACAGAATTGCAGCAGCAATCCGCTAATCATTGATTCAGCGAACGTAGTGGATTGGCGCGATAAGTATTAAGAAAAGACCTACAAACTTGATCATTGCACCGATCACCGGGGGTGGTCGCGCTGAAATCGCCCACTACATCTGTTTGTTATGCATGTCAGTGCATGCCAAAGAAAAGCCTGGAAACACCCACAAGCACTGTTGCATATTTGTCGAAGCCGCTGATATGTCATGCCTAACTTGTTGGTAATTTGCCATCGAAATCACTCCAAATGTTGTATGGACTTACAAGGTGTTTCACCAACCGCGGTTGTGTACCAATCCAGTTGGCTGCTAAGACATGTCGTGTTACCGGCTGCTAAAACAACAACTGCATGATATAGAAGTAAGGGGGCAACCCATGCAAGTCCCTGCATGGTCGACGGTCTACGTAGTGCCCACAGTGTTGAGGTGCGTGAGGAGAAAAGGCAATGGATATGGATGGTTGGCTTGACACTGGGGCATTAACTTAATAACTGTCCATCAATGAACGGCAGTGCGGCGGAGGCTCTTCTTAGTATCAAAGTTGGAAGTACTTAGCCTTCCCGGCGACGAAGTACCGGCCTGAAATGCTTGTCACAGGCAACAATCAAGTTAAATTGATCGGAGTACAAGCAAGTTGCAACCAATACGTACAGCCGCGGCAAAATCGGATATTAGGTGGTTACTCCTTGTCGTTTTTCTCGGCTATGTGACTCATCGATCGACATTATTTACTGCTTTGCGAGGCTCATGATGCTCGCGATCGACTGGTGGTAAGTATAGTTGTAAGAATCAATTTCGGTCCCTACTTCTAAGAATAACACCAAAAATTCACACCAAACTTACAGAGACTCGAGCGCTGAGCGCTAAGCCATTGAACTCTAGCGCCTGTGGAGCTATACTTGAAGTCTTGAACACATGATGTCAGTCACGATGTGCGTGGCTTTGGACTCAATTCAGACATCTCTTCTGACAGGCTGATATATATAATGCCTGGAATCATGGTACGAAGGGAAGCCCGTCCCAACACTACCACTAACATGTCACTCAATAGTGAATACACAAGCCACAAGCTATTAGTTGCAAATAGAGGAGAGATTGCTGTTCGCATCATTCGAACTGCTCAACGGCTGGGTATAGCAACAGTAGCCATCTACACCTCGTCAGACGCCCTCTCCCCTCACGTCGCCATCGCAGACGAAGCCGCTCATTTGCAGAACTACGCCGGCGACCAACAACAACTAGCATCAGAATCGAAGCTGTATTTATCCAGTGCTACCATCATCTCGATATGCAAGCAGCATCGGGTTACCATGGTTCATCCAGGCTATGGTTTCCTCTCGGAGAATGAGGAATTTGCTCTTTCTGTAGAGGCAGCCCAGATGATCTGGCTCGGTCCCCAACCAGACGTTATTCGGATCATGGGTCTAAAACATGAAGCCCGACATCTTGCTGCGAATGCTGGCTTGCAACTCGTTCCAGGGTCTCAAGGACTTGTAAACACTCTCGATGAGGCCCTAAACATAGCAAATACGATTGGTTTTCCTGTGATTCTGAAAGCGACAGCTGGGGGAGGGGGCATGGGTCTTATTGTTTGTCAAAACGGCAGCGACCTCTCCAAGTACTTTATCGGTGCTCAAGAAAGGGCAACTGTAAGTATGATGGATGACGCGCTTGTTGAAGCTGAATCTACATTCCCCAGTCAATGTTTCGTAATGGGGGAGTTTTTATTGAACGATACTACCCTGCAGCACGGCATATCGAAATCCAGGTTGGTATCCGTGAAGCTTGAATTCACTTCATACTACATTTCCGCATAACAGGTGTTCGGTAATGGACTGGGTGATGTGGTACACATGGGGGAGAGAGAATGCAGCGTTCAAAGGAGACATCAAAAGGTCGTAGAAGAGACCCCGAGTCCATTCGTCACAGGTCATTCAGGTAGTTATTAAGAATGTTGATGCAGTAACCTGTGTTGATATTTCACAGGTCTTCGTGAAGATATGTGTAATGCAGCCGTGAAGCTGTGCAGAGCTATCAAATATGCATCCGCAGGTTGGACAGCCTATGATGATCAGTGGTCGTATTTTACTTATTGCAAGTCAGGTACGGTGGAATTTCTTGTGGACGATGAGTCGGGCGAGTTTTTCTTTCTTGAAATGAATACACGTATCCAGGTGCGTACAGTTGTGATGAACGTCGGGAAACACATCCTCCTAATTGTATGCAGGTCGAGCACGCCATCACAGAGGCTATACATCCTGGCCTGGACCTCATAGAAATGATGGTAGCACAAGGAATTGCACAGCAGTCTGAGGCGAGAGGTCTTGATCATGCGAATCAAAGCATGATGCAAGCTATCTATGACAAGAACCTTGCTGAGTCTCGCATCCACGCCATCGAAGCCAGAGTCTATTGTGAAAACCCCTCAGAAGGCTTCAAACCCAGTCCAGGCATCCTACAGCTCGTGGAATTCCCAAAAGAGATTTGGCTTCGCGTTGACAGCTGGGTGCGTATGTCGCTCTGTGTCCAACACTACACCTTCGAATGTAAACTTTGCAGGTGTCAACGGGAACGGAAGTAACTCAATTTTTCGACCCTTTACTATGTAAATTAATCGTGACCGGTTCAACACGAGAACAAGCAGTTTCAAGAATGGTTCAAGTATTGAAAGCCTGCAAAGTCTTTGGCCCGCCAAACAACCTGGCCTACCTCGCTTCAATATGTAACAGCACTGTTTTCAAAAAAGGGAAGGCCACGACACGGTTTTTGGACAACTTTGATTTCTCCCCAAGGTACGCGCAGTCGGATATGATCCAAATGGCTCACTGACTAGTTTGTTTCAAAAGCGCATTCACTGTGCTATCAGCTGGTATTGAAATGACTATCCAAGATCTACCCGGCAGGCGTATCGGGCTAGGCATCCCGCGAAGCGGCCCCATGGACTCTCAGGCATTCAGTGCAGCCAACATACTGGCTGGCAATACACCGGAGACGGAAGCATTAGAGATCGTCGTCCTCCCTGGCGCCGGATGCAAGCTTGAAATTCCACAGTTTCGCTATTGTAGCGATAACTGGCAAGTCAGCAACTGTGAAGATTAATGGAAAAGAGGTTCCCATGTGGGCTCGCCTCGCTGTCTCCGAGAATGGGATTCTCGATATTGCGGTCCTCCCAGGTCCTGGGTTCAGAATATATCTAGCAATCAGAGGTGGCTTCCCTGAAGTGCCACAATATCTTGGATCCAAGTCGACGTCGATGGGCCTTGGAGGCTATCAGGTGCTCCGAATTTTATATTTAGTTGAATTTAGTTTTTGCTCACCATCCCCTTAGGGAAGATCACTTAGAGTGGGCGATCAACTTTCCTTCGGTTCGCAATCATCATCAGAGCAAGATGAAATAGATCCGATAGCCTTCTTACTCCCCAAAAGCCTCATCCCGGTCTACCCTCAAGATTGGGTTATTAAAGTCTTGGCCGGACCGTATGATGATGCGTTAATTTTGACCCCTGAAGGAAACGCCAAGTTTTACTCGACGAAGTGGTTCATTAGTTCATCAAGTAATAGAATGGGGATACGGCTGGAGAGCGATCAAAGCTTAGATTGGGCCCGTCACACTGGTGGCGAGGGAGGGTCTCACCCGAGCAACATTCTAGATAACGGATATGCGTTAGGGACGGTTAACGTGAATGGAGACACGCCCGTTATCTTAACAAATGAAGGACCAGACATGGGCGGGTATGTCTGCCTGTGTACCGTCGCAACTGGGGAAAGGTAAGTGACTTCTCAAATCAGGTGAGTTCTGCTCATCGGTACGCACAGGTGGAAGCTGGGGCAATTGAGCCCTGGTAGTACGGTGACCTTTCGCAAGATTTCATGGCAGGATGCACAAGCTTGTATGAAAGACTCGCTTAGATGGATTGAGACCGTACAGGCCGTTATCGCTGGATCTCAACCACATGCGGGCTTCATAGATGGTGCTTTGGAAGGCGAAGGTAGGGAGTTATCCGGAATTCTGTACAGGAATGAGTGGCTACCGGGAAGTCCGAGACCTGCCGTAACGTTCCGACAGGTGCGTTCACTACATCACGGTCATTGGTCATACTATCTAAAGCCTATATCAGGCTGGCGACTCTGCTATTCTGGTAGAATACGGCGAGATGCGTCTAGATTTCGTTCTTCGAGTGCGCGTACACGCGCTGGAATCGGAAGTGCGTAAGAGGAACATTAAAGGCATATGGTCGTTTGCGCCATGCATTCGATCCACGTTGGTGCGTTTCCTTGGACCTTTTATCGTCAAATTCTCGGTCTGATCGGAGTTGTTATCAGTGCCATTATGATCCTTCGGTTATCTCCCAGGCCGACGTACTCGCTGTCCTATTAAACACGGAACGTTCATTACCAGATTCCGCATTAGACCTCCAGTTTTTTGGGCGCAAGATCACATTCCCGATCGTGCTCGATGATCAGTGGTGTCGTGATGCCTTGCAACGATACATGCGAACAACTAGAAATAGCGCTGTTTATTTACCAAGCAACATCGATTACCTCGCGCGAAATAATGGTCTGGAGGGTGGTGTCGACGAGGCACTTCAGAAACTGATGGATTCTGCTTGGGTACGTGTCTCTACGAACAAACATCATTGTATTTGGGCGCTTAAATCAATCCAAAGCTCGTTTTTGGCGTCGGATTTTATTTAGCTTGTCCTTTCTTAGTTCCAGTAAGGCGATATCAATGGAATGATTTTGATGTTAATAATAGAGCAGATCGACCCACGGTGCCGTCTAGTCGGGCAGAAAATGAATCCTTCACGAACATACACTCCCAGTGTGAGTCTCATTAGTTCCTAAAAAATCAAATAGGTGATACGTCAAATTGCTACAGGGAGCGGTCGGCATCGCTGGTCCCGTGGCTGCCATTTATCCGGTCATCTCGCCTGGAGGATATCAGCTGTTTGGGCGCACGCTTCCAGCTTGGCAAACTTGGGGAAAGGGGCCTGATTTTGCCTCCGATCGACCGTGGCTGCTTCAGCCATTTGACCAGGTAGGTGCCTGGTCCGTTGTTCGCTTCCTCACTAACAACAATCTTTCAAGGTCTTCTTCGAACCTGTCAGCGAGGAACGCTATCTCGAGGTACGTCTGTTTCGCTGGAGAGATATTTCTGAGCTGATACGTCACGCAGATTGAACAGGAATTCAATGCCGGACAGTACAAATTTAAGGCAAGTGACCTCTCACGGAGTGAATCGCGGATGAAATTGTATTGTAATGCGGTGATAGATCGAGCCTGCGGTCTTCTCCATGGCAGCGTACATCACATTCACCGACAGCATACAACAAGAGATTGCGGAGTTTAAGCGGAAACAGGCAGAAGGAACAGCGAGAGAGGAAGCACGGTCAGTGAGGTCTTGAATGACGAGCTACAACCTATTGATTGCATGCGATGGTGTGAAGTGAGACCGAACTGTTGCGTGAATGGCAGGCGCAGAAAGCGGTGAAAGCCCCACCTACGGTATTGGTGGATGATACAGGTATGGTAGTAGGGTTCGGATGTCGAAATAATTTCAACTCACTCATCCGCAGACTTGGGACCTGGTAGCACAAGCGTCACTTCTTCCATATCAGCGTCTATTTGGAAAATCAAATGCCAGCCTGAAGATGTTATACAATCTGCCGATGACATTCTGGTCATCCTCGAAGCGATGAAGACCGAGATCAATATTCTTGCAGGAGAAGAAAATGTTGGCAAGGTAGTGAAAAGCCTGGGTAAAGGGATTAGGGAAGGAGCAAGTGTACAAGTGGGGGACATCCTCGCATGGTTTGAATAGTTATGTGTAAACTGTAAGGTTGTAAGTAGGCACAATGAATATTCGAAGGCAAATGTATGGCCCTACAATGTCTTGAAATTACCGACTCTCGACGTTATCCTACACAATGTGGCATATGTACTCGAGTGGTGGTGTACTTTCCAGTCGCCTTCTTCCAAGCGTATAAATTTGCGGTAGGTATTAATGCACTTCACATTGGGAAATGCTGGGATTATCATCCCGTTCAAGCGGCCAGAGACAATATCGAGCGTTGCCATCTTCGTTGTCCATCCACTGGCTGTATCGATGTAAAGATTGAGTTCCTGCAAGCTAGGAAGGGTACCAGGTCCATCACAGAGAGTGGATACCAGCTGCCACGAAGATAAGTTGGGGAGATAGCAATACAAGCGAGATAAAGCATACCATCTCCACGACATGCTGTAGCACAAAGAATCCAATTCCATTTATAGTAAAAGAATGCAAGCGAGTGAAGAGCTTTTTCAGCGAAAGCTTGCCAACGAGCGGCGAAGTCAACGCGTTTTTGCTGACTCCAAAGGTTACGCTCTGGAGGCCAGGCAGATGCCCAAACACCTGAAGTAGAGGTTCCATGTCGAAAATTTGTTGATTGAGAAGCAAATTGTCGATGGCAAGCTGACGAAACGCCACGATCTTCAGGACGACCTCTACATCATCTGCCTTGAGCGCGCGCAAGGAAGTAGTTGCGATTGGCCGAAGGGTGAAGGTAGTTGGAGAACGAAAGAGCGCGACATTACGAACGGTCAATTCTTTATCGGGCGGATCTTCTATGAATGAGCACCCATAGAACTCAAGGACGTCGAGCTGCTTCAACTGTGCTAGCGCTTCCCAATGATCCTTCTTCACAAACGAAGCAGAGAAGACTACTTTTCGAATATTGGACATGCGTGCCATTGCTTTGCAATATAGCGTTGCAAACGGAACGAGGAGCCGCTCCGCCTCCTTGTCAAGCCAAAGTTCGAAAGTGCACTCTTTGACGTATAGTGCAACTGACTTGGCTGGCTCAGTATTTGCCACGATTTGTCTGGCCCATTTCGTCTTGCGTGAAGCCTGTATGCTGTTGCCGTTGGTGTCCCCCGAGAATATGACACGTTCGAAGACACGCGGCAACGCGACGGAGCAGAAAAACCGACACACGAGTGCGAGGGCCGAGAAGGTTTCGACGTGTTTCTCTTGCAGTGGCTGATCGGTTGGTGCAATGAGCTCAAAAATTTCAAGATATATTTCGTTTGGGATGAGAGGCAAGGTAGTCTGACCATTCCGACGAAGAGGAGCTAATACACAAGGGCGGGTCACGATCACCAATTGAAATTTGTTAATGGTACTCACTGGACCAGGAGAAATCCATCAGAGTTTAAAATTATACCACAGATTGACAAAGGCGGTAAGCTCGTAACTAGAGGTTGACCCGCCTGAGCTGGAGGACTCGCTGTCTGCTGTCAAGGAATACACTAGATACAAATACTCGGAAACAAAGACCCCAGGTGCAACTTGCGGTCCGATTGAAGCTTTCAGTGAGGATGAGGCAATATCGTATACTAGTACTTGCTGCGTATCAATTAATAGACAAGCTTCAAGATCCGAGTCTGCCGGATGAATCAGACGTTTGCAATTTTGTCACTTGTATACGTGATGAGGACAAAGGCTGCTACTAGTATGTCTCTTGGCGCTCATCAAAGCGATTCAGATCCGCGGCAAATCTCTTGGCCAGGGAGAAGAAGAACAACGCCGGTAAGCTTCTCCACCTTATCTGATTTATTAGATAGTGTACGTGCACACGAACCGGGTACAGTAAGTCTGATGGCCGGTGACGGTTGTGCTCTTGCAGTTGGGCGTGGAAGCTCCGTAGGCTAAGCCCAGGTGGGGGAATCAATCTGCCAGTCGATTATCCAAAATCATTCTGATCACCCAAAGTGGCAACCGAAGTTCAGCATGTTTATTTTTAAGAGCAAGTGAACATGTGCTTCAGAAAACCATCTCACATGGTTCATCACGGTGGCAAAGCGCAGTCTGAAAATGATGGTATTAGCAAGGTTATAGACCAGGAACCTTGATGTATTATCGACCAATGAATGTGCCAAAACGGTTCCAGGACATTGTAAGGGGATCGCGGGTATCGTACGGTACTCCCATGAGTGACTGAATATTGACGGTAAGCATATATACTAACAGGGAACTGATCGGCGGCCGCCGGAGTCAAGATCGAGATTCACTCATCCAAATTTACATTTATGGTAGTTTACCGGAACAAAATATCATGTTCCATGTGTATCATGATTCCGTGTTTTACTTTGCACTTACATACTTTACGAAAACCGTACAAAAGCCGGGATCACTGCGATGCGTATCCCCCGGCCATTCGTCCTTCCTCACTATCATGTCGGCTTATGCTGGTCACTCCAGCACCGCTGATTCAATCGAAAAGGTTGACTCTGAAAAGGCAGCCCGTCAGTTCATTTCCCCTTGATTCTACTAACATTCGCTCGTACTCATCCCAATCCTTTAGTTGCAGTCGGTGCTCTACCCCTTGCTGATTTTGATGACCCAAACATCAACAAGGAAGAAGCAATAACTGGCATTTTAGGTTAGCCCATCATATCCTCCACTAAATTTCACTCTGAACACACCCTCCCAGAGGATGACTCCCCTTATCCCGAGGTCCGATCGGCTGTATCCAACACTGACGACATGTCCATACCCGTTAGCACTTTCCGCGCATGGGTTATGGGTGAGTCCAGAATCTTTTGCTACCCGTCATGTAGCTCATCACAACTCAGGCTTTTTCTGGGTTATCATCATCCCTGGTTTGAACCAGTTCTTTTATTTTCGATATCCCTCCGTCAACCTCACCGGCATGGTCGCCCAATTGTTGTCATTCCCCATGGGTCGTCTTTGGGCAGCTGTCATGCCTAATATTTCAGTGTTTGGAGTTCGCTTGAACCCCGGACCATTCACGATCAAGGAGCACGTTTTAATTACCATTATGGCTACCGTCGGATGGCAATCTGCTTATGCCGTACGTGCGCTTACTCGCGTTTCCATCAACATAATTAATATCATCTTGCCAGACCGATATCGTTGCGGTGCAGAGAGTGTTCTACCATCAAACTTTCAACTTCAGCTGTGAGTGTGTCCACAGTCTGAACCATATCTCATTGGGTCTGATATCCGCATAGATCAATGGATGTTGGTCATGTCTACCCAGCTCATTGGCTTCTCACTGGGTGGCGTCATGCGTCGATTCCTGGTTCTTCCTCCCTCCATGAGTGAGTCATGCCTCTTGTACTTGTTTCAAGAAAATTAACATTTGAATCAGTCTGGCCCACAAACTTAGTCAACTGCGCCCTATTTAACACCCTCCATGCGCAGTCGTACGCTGGTATGGGCAATCGCGGTGGTATTTCAAGAGAGCGTTTCTTCCTTTATGTATTCTGCGGGGGATGTGCATGGTACTTCGTCCCAGGTTATCTGTTCCAAGCCCTCAGCTGGTTCACCTGGGTGTGCTGGATCGCCCCAGATAACGTTGTCGTCAACCAACTCTTCGGCTATGAAAGCGGCCTTGGCATGAGCTTGATCACGTTCGACTGGTCCCAAATTACTTACGTTGTCAACCCACTCGCAACCCCATGGTGGAGCGAAGCTAACGTTCTCGTTGGCTTTGTGTTCTTTTTCTGGATCCTTACCCCGATCCTTTACTACACTAATACCTGGTATTCTAAATTCCTGCCTATCATGTCTCGCACGTCATACGATAACACGGGTGCCGCCTATAATGTCACTGCAATTCTTGGCACCGATGGCACGCTTAATGCCACTGCATATGAAGAATACAGCCCTCTGTTCCTGTCCACGACTTTCGCAGTATCTTACGGTCTATCATTTGCGTCGATCACCGCCACCGTTACGCATGCTCTCCTCTTCTTCCGTAAGCAGATCTGGGCCCAGTCGCGTCGCTCGATCGATGAACAGCCGGACATTCATGCACGTCTCATGGCCAGATACCGTCAGGTTCCAGAGTGGTGGTACCTCGTCGTCTTCGTGGTCATGTTTGTTTTCGGCATCATTGTCATTGAAGTCTGGCCCACCGAGTTCCCAGTGTGGGGCTTCGTTCTCGCACTTCTAATTGCTTTCTTCTACATCATTCCCATTGGGATGATTCAAGCTATCACGAATCAACAAGTTGGTCTCAACGTTATCACGGAATTGGTCGTTGGATATGCTATCCCTGGACGCCCACTGGCAATGATGCTTTTCAAGGCAGGTAGAGTCCTTGCGTTGTCTAGCGCAATCGCTGACATGCCTATCTAGACATGGGGTTACATTACCATGGCACAAGCGTTGCAGTTCGCCCAGGACTTCAAGCTCGGTCACTACATGAAAATTCCTCCCCGCACAATGTTCTTTGCGCAGGTCAGCGCGGCTGTTATCGCCGGGACCGTGCAGCTCGCCGTGCAAGCTTGGATGTTTACCAACATCGTGGATATATGTAGTACGACACAACGTGATGGTTTCATCTGCCCCAATACTCAAGTGTTCGGCACTGCATCGATCATCGTAAGTTTTTGTCTGATCTTTACTGCGTCTTTTTGTTTATTCAAGATGGTCTGGTAGTGGGGTGTCATTGGTCCTCAACGTCAGTTCTCCCCTGGCCAGATGTATGGCGGCCTCCTTTGGTTCTTCCTCATTGGCGCGCTTTGCCCTTTCACTGCTTGGCTCATTTCCCTCAAGTGGCCGAACAGCATCATCCGTTACATCAAGTGTGTATCCATTTTTATTGCACTCGCAAAACTAATAATGAACACATAGCTTCCCCGTAATATTCACCGGAACGTCCGGCATACCACCAGCGACTGCGGTCAATTACGTGCCTTGGGCAATCGTCGGTTTCATATTCCAGTATGTCATCCGCCGCCGCCATTTCTCATGGTGGACAAAGTACAACTGTACGTATCTTTCCCTCCACTCCACGACATCCTGCTAACTCCCCGTAGATGTATTGGCTGCTGCACTTGACTCTGGACTCGCAATTTCTATCGTTCTGATCTTCTTCTGCCTGCAATATCCGATGAACGGCACCATTGGCGCAAACACCGTCGCAAAATGGTGGGGCAACAATGTGTTCTTGGATACAGCAGATGGGAAAAGCAAGGCTTACTACACTATCAACGGCACCTTCGGGCCATCAACATGGTAGGGAATTTTGTAGTTTTATGAGGGTGTTACAAGGGTTGTACAAGGGTGTTATATATATTACGATTATCAAAATATTGTACATGGCAACACAATCCAATTTTTTCATGTGACAGCAGAGAGCCAACTTCGAGGAACCATTGCATACACAGTGCATCTCATCGATTTCATCTATTGCTCTGCCGGCTCGGAAGGAAGGCGCGTTAAACATGACCGCAGCAGCGCTTAGAGTTACTGTATTCACCTCCAACACTCAAGTCTCTCAAACGCCAGCTGCCCGCTGCACAGGCCTGTAAAACCGAACTGCGGAAAAAAGATATCGTCATCAAGGTGGTCTGCGGAGACAGGAACATTTGAAGGAGGTGTGTTTATGCCCCGTGCACGGCAGCCGTTCAAGTTGTGGCGAGTCCCGGCTCACCACATAATGTTCTGTAGCGCAAGGCATATTTGGAACTTTGACGACAACCAAGTTCTCTCGCTACGGCTGTTCGAGAGAATCCCTCGGAACTCGAGTACGAACACGAACTTTTCTGACATGCCACGGCTCGCACAACCATTTATTTTTCAGACGTCGCAGACTCGCAGTCTTTAGCTGTCGCTCGCCAAAATAACTACGATTCACACCAAACATGCGTGTGCTGTGTTTGCGACAATCCGGCACTGGATTGTCTCAAGAAGGAAAACCAAGCGCTCATCAAGCGTCTGCGTGAGCTTGAGAGCAGTGGAGCCGTGGCAGCTGACAGCCAGGCTGACCGTCTGATGTTTGCTGTAAAAGCAACAGATGTGAAACTTGGGGTTTGGATACATGCGAGCACGACATGATGCAGTTAGTAGGCATTCCGTTCCTTCCGATTCTGATTAGACCTAGTCTCCCCCAAGCCAAACCATTAGAGGAAGGAAGACAGTCGATCCTTCCAATAAAGGATTACCTCGTGAACCACCCTTCAAGCTGGTACGTGTTTCCTCAATCTTATTAGAGATACGAGATAAATAACCTTCATAACAGTGACCTGTAAACCAGGCTACCAGGACCAAACGGCTAGAAGCATACATAATCGCCCATCTACACACAACTCGCCACCGCAGGTCCATCTCATGCGACCTTCCAAGCCCAAAAGGGACCTAGCCCACCGACCATGAACCGTCAATAAACACCCTCAGCAAAGCACAAGCACTCACCAAGCGGGTCCGGTCTCTCATGCATTGCCCCCGTCCACATCCCCAAAAACCCAACCGCCTGCACCTGGCCCTCCAATTTGAACTGCCTCTGACGACCATTCTGGTTCATCTGACCCAGCTGCAGTAGATACCTTCAAATCAGTCAGCAATGTGTATGCAAGGTATCATAGCTAGTATGCTATAAGATGGAAAACGCGGTGCTTACTGTTTGCCATCGGATAGCCCCATCACCAATCATGCTCACTGTACCAGTGACTTTGCGTAATTCGTTTAAACTGCGATCAGACCCTAAAGATTCACCCTCGAAGTGGATGGTTGGGAGGGCGCGAATGGTGCTGCCTGGAGGGATGCGGGATTCGGAGTAGCCAGTTATGCGAACAGCAATGGGTATGATTCGGCAAGCTTCTTGGATGTCGTTTTCGAGGAACCTTTCTGGTGCGAGCTATAGCGGCGGCGGATTAGAGGGTACGCTTTTCAGATGATGTGGCTCACGTTGTGCACTGCAAAAGAAGCGTTCAATATGAGAAGGTGTAGGATGGACCGAGACTACTTACTCAAGAGATCTCGGTAATCAAGCCAGCAAACACATCGCCTGTAATATCAACGGAATTGAGTTTTTCGAAGTATGTATAACCCCCGAAACTTACTTCCAAACACCACTAATACCTGCCCAATCCCATCCCTCAACTTCGCCCTGCTTGCTTTTCTCACTGCCCTCGGATCTATCTCCCTCCTCAGGTCGATTTGCCCATGCATTCCAATACCCAGGTGACCCACCGATGGACATCGCATACATTTTGCGCATATACGGCACAACGTCACTTGCCGAAAATGGAGGCGGCATCTCCCTTAAATTCGCCTCCACAACGATACGCGCAGACGCAAGCCACACATAGTCCGGTACGAGCTCATACGGTTCGATCGGTGGATCCACATCAGGAACGCGGTGCCCGTGCATCAGTCCAAAGTGCATCAGACCCAAGTTATCATCGTCATCGTCATCGTCATCGTCATCGTCTTCGTTCTCATCTTCACCCACAATTTCAAGATGATTTGACTCGGGTGAATCGGTGGTGTTGCGTCGCACGGGTTGAAAGGGACCCCACATGCGTGCAGGTCCGAGGTAGCGCATGTCGTAGACACGTCTGCGTGCAAGGGTGCGGGCATCAGCGGACTGCCCTTCAGGGGTGTATAACAAGGGTCGCGAGCGTGTGATGGGTAGGGGAGGCATGTCTTCGTCCTCATCAGGAGCAGAAGTTGAGTCTAGTGATACTGATGTAGATGCTGCTGGCGAGGCTCCAGGAACGGATGTGTATGTGAACTTGGGTACTGGCGTGGCAATAGGTATAAAGCCGGTACAGCAGATGAGTTTGTGGAATAGCTGGCCGACTACTGATCCATCCCACTGTGACGCAGATGTTAGAGTGGGCTGATACGGCGCACAACCCTGGACATCGAAGGACAGCTTTGCCATTAGCGTGCGCGTGAGCTCAGGAGGGAATCCGATTTCTAACAAATCCTGGAGCCACGGCACATTGACGCTACCGAGCATGGCACTGTAATTGGCCGTAAGCAAGTGAAGCAGGGGCGGGAACAGGGGAGCGTTGATCATGGGTGCGAAAGGGGAATTGGACTCGGGAAAGTCATTTAGGATGGTGAGAGATATACGCGGGGATGACGGGAAGGGCAAGGAGGTGGTGATAACTGAGAGTAGTGCTTTCACTACGGATAATGACGCTGGAATGTCGGGAACCTTCAACTGCGAACTTACTGGGGCAGTCGTTTGGACCTGATGTCTGATATACCTAGCTGCGCTGATACGGTCAATGTATTCTCGAGTCCAGTTGAATTCCAAGTTATGATGACCACCTGACACGGTATTCAGATGATTGAGAGCGGGTCTGGGATCATCAAAAGTAGTAAGGAAGATCTCCCGCCAGAGGTGTTGGTCTGGGCAACAGTAAATTAGCTCATAAAAGAACTTGCTGGTCTGGGAGAGCGCTGCTATGGAATTCGGGTTCCCGGAGGCTGCTGCCACGATAAGTACGGCTTCAATGAGTTCTGCGGGAAAGTCAGCGATGGCAGAAGCCATGTCCAAAGAGTTGGTAGTACGGTAAGGCCGAGTTCGCTGTGCAGCTGATATATAATATCACACACAGTCGTCACGTGTAGCCGCATCAATAAGCAATCGATAAATCTAGTATGCAAAAATGTCGACACTGTAAGATGTTGAGCAGACAAGTCCTCACTCTACAGTACCAGATGCTGTTATAGAGATTTTGCTGTTTGTGCGCCCACTCCTCGTGCCCTGAGCTTCAATATTCCTCACAATATCCATCCCATCTTCTACTTCACCAAAGACAACATGCTTGCCATCCAACCACGACGTGACCACTGTGGTGATGAAGAACTGCAAAGCATCAACATTCGATCCAAAATTCAGCAAATAATCACGCACTTGGGAACCGTTGGTGTTTGGGCCAGCATTAGCCATGGACAACAATCCGGGCTTCTCGTGCTTCAGCTTGAAGTTCTCATCTATAAATTTAGACAGTCGCCAAATGGTAAGGAAGATGAACTTCAAAGGAACCGACCTGCGAACTTCTCGCCGTATATCGACTTCCCACCTGTTCCATCGTGCCGCGTGAAATCACCCCCTTGAAGCATAAACTATGAAAGATCATATTCATCAGCCATAGGAGGTTTCAAAGAAGAAGAATATGATTACAGCGGGAATGACACGGTGAAAAGTGCTTCCAGCATAGCCGAAGCCGTGTTGGCCCGTAGCAAGCTCTCTGAAATTCTTCGCGGTCTTTGGGACGACGTCGTCGTATAGCTTGAATGTTATACGTCCGGATGGCTTGCTATCTATGGCAATATCGAACTGAATTTTAAAGAAGACTTGGCTCGGGTGACACCTGATAACATTTGTTGGAACTTACGAAGACCCGCGAAGACCTGGTAGGTGCATGAAATCAAATTTTGACGAGTGAGTAAGAAGATATTTACTCACAGAGGCTTCGCAGTCGACGCGGAGGTCGTGAAACGACGAAGAAATGAATTCAACATGGGTTGGTCAGATAGATATGATGCACCTGCGACAAGTACGAAGACACCTGCACCTGTCAAAACAATTGTTTTCTGCAAACCCATCCTACTCGACACAGCCACCACAACCCAAAAAAAAACCAATAAATAAACCATTTAAATCGCTAACTACTACCCACTGAAGTTCAAACGTTCACTAGCTTTCTACTGCCAACCCACGTTACTTAGTTCCAGTTGCTTGATACCATTGGTTATTGCGGCACAGTCACGATTACCAACAGATTCCTCCAGGACGGAGTACTGACTCCGATACATAGTCGCTATCCTTCGAAAGCTGGAAATCGGACTTGGCCTTCAATGTTTTCTATCTCTAATTGCTCAGTCACCTTGACTCGAGCGATAAATTTGGCAGCTTTTCTGGAGACATAATCGCTCTGACTCATATGGGCCGTGAACCGATCAATCAGGGAGATGAGCGTTATGGTTCAAGTTAACGGCAGATTGAACCGGTTATTGTACACCGAAAAGGCGGAGGTGCGCCTTGTATCCGAATATTAAGTTCCGAACGTATCTTCAAGCTTCCATTGCAGGTTCACTAGCCACATGTATAGCCTCAGTCGGCTGTCGTGACAGTCATTCTGCAGCTATGTCATTGTCCCGAGCACTGATAATCAAGATAGTTTGGAGTGAGCGCTCGGGCTACCACCTATTATGAAACATTTTCTGCGATGTAGGGACAAACATGGTCATGTCTGGCGAGTAGACCGTCACATAGAAGGACCACTTTTGCGGTCTCAATTATCATGTCATCGAATTCTCGTTATTTATGTATTTTTATCAACATTACTACATAGTATCCAAGGTCTAATTATCCGGGTCCCCAGTGTCACGTCCTTCGGACTCCTTCCCCGCTGATATAAATGTCTCGGATTCATCAATATTTAGATCAGGCGCGTCTTCACCCATCACAGAGATGCGTCGAGTCCACCTCGCCGTGCTCCTTGGCTTTGCGGCTTTCACCGCAGCTTTGCCATCACCCTCTACTACTCATAACAACCACCGCTCAACCAAAGATGTCAAAGTGCTAATCCTTGGAGGAGGCGTTGCTGGTGTTATTGCCGCGCGCACATTGCACCGCAAGGGCATTGACGACTTTCTGATTGTCGAAGCGCGTGATGAGCTAGGCGGAAGGATGCAGGATTATACCATCGGCGTCCCTGGAAAGCAATATGTCATCGAACTCGGTCCTAATTGGATCCAAGGAACGCAGACTGGCAATGGAACAGCTAATCCCATTCTGACGCTCGCTCGTAAACACCACGTGAAGAACCAATATAATGATCTTGATGACAGTATCAGTACGTTTACCATTTTATGTTCATCTTATTTTGTCTGGACTCATCACTAGTGAACAGCGACCTACGACTATAATGGGTTGAAAGACTATCGTAACCTCCTGGACACATCAGTTGATCAATTCACTCAGGTCGGAGTTATTGCAGGTATGGCATCGTACAGTTTGTCAGCTATGCATGTTCATATGTTCCATAAGGGGGACGCGTCTTGACGCAGCAGGTTGACCTCGGCCTTCAAAGCGCATACGGCATCATCGGCGCAACTCCAAAGAACATGTACGAAGCAGCTTGCCAGTATTATCAAGTCGACTGGGTACGTGAATCTTTCCTATCCAAGCATACCGCGTTCCTGATTTCAAACTCGTCAGGAATGCAAGTTTTTTCTTTCTTAGACGTCTTCATCCCGCTGATCATTGTAACTGCACATCCAATAGATGCACAGGTGCGAGAACTCGATCACATTGTTCAATGCGAATCTTACTGTCTCGTACTAGGCCCCAGACCAGAATTCGTGGATAGCATCAGCTTGGGTATTTACATAGTATTCTAGTGCGCACCTACCAGCGCCTGACGATCCCACAGAACAACAACTTTACCTTTGACGTCGATATGGGTGGCTTCTCGGACGATAATAACCTCTGCATTGACCAGCGTGGCTTCAAAACCATCATCCAGGCCGAAGCTGCAGATTTTCTTCAACCCGTGCAAGTCTCCCTGAATTCGGTTGTCACGACGATTGCATACAGCGGGGATGGGGTGACGGTCACACTAAAAAATGGTACTTTTCTCACCGCAGACTACGTGCTTTGCACATTTAGTATTGGAGTGCTACAATATGGTGATATCGCGTTCAAGCCCGCTCTTCCCTCGTGGAAGATCGAGGCCATTCAGAGCATGGTCATGGTATGTTTACTCAGTGCTAATATTTTCGACGACTCAACTACCCCTCAGGCCACGTATACAAAAATATTCTTGCAATTCAATGAAAAGTTCTGGTTTGATACCGAGGTATAAATGAACATTACCGTTAAATGTTTTTATGACGTACCCTGAATAGATGGCCGTCTATGCGGACAAGGAACGGGGGAGGTATCCGATCTGGCAGAGTCTTGACCACGTTAAATTCTTCCCTGGTTCTGGTCTCGTCTTTGTGACCGTCACTGTAAGTCCGCATGATTCATGCTCTATGCACCTCTGTCGCTCATCCCAGGGACATTTAGGGTGATTACTCACTGCGCATCGAGGGCATGCAAGATTCAGATGTTCAAGAGGAAGTCATGGAAGTCCTCCGAGCCATGTACCCCAACATTACTGTTCCTGATCCTGTCGCATTCCATTTTAAACGCTGGCATGCGGACCCTCTCTTCCGTGGTTCCTACTCCAACTGGCCTCCTTCTTTCCTTCCCGGTCACTCGGAAAATCTGAGGGCTACTGTAGACAAGAGCCTCTGGTTTGCGGGTGAAGCTACGAGCTTGAAGTATTACGGTGCGTGTTTCTTCTGACTGCCGTTTTTTTGTTCATGGGGGTGATATAAATGTGTGTAGGTTTCCTTCATGGTGCGTATTTCGAAGGGTTGAACGCTGGGGAGGAGATCGCTAAGTGCGTTGAGGGCCCTGCATGCACTGGGCGGGAGCATCTGAATAGTGTGGTCGATGCTTCCCCTTATCCGTTCGTGTCTATCACGCCTTAGGTGCTCATGGTTATCGCAATCTTTAGTATCGTTTTCGAGCACCGCAATTATTAACGCTTCCTAAAGGAACGACCCTCTTGATTCGCCTCATGACCCGGTCCGAAGGGAATGAAGATGATCATTCCTTTACAGTAGTGTCCTGACTTACAAACCTGATAGTGACGGGCCCATGGCCTACATGATATGCGCACCTTCACAACTCATGAGCACCAGCAGAATATGAATATTTTGCAATAGGGTTCCACTTGTCAGTCGCCAGTACCGGTCAAGATTGGAATGACATCATTCTTGCAGTAGTTGTGAGACACAGTCTTCCCGATGCCGTGACGCAATCGGATCGTCGGATGTCTCACAAATGCGAATCTCATGCTGTTGTCAGTCTGCGTATAAAAACTAGCTGCCCTCTACTAACATTGCTTAGTATCTCATTTCCCTTCACCTCACTTGCTTTACGTTTAACTTCACGCTGCATCACCGGTACCCTATGAGACGACCCCGAACTACGAACTCAGCACGATCCAATCGATCTCGAATATGCGGCTCAGACTACATGTACTTATTCTGACACAAGGCTCGAGGGACTTTCAAGGCTTAGTGACTCGATCACCCCCTAGAATCAACACGACTGATCGATGTTTACCATCAGTGCATGATGGGCGACTCCTACTGGTACCCGATCTCCCTTGCTGTATCTCAATACCTTGACACTCGAACCACGCACCTGGTACGATCTAACCGATTTCGAGCATGCGATTTCGACTCAGACTGCCTGAATTTGCTCTGGCACGAGGTTGAGTTCGCGTTTTTTTCGGCGGGCCTTTACGACTTTAACAGTCGTTCGATGTCTCGATCCCCCACTAGGTACATAGGCTCAATAGTAATCATCCTAAACGGAACGAGAGGTACGAGCGGTAGGGGTAGCGGTAGCCCCCTGATGAGAGCTTTCGCAGGCTCGAAACCGCTAGTTTTACTTCGCTTTACTAGCCTCCCTCTGACCTAGCTAACAGACCCTTATCTTAGGAAACGGGCGCCTGCAGCAGGCGCTAAGGAGGTGGTCAGATTCGATGGCACTCTGCTGGACGCTTCTGACATGGACTTCGCTTTCCCTGTAGGTTCGCTAACGCTCTTTCAAAGCTAAGTCGTGGCAATTTGATTGGACTGTATAGCTGCTCGACAAATCGGCCACAGCACACCCAGATCTACGGTGAGCCTCTTGCCGTTCTCTAATCCTAAATTTAATTGATCAAGCCCACGACCTCCAGCCCTTTCCCTTTCCCTAAAGAAAGTAGATATCATCCCCACTACCTGTTCACCGCAAACTTCGCCTCTGCTGTCAAACAAGGTCCTCTTCACACCCTCAACGGTTGAGGATCTGATTGGAGCTTTATACCACCATGATGCTATCGACCATACTGCACCGGCGACGTGAAAGGAGAAACACGTCTCACTGCTACACTAGTGTTGAACGTCAACTGCACCATGTTTACCTGATTGCATGTCTAGCCCTGCAATTGCGGTGTAGCTGGAAGGTCTGGCACAGGAACTCTGTACATTATCGATACATGAGGCTTTAGATAAGAGCGGCGTTGTTTCTGCTCTCCTTCTGTCTTTCACAAAATTGATAACCTGTGGTGAGCAAAAGATCTGGTGAGCAGTGTTCGTGTCTGCATCACCTCTCGGAATTGACCAATCTTGATTGCGCGAACATAGTACGCACTTGAAGGAACCAATAGGCACGAAATATGATTATATGATTTCTTGCACGGATAATTACCTCGATGCTGATGCGGCTTATTCAACTCCGCCCTTTCCCTGCGGCTTCTGATTTTGCCATGGAAGCGTAACTGAGTACTGAAACATGGTGTAGGCTAGACTTGCGACAACGCCTCATCATTCAACCAGACTCCGGAGTCCCAAACTTACATGATTGGGTCGGTAGCATGTTGCTTGATGTGTACCTTTTTTGGGGGGAGGCATTGTACAATGTCGTAATGTGCGTTTGATCCTCATGGAAGGTAGAAACTATATTCAACGCTTATGATAAGTACATTTTTCAACTTGGGTATTTTAGAACAGTCCCTCATTAAATCGGAACCTTGTTTTCCTTCTTGCATATCCTGAAAATCTAAAGGCGTCAGTGCACCATGGGAAACTGCGGGTGAAGCTACAAAAGTTACGAGCTTAGTGCGTGTTTTCTCCTGAGTGACTCGTGATCTTGTTGGCAGACTCGTGGATTAGGCTGCCTTCATGGTGTTTATTACGATAATTGTATTTCGGTCAGGAGATCGTTGAGGAAATGATTGTGTGCTACACTCTATTCATTCGCATGATATGTATCTTGAGCCGAGGTAGTTGCGAGATAGTTGCATTTAGATCTGGCGCGCGACGAGTTCCATCCCGCCACTCATGCACGTGTCGTAGTCACGATTCACCGTGTGCAACATAAATTCTTGATGACGGGGAGTCCGTAGGCTGCTTGTTTGATCGACGTGTAAAGCGCTAGCCGCTTAGTAAGCACTTGTATGAGCTCGGCGCAGCGCCGCTTCGACTTGAAGCACCTTGCCGCTTTCAAACGCATTCCATCTGCAGGTCACCTGTAGGCCGTCAATTTCATCATGGTATGGTATGTTTGTATTGTCACATCGTATACCAGCTGAAGGCCCAAAGTCAGCACTGTTCAACTTTCAATCTCTACTTTTGGTCATCTTGTTGATGATCTGCACTTGCACCTACGTCCGTGCAGTTGCCCCACGTCTAGTTGATAGAAACAAGGCAGGGTATGTTACTTATGTTGACTGCAAGATATCCATAAATGCTAAGAAAGCAAACAGATTCCTCGGACTTTTCTTCATGTCTGCGCGGATAGGTGCGGTTTCCTGCTGGCTTCCTGAAGAACAGTGCCCATTCCAACATATTTACAGGAGAACGCCTCTCCCCATACGTCGCATTAGCATGCGTGGCCATGGCGGTGACAATGATCGCACAGTAATCATACAGGATTATATTATGTGTACAGTGATGAAGTTGACCTATTCGCCGTCCGCTCGACTACCGACGTACCATCACGGAACCGTGTTCGGAACAGTACGTTTGCATTTGTGAACAGGCCTTCCTTCAGTGAAACCACTATAAATTGAGAGCCCTTGAAACGAGTTCGGAATAGGTGGCCAATGTGTTGGGTATGGGAGAGGTCGAGAGCGGCATCAATTTCATCAAGAATGTACATGGGCGCTGGCTTGAATTGGAGAAGGGCCATAATGAGAGAAAGTGCAATCAAGGAGCTGCGCAACACTCGTCAGTCACAATATTTCACTGATAACTGTATCGTACCGTTGGCCACCACTCAGTTCCGTTAGGCTTTGTTTCCAAACAGTCCCCAGTTGTACTTTCACCTCAAGTCCCTGCACTAAGTCTTGACCTTCTGGAGGCTGAAGTTTGGCGAAGTTGCCAGGTAGCAGTTCGGCAAAGATACCACCAAAATCGCTACACAAGTGGGTGAGTGACGATGTAATGACTGAAGGAATCACCGTACCCGTTCACTTTCTCCCATGTCTTCTGGAGGGCATCACGCTTATATCGGTCCAACTCCTCTATGGTGTCTTCGATCTTTTCTTTGTCCTTCAGAACTGTGGACAACATCTTCTTGAGGTCTGATTCCTTCTTTTCAACGCTAGCCACAAGTCATTCAAATTAAACCAGTGTCTTTGCGGAAAAGTCAAAGACTTACGTGTCAATCATGTTCATGACCTTCGGGTTGACCTTCTTTTTCATCCCCTTTTGCTTCTCTTCAAGCTCGTCTGCTTTAGCTCGCAACGAAGGCATATCTTGATCAAACTCATATTGTGAGCCAGGTTTGCCAAAAGACCTTAAATAACGTCAAAGCGTGTTCGAAAAAGAGCAAGGGATTACCCACTGATATTCATCCCGAATCCACTCATGCTGCTTCTCCAGGTCAGTCACAAATTTGGCCTGGGTGACTTTATCCTTTTCGAGTGCGACAACATCGTGTTCCAGCTTTTTCAGCTCGATTTCTGCGTCGGATACCCCCTTCTTCTGATCGCGAATAGCATTCTCCAGGTCTTTGAGCTCGTTATCAAATTGAGTCAGCGTTGCCCGTTCCTCCTGAAGCTTGTGCTCTGCTCTTGCGTGGTCCGCCTATGTCACATGAAAAGGATTTGCGAGGACACTGGAATTGAAGAAAACCATACCTCATGCTTGGCAAGCTTAGTATTGAGGGCTGCCATGTCCTTGTGAAGCTTGGCGATCTGGGCGTGAGCATCTTTGATGCTGTCCTGGGCCTCCTTGATATCCTTTTCCATTTGCTCTTGGAGTCATTAGCGAGCAGAATAAGAAATTCAAAAACTTCCTTACCAAGCTCGAGTACGACGGTTTGATGTTCCTTGTGCTGCGTCTTTACCACAACAGCTTGTTTCTGAAGAGCTGCCTTTTGCTTGCTAATCTCGGCCTGCATAATTGTCAGCGTACTCGAAGAAAATATGAAAAGGGTGCTCGCTTTCAATTCATTGATCTTGCCTTCCTTGTTGTTTTTGAACTCGTCCATGTCCTTTTCGAGCTTACTGCATTCCTCCTTGGCGGCCTTTTGTTTATCCTTGGCTGCCTGGACAGCCAATTTTAAGGCATCAATCGTCTTCTTCAGCTCTTCTACCTCAGCACCGAGCTAGTAGACATTGGTTATTAAATATTGAACTGGGCGAATGATGACGGCTGCACTCACCCTTACAGCGTTGCTCCCTTCTGCTTGCTGTTCCAAAAGACTGACTTCGTGCAACTTGATGTCGAGTTCGCGAGTGAATTTTCTCCATATTTCTTTCTTCTCTCGATTGACCGCTTCTGCTCTTTCAAGCTCACTCAAACGAGACTGTGCTTCTCCCAGCTTGCGCTCTGCCTCGAGGAGTTCCTGCACCCTTAGTAGTGTGCCGCTTCCGCTTGGAGCTGCTCCTCCACTAAGCGTACCAGAAGGGTCGTACACGTCGCCGTTCAAAGTGACAGACCTAACCTTTGCACCGAATGTGACAGCATTGGCAGCTTCAGCGTCCTCGCAAACAATGGTGTCTCCGAAGACGAACGCCATGGCACGGGCCACTTCCTCTGGGTAGCCAATGAGCGATAGTGCCAGGTTAGCTTTACCCGGTGCAAGCTGATCCACCTGCGCTAATCTCTGGTAAAAATGAGCATCCTTCATTAGCTGGGCTAAAAAGAGACACACTTGAGCATTTAAGACGAATGAATTTATTTTATTCAGTGGAATGATGGTGACGCGCTTCTTCAGCTTTCCGTTCTGGAGGAGGTCCTTGCCAACTTTCTCATCTTCAACGACGACGTTGTAGAGCTTGCCGCCGGCAACAATTTCTAACGCCTGAGATTTGTTCTGGTGCTGGGGAGGGATCGAGGTCAGGTTAGCGACCAACCCCATCACCTTGGTGCGATCGAAATTCGGGTGTGGCATCGAGTAATCAAAGTTCAAAGACGATAGGCGTTGTTTAACTGCATCGCGCGCCTGTACGACCGTTGTATATGGGCATAAAATATAATATAAAACATAGAGCATACCTCGGTAAACTGCCGGACCTGTCCTTTCGCGGTCGCTAGGGAGACTTGACTTTCTTGCTCTCGTTCGGTGCTCCAACCACAGTCAGCGACTTTGCGTTTAAGCTTCTCGGCTTCCATCCGCATGTTTTCCATATTACGCTTCCCTTGACCCGCTTCTTTCTCTACGTCCTTCCACTTTGCCTCCAATGCCTTTAGCTCCTTCTCACTCATGTTGAGTTTTACGCGATTCTGCTCTTCCTCAGCCGACCCTTGGGCCATGCGGGCTTTTGCGTCTGCAAGCTGACCCATGTAGCCACCCCCGGAGTTTCCGGTGTTGCTTGATGAGAGACCAGTGAGCAGCGTCTGCAACAGCTCCTCTGATTTCGAGAGCGATCCTTGCGTATCGTTGTGCTTCGCTTTAACGGACATGTAAGACGATTCGAGTTCTTGGGCCTGGGTACGCTTTTCCTCGAGAGATTTAAAAAGCTCTTGTAGCTCTGCCTCGGCACTGGCAACGCATTTATTTTCGTCGGCGATATTGCCGTTCGCGAGATCAACTTGGGTTCGAATTTTCACCAGTTCTTTTTCCAAGAGCGTTACCTCCTCCTCCATCTTCTTGAACCTACCACCTTTCTTCCGCTCTGCTTCCCGTTTCGCGCTGACCTCCTGCATTTCCTTCTCGGCTGCCTTCATCTCCTTGATAAGCTTCTTTTTCCGCTTCTCTGTTGTTTCCATCTCTGCTTTCTTGTTCTCGATATCATCTTGCGCGTTCTCTACCCTCTTATTGGCGCCTGTCCATTCCCAAGCGCGCAGTTTCCTGCCAATCTTCTCCAGTTCCGTCCGGGTCTTCTGGAACGCAATAAATTGACGTTTCTCTTCCCGGAGTTTATCTAGCTTAGGTGTGATCTCCTCCTCAAGGAGAGACGTTATCTCCTGCACGCGCTTCTCCTTCTTCGACATTGTCTTCTTGGCCTTGTCCTTTCGATCTTCGAACATGCGAGTACCTGCCGCTTCTTCCACCATGCCAAGGATTTCTTGTGGACGCATGTTAAGAACCTGATCAAAGGTATTCAATCCAAATTTGCGAAAGTGACGAAAGTGAACTTACCTTGGTGATGCGGCCTTGCATGATGAGGAAATTGGGATTATTGATATTCAGCTGTACACTCTGGAACAAAGTCTGAATATTGTTCTGCTGCGATTTGTGACCGTTTAGAAGGTACTTTGATATGTTTGGAAGCGCTATCTGTGTAAGACGTGAGCTTCGAACACAGATGCGTTGCAGGTTGTGAACGTACTTGACGCGTGACTGTGATTTGCTTCAAGTTCTCGAATCCGACTGGACTCTTCTCTCTATCTGAGTTGTCAAAGACGATTGTTACGCTGGCCTTGGTAACGCCAGCCTGGCCTCTCTTGTAAATAAGATCTTGTTGGTTTTGAGCGCGCATCTGCGGCGCGCATGAGTGTGATGGTTGATGTGGGACAAAGACAGTCCGTACTCACCTGAGACATGTTGGTGATACCAAGCACAAAGCATATTGCATCAAGTATGTTGGACTTGCCGGATCCATTGAGGCCAGTGATTGCATTGAATGATGAATCCCAACCCGTGATCTGAGTTCGAACTGGATATGATTTGAAACCTTTGAAAAAAATGTAATCTAATAACTCGTTTATTGACTTAAAATCATACCTTCGACCACAAGTTCTTCTATCCGCATGATTGAAGTTTGGTGTTGAATATAGTAGGACGCGACGCGACGCGTGTTTGTGGCGGAGATCCATTCAGTTTGCACGTGACCAGTCTTTTATATGGAAATTTCGAGCCAAAAAATGTTCCGTAAGTCATTATGTACTAATCGATGACATCCTTCTTGTGTATGGGGAAGCGTCTGTGCTATCACTGCTATGTGACAATTAAGCGCGAGAAATTTGGCGTCTATCAGTTTAGCCGTTCTCGGATGCATGTCAGCTGGAATACGATTTGGATCGTTGTATCGTCTGAAGTACTTAATCCGTCTAACCAAGTCCATAGTAATATTCATTGCTCGGTATTTGTAGCACAGATTAGCGCAAATACTCCTTTTTCGCTTCATTTTTTGCGTCAAACTTAAACACACATGAAGCCTGGGGCGAAGAGATCTTCTTTCAAACGACCATTAGATTGTTGGCGATTTAGCCAGAACTGCCACCTATATAACCCAGTATTTTCCTATCATGTCGCTGTCAGATTTCTCTGACTTGACAGATTTGTCTTCTGACGATGATGACTTCCCGCCATCCAAAACAAGTCGGACAACGACTCGGACGTCAAAGAAAGGGAAAGGTACCAAAGAATACAAAATTTCGGGCGTCTTGCGTGCGCCACGGACCACATCATATACAGCAAAGTCACTTTACGGTAAGGCGAGCTGCCTACTAGTAATGGTGTTTATCTGCATCACCCTTCTTGCAGACCAAATCATCGAAAATGCAATTGACCTTGATCCAGAATACCAACGTGGTGAGTCTCTCGCCTTAAAAAACACGGGTTTTTTTGTCATTTTGCTCGCAACATCTTCTGATGAGTCTCATTCCGTTCACTAGACGTTGTATGGCCAGAGCTAAAGCAGTCCGGTCTTATCGACTCTATGCTGCGAAACTACTACATGCCTCCAATAATATTTGGCAAGTCTATTTGCCACCCCAGTCTGCTCATGCATTGATAGGCAAGTGTTTACTAGCGGTGTCAACAGCCGATGATGGCAGTGAACTGCGAACTTGCATAGATGGGAAGCAAAGGCTGACTTCAATACAAAGGTATATACAGTAAATGAACGGGAATAATTCGCTGATATACTACAATTTTGATTCAGGTTTATGGATGGACAGGTTTGTAATTCTGCCATTTGCAGTTTCATCGCCTTGCTCAATCTGGATTTACTAGATACCACGTTAGTCGATACATGCTATTGCTGCATGCACTCACTCCGTTTGGCATGCCATCACAGATAAAGATTCGTACGTCCCTCTAATCTCCATATGATGTGTATTATTAAATAATGTCCAGGTTCACAAACGAAAGACTTTGGTACAAAGAAAGCGCCAGTGGTTCTAGGCGAAAGCTCCTTCCAAAACAACTTATCCATCAATTTTCGAACAAGCAGATTGTATGTGTCGAGTACAGCGACATCAATCCAGATCAGGAACGCGAGATCTTCCAGGTAAGTGCTGGGGCCTCGTGGCATGCTATTAGCTCACACGATTATTAAGAGAGTGCAACTAGGGGTTGCGCTTACTCCTGCAGGTCAGCACCGCTTTTTCATTGTTGTACAGTGGCTTGATGCACACCTTGTAGAACGCATGCAAGCAATTGTTGGCCCTTGGCCTACGGTCATTCGGGAAATTCAAAGCCAAGTGCTTGGCGAAGATGGATTTCAGGGTTACCTTGACTGGGGTCATGCACGAGGACGTGACTTTCAGTGTGTGGCATCTATAGGCTACCTCATTGAGAACCACCCCAAGCCTACTGTTCCCTCCGCCCCGACACTTGAAAAGTGGCTCTCGAAGAGCGACCCTGTCTCTCCGAAGCTTCGCGAGGACTTGCTAGATACGTTCCGTGTCTTTCTCACCCTTGCTCGGGACCAGAAATACAGTCGCTCGCTCAACAAGCCTACTCGTGTCTCTCCCATAGAGTTTGTGATGATCGGTGTTCTAATTTACCTCTTCCGTGATCGGCTGTCGCTTACACAACTCTCCTCTGCCATTGAAAAGATGCGAAAGGATGTACGCGACGACCACCAAGATATTCGAGCAAATGGCAGGATCACCAAGCATATGTTGTCATTCATGACCAAAAGGCTCAAAATATCTGAGCTAAAAACTGATGGGGAAGGTGACAAACCAGCCGCTGGAAAACATACAAAAGCCAAGAAACGGAAGAGGGTTGCAGAATATGATGACGACAGTGAAGAGGAAGAAAAGCCTCGCAAAATAAATGCATCGAAGGTCTCAAGTGAGCCATTTTATTGAACTTTGGTTGATAAATCTTTGATTCACTACTTGCATGTATAGCTTCAAAATCAAAGTCTTCAGGATCTGCTTCCCAACAGAAGACTGAATCCAAGTCAAAACCTGCGCCAACAAAAGTGTCGGCTACTCCTGCAGTGTCTCAGCCAAAGCAGAAAAAAGCTTCCCCAGATTCTCGAGCGCCTGTTGAAAACGTGTCACAAGCTCCGGTGCAGGCAACAGCACCACCTCCAACATCCGCTCCTCCTACGACATCTACCAGGCCATCGCCACCTTTTGGACAAGTACCCTCCCTGCAATCGAACACAGCAATTTTGGCCCATCCTGCCAGATCTTCTCTTGTGCCCATCAGGACAGATGCTCAGGTTTCTCCCGTGGTAAAGTCAGAGCCACGTATTGCTTCGCTATACCCTTCTCCTGCGATTACATCCAATATACCAGCGGCTGATAGACTTGGTCCTATTCGAGCCGCGAAAGAGGCTATTCGAACAAATACTGGTTCTCAGGTCCAGTCTCCTGTTACTCCTCACACAGAGCATAATGCTGTGGGTTCCGTATCGAATCTTGATGTGAATGGCTCAGCAGCTATGCGTGGTCCTCGCCGTGCTGCGCCATCTCCAGCGGCTGTCGCTGTTCTGCCACAACAAGGCGTGCACCCGCTATATAACGGTCTGGGGCAACAATTCCAAATCAACCCTTCGGAGGTTGAAGCCCTTTTGCGGGCGCATGGACTTGTGGTGCCTCATAATCAACAAATCCCAATGAATTCCCCTGTTGCATTGTCTGAACAGGTTTTGACAGCTATGGGCCTGAATATTTTGAGCGGGGTTAGTACCTCAGCCCCTGGTTCTTCAAATTTCTCGCAGGGCGTGTCAGCCAGTGGTTCTGGACAGGGTATGCAACCTGTTCTGTCCTTCCAGCATTCTCAGGGAGGCCCTCAAGCTCCGCTGTACTTGCCTGGCCCATCGCAGAATGGGTTATCAAATGGGACTCACCCTGCTTCGCATCATTCTCTCCCACCTCGGCCGTCGTCAACTGCACCAGCCCCGGTCAACACAGTCGTATCAGCTCCGCCGATACCACTGCCGCCGCATTCTGCACCCTCGACTGGATCGTTCAAAGATGAGCGACGATATAGTGAATACGAACGACGGGACTACTCGAGAGGCGGTGGGCCTTATGAGAAAGACTATCGACGTAATGATTCCCGGCGGGATTCGAGTGGGTGGGATGGTCATAGAGGAAGAGATGGTGGCTGGGGTCAAAGGGGGAGAGGTAGCGGAAGCCATAGGTGAGCAAATGGCTCAATAGAAATGACCATGGTTTAAGGTAGGATATGAGTCTGAGTTGTCCATTCATCTCTGTACTTATGTGAAGTTCTAGGCGTCAATCAGGGCGCTAGGTGGTCATTTCTGGGTCTTCCTGCGGCCCCACCAACACCATGCGTTGTGATTGTGTTTCATATTGTTTCATATTTTGCCTTTTTTATCATCATGACAGCATACTTCTCAGACTTCACTGCAACGCGACTGGCCTCGTTCATTCATTATACCTATCGCAGCCCGTTTATAATAAACACCATACTACCACCACGTTTTTCCCCTAGCTTGGAGATAAAGCCAATTTGCATCATATTGTATGAACTGTATTGTGGGTGTTCCAGTTAAAACAATATGCTTCAGTACAAAAACCAGTGTCGATAAAAGGGCAATAAATGGTCTAGACGAAACCTTAACTAGGTGATGACCATCATTAACCAGGGCAAGACCAGTATAACTCCTATCATTAAGACATGAGGCCGAGCTTCGCGGGCGCTATTTGCACCCTGTGCCCCGTCTGCTACCCAGTCACGCCATGCAGCCTGCAGCTCAAGGATGAACGCTTGTGCCTCTGGGCTGTCGGAGCCTTGCGCGCCATAAGAATATGGATTCACTACAGGCGTAAGCCATCCTTCCGGCGTAAAGTGGAGCAGGCCAGATACGGTTGTGCCAGTTCCGGCAAGTGCGGTCGATGTTGTACTTGGCGCTGGCATTGTCGATGTAGTGGCTATGGAAACAATGGTGCCAGCAGAAGCTAAGAGCGCTTTGCGGACCTGTTCAGCGAGTGGGATGTATGTGTGGATATTGGCAAGAAGAGACAACCGATAGACCGTGCTGGCCAGTAACGCAGTTGATGAGGCATCATAGAACGTGGTATTATTATCGGCGTAATTGTAGAACAATCCGTTGGAGTTCTGGTCTGGTGATGAGACATATTCTGACAGACCGGTTTTGAAATTGGACGCACAATGTGGGAATACATCGCTCCGTGAATCTCATGCACCCAATGTGCAAGGTCATTCTGTTGACTCTTAAACGAATTCGCGAACGGGGAACGTTGAATAGTCCCTAGGACCCGTATCATGCCTGCCGCCGCCCATGCATTACCTGTAATTGAGTCGTGCAAGGAATGAACGCTACACTCGAGAGAAGTCACGCACCTGTCGACCAGTGCCCATCGTCAATTCCTGTCTGACCAAGTTGTATATGCTTCCATAAATTACCGGCTGCCGTGTCTCGAAGATATTTTCGGTACAAGCGGATCTGTGTGTATGCCTCACCCAGGATGGTCTGATTTTGCGTCAGGACACCATAATACGCCAAAAACGGAGGAACCATGTACACCGAATCACTCCTATGTGAAGACGTTAGTTATTCAGGGGAGCGTCTTATACATGACTTTGTTTTCACCAAAGTTGCAATTGGTCCACTCTGTGAGAAAAAGCACCATCTTTGGTCTTGGATACGTTTTGGAATAGGTAGTGGAGTTGGTCCTGTGCCGCCCCTGCATAATCTAGTCCATCTAGTGCCCCCTGTCCCGTCCAGTTAGCAAGTAACACGGAAACTCCACTACTTGCTGGATCTCCTGCACTCGTATCAGCAATCAGGGGCTGGGGGCCAGTGATATTGGACAAGCTTCGGGCGACGACGATGTTATGCGCGATCGTAAACACTTCGCCAAGCGCACTTGTTATATTGGATGGAATACTGTGGGGAGGCGGAACGGCGTTGAACGACACGACGGAGTATGTCGGCGCATTGAGCTCCAGGAGGGCCTCGGCCCGCGCTCCATACTCCCAACTATAGAAATAAATGAGGTCACCAGTGAGATTCATAACCCATTCAGTAGAACAGAGAAGTGGGGCTACTGATGCAGAATGTTGAGCGACAGCATATGCTCACCTATGCATTGCACCCTGGGCCAGTCGCTCGCTAATCACGGATATCTGCGCACTTGCAAGGTTCTGTGCCCTTACTTGACCGTACAACGCGAGTAAGAGGCCTGCCACAAAAAATAACACCATGTGGAGTTGAGTGAGAGCGAATGTTCACCCGAGGGATCCGTGGTGCAACATTAAACCACTGGACTGGCTTTAAATAACAAGTTCAGGTTCAGTCCTAGTACTGAGCGTGCGGAGTTCGGACAAATGCCTGGTCTGATTCCATGGTAGGCAACGTTGATAAAATACGTTAATTGTCAGTGTCAGCGATCAAGCAAGGAAAAGAACGATACAGTAAGTAATTGACACGAACCGCTGTGCATGCTTTCTCCAAGTTATTAATGTTCATGCATGCATTGGTCTGGCGCCAAGAATACAATGACAACCCGAAACTGAAGTAGATTGGCGGTTAAAGACAGTCTGACTACGTCATTTGACGATCCCAAAAAGGGCGGAGTTTGAAACTTTGCAGGTGCCCATTTGTGCCGGCTGTCGCCGTGTCGGCTACTCAGAGTCATGCTCTCGATAGCCTTCCAACTTCGTCCCTTCAAGTGCTCATGCCAGGTAATAGAAGACGAGTGCTGGGCTAGATAGAACGAACTCTAGTGAGTTCCCCAGTCGAATGTAAGAGACTGTATTATGTACCTAGATAAAACAAACTCTTCGAGTTCTATAGCACTACATCAGTAAGGAATTTGTATAGTAAGTATACTAAAATATGACTTACCCCCAGTCGAATGTGAGATACTGGGGGAAAACGAAGAACGAATGTGTCGAAAGTACCGTGCGTGGAGTTGCCTAATATAGTAACTCCGCTGCAGGATGTCGATGAGTACTTCAAGTGAGTGTCCAAGTCAAACGAAAAACGAAAAACGAAAAACGAAAGATATGCATACTATGTACTGTATTAGCGGGTTGGATTTCCAACACCAGGCTTTTCTGAGATACGGTGTGCAGCAGGAGGTCTATGACTGTCATCCGCATGCCACGGAATATTTTTAGTCAGGGTCCTCCCTGCTGAGGGACCACTGTTCATGCTGAGGATTTAGGCGGTGGGGCATACGTGGAGATAATATGGTATCACTTGAAGTATCCTATTTCAAATTTAGCGTACTCTATTATAAGCCAGGCTAGTCCCGAGCTAGCCTATGTTCGCTTCCTACTACGATACTAGTACTACGAGCTCGATGTTCGTTCGCATGGGACAGATCGATCATACGTGAAGGTTTGTAAGAGGTACAGTACCGTATGAAATACAGCTCACACAATCGCGAAGGTTCAAAACAACTTTGATGATGAGATGCAGCAAGTGCAGTTTCCACTATAGCTAAATAGCATCGCCTACCCGGTTACTCCATGATCCGCTTCAATCCCCAAACTGTCGAGCGCCTGGCGCCCTCTCCGAACCCAGTAAGACAATGTCTGCTCATCATTGAACCACATTCCCACACTCTCGACACTAACACTTGGCGCAGCAGCAGGAACATCCTCAACCAGAATATCAGCCATGGTAGACTCATCATTTCCGGTCGGAATAACTTCCTTGTCGGCAATGAGAACGGGTTGTCCGGCAGACAATGCTGCTTGTTCCGCGCGTTTTCGCTGTTTTGCCGCAAGTTTTTGTGCTGCCCGAAGCTCTTTCTTCGTGAGGGGTTGCACGTCCTGAGGGTCTGTGGGCGATTGCAGATCCTCGACCATGTTTGCGTCTGAGGCTGGTGGAATGACAATAGATTCTCCTTCAGCCTCAGCCTCAGGAACTGGAACAATATCCCAAAGACCGCCGGCTCGAATCCACCCAGCAACACTGCTCTGGTTCTTAATCTCGTCCAAGACACCAATGACTGCAAGAATGGTGGGGTCATAGGGCTCAGCACATGATTGAGATGAGATGTCTGCTCTTTCTGCAGACGGAACGGGAATAGAAGACTTCTCGACATCAGTGGAAGTAGAACTGATTGTGGTCGGATCTAAGTCTGAGGAGGGCAATACCATCTCTGCCGACTGGCTTTGGTCCGGCACAAATTCATTTGTCTTTCTTTTCCGCTTCTTAAGTTTGGGCACTCGAGTCGTTTTCTCGTGCTGAAACTGTTGAAGGTCTTTTGCCCTGAACGAGGAGGTATACTCGGGTATACAGACGTGATTGTATGGCTGGAGACGGGCCTTGTGAGGGGAGTCGTCGAGAAGGAGGGTGGTCAAGGCAGAGTGTGCAATCGAGGAAGCCAACCCAGCTTGTTCAGCGGCATAACCTGCTTCTAATGGTACTGCGATTTCTGCTGTGCTGGCACCTAATGGAAGCAATGCCCAGGGCTTCGTAAGATCCTTGGTCGTCAGGGCTTTTCGGTCTGCCAATAATATCAGCAAAGCGTAACATCGCAAACCATTCAACGATTGATAGTTAAACACTCACGATAGTCCTCCTTACTAAGTCCCAGACTCCCACGGTTCCAGACTGCGACGAGCTTGCTTTTGGCATTACCGAAAACCTTGTCGACCATGTCCGCCACACTGTGGGGTTGTGCGGAAGACCAGACCATGGTGTCCAGCCATTCTCGAGTCTCGGGTGCAAACAGATATGCACGAAATGCAGGTATGTAAGGACGAGGCTGCACTGCGCGAAGACGCGGTGCTGAGCTAGTGTGAACGCCACCATACGCATCTCGTGCGCGTGAATGTTGCGATCGGATGAGTAGAGTGCCATTCAAATCTAGCACGAGAAGCTTTCGAGAGACACGAGGGTCGTCAACGATATGTGATGGCTCGAGCGAGAGCGTCATATACGCTGAATCTGGCTCCGCAGATGGTGGGGGAGGTGCTGGTGATGGTGATTTCATATATGCAGGAAGGGGATTTGAGTCAGGTGTTCTTCGACGAAACGAAGGCGAGGCCATATATGGCGTTGGCGAAGTCAGCATGTTGGGCACGCGAATGGTAATTTCTCTGTGGACTGTCGCTTCGTCTGTTCCGCTGTCTTCTGTAAGAACCTTCAGGATGATTGTAGCCATTGCCATGTTCATGACTGCGAGTGTAGTTGGCGGAGGGACTGGTCATGGTAATAGTTTTGGGCGTGATACTGTTCACCGTCGTGCCAGTAGTTATATCTCTGACTTGGTTGAGCATCTGCATAGTATCCATTCGAGCGGTAGTCGTATCCGTATGGCTGCCCGTGAGAGCTGCTATAGCTGGAACCACCGTATCTGTAGTAGGGATCATCTTGGTTTTCATTATAATGCCGTCTTCCGCGCCACCCACGATTGGGCGACATCAGATTGACTGAGAAAGGGGCCCGAAAGGACACCCACGAACGCAGAGGGATCAGCTTGACGATGTCAGCAGAGAACACCGGTTTATATGATAATCTGATCTTTGACTTGATGCTCCGAGTAAATCCACAAAAAATTGTAGCGCTGCGATCCCTATATAGAACATACTTGGGTTAGGGTTGACACATCCTACCTTATTATGTAATATGATATTACTTACAGCAAGCAAAAACTTTAGTGCGGAGCCTGGACAACGTACTACTAGGATACAGGTCATCTTTTATAGGTAGTACCAATGTGAAAGGGGGGATAGAATGAAAAGGAACAAAGGGTAAATCAAATTATGACGACAAGAGGAGTTTCGTGCTGCATCCTTTATTCGGCACGTGTCAAGCGGAGTGTCCAAACTTAAGCGCATGGGGAGGGTATGTATATGCGTGGCTTTTCGCATCGATGAGATACACAGAACGCCTTCGATCGGAAGCCGCGGCATCGGTTCGGCGCGAGAAGGATAAGAGATCTTTACATCTGGTGGTCACTTTAGGCGGTACTTATAGATACCCGAGAGTAGATGAACTGCCAGTTGGACAGAGATGGCAAGAGCGTCAACTTGAAAAGATCCTTGGGAATGAAATCACATTACGTTGATGCTCTTGCAGACAAGAAAACTTAGGATTGCGCGGATTCGTCAAGAACTTATGTGTATCATATGATCGTACATCATTTCATGTCGTCATACTAATTATTACCACGTCGTCGGACTGTAACGCGCCCCGTAAGACCATGGCTGAAAGATCCAACGAACACAGCGAGTCACTCACCCGAAAGTAGAACCTTCTGGTAAAGTCCAGAGCGCCGTATATTGTCCATCAGCCGTCTTAGAATAAACAGTATTGCCCCACCACTGTTTGGATGGTGTGCAGTCCGATTGTACCGTTGTCAGGATATTGGAGGCAGAAGAAAATCAAGATGATGGATACAGCCAAACCAGAGTCCATGGCAGCCGAAAGGACATCTGGTAAAAGGTCTGTTTCGGCGAAAGGTAACACACGACCAGGGAGACCTCTTACAATTATACTTCGTCCACCAAGAGAAATGTTTACGCCGGATAACGTATTGGAAAATGAATCCAACGATTGCCCATGGGACGTAGTTCAGCGCACTGGCTGGGGGAATGGCCCCCATACCGCTGAAGATAACAGGGAAGCTGCACTCGCGTGGCCTCGTGAGAAGTGTTCCTTGGTAGAGAAGAGAACACACACTTGACATAGCGGATGAAGCTATTTGGCCACTTCAACGAGATCAACCATGCGACGACCGGGCAAAACGCGCCGATGAGGAAGAAATATACAAGGTCTTCATGCAGAAGCCTTAGATTGATACATACTCAACGTGCTCAGGACGCACCGTGATAGACCTGGCCTGACGAGAACTGTCTTTGTGGGCCGATGACCCCCCAGATAAAGCTGGCGGTTCCGAAGACTTCTGTGTTGGGGCAGATGAAGCCGTCCTTCTGAGTAGGGTTGCAAAGGTCTGGAATGTTGGTAAACATCCATGCTTGCACACCGAGCTGTACAGTGCCTGCGAGGGCAGTAGCTACGACTTGACCTGTACGGCATTTGAGTGAGGCGCGCGACAGGAAGAAGATGAAAACCATTAACCCCAGAACATGGTCCGTGGAGGAACCTTCATGTAGTGGCCAAGCTTGAAGTCGGAAGAAAAGGTGAGCGCTACAGACATCCCAGTTAGATATATAGGTAAATCGACGAAGCGGGAAGGCTGACCTTGGTACATGGTGATGTATCCCCAGGTCTTGAACTGAGCAGACAAAGCTTCACTTCACTTCACGATGTCTTAAATATACCATTCTTACCATCATCATTGCAATAGGTCTGGCGTAATTTATTAATTGGGTTGTCAAAGCCATGGCGACCTCGCGACTTACTTGCCAGGAAGAGCGTATCCAACGATTAGTTCAGTGATAACACTGTGGATGTCAACTTCGTCAGAAGAGTGTATTTACCATTGATAATGTTCACGCACTTCAGTCCAACTTGCTGGTTGGTGATGGCCTGAATCATCCCGATGGGAATGACGTAAAAGAATGCTGTGGAAGCCCATCAGAATTTTAATCCTTACAATATTTGACACAAGTGAATCACCGATAGTCAAGGACAGGACAAAGGCCCAAACTGGGAACTCGGTGTGCCACAGCTCAATGGAAATAACACCAATCACAAACATGAGCACTGCATACTGATCAGCTGGGGCGATCGGAAATTTTGGAAGATGACACACCAAAAATGATCATGTACCACCATTCTGGCACCTGTTTGTACTTGGACATGAGCCTGGCGTGAATATCAGGCTGCTCGTGCATCGAACGTCTGCTCTGGACCCATATTTGTTTCCTGAAGAACAGGAATGCATGCATGAGCGTTGCTGTGATGGAGGCGAACGACAGGGCATAGGATATAGCGAAAGTTGTTCTGGACCGGGATACATAAGGTGCGATGTAAGAAATAGATAGTAAAGATGGCGCACGAGAGGAACAGAGGACTATATTCCTCATATGCTGTCAAGTTAAGAGAGGCATCCGAGTTGATGATACGGGTGATATTATATGAGGCGGCAGTATTGTCGTACGATGTCCTCGAGGAAATCCTACAGTGGTAGACGGTGTTATCAAGGCGCACTGGGGACACAATGAAATAACTCATACGGCATGTACTTGCTTTCCCAGGCGTTGGTGTAGTACAGCGAAGGGACAACGAGCCCTGGATACCTTTTAGCAAAGAAAATGAGGGTGTGAAGCAAGAATGCTTACAGAAGAAGAATACGAAGCCAACTGCGATATTTGCCTCGGCCCACCCTATGCAAAGAAATAATCAGGTCCAATCCGACGGCAAGTCCTTTTCACGTACATGGTGTGGCTTTGTGGAAAGTAGTGGATCATAACTTGAGCCTTTCCTCGACAAAGAACGTCCGGTGACTCACCAAGCGGACTACCTGGGGTCAATAATTAAAACACAATTCAAGACGACGTGTTAAAAACTTACCAATGTAAGCAATCTGAGACCAATCGAATGTGACCATGCTCATTCCCAATCCGCTCACATACCCAAACATCTGATTTACCACGATGTTTTCTGGCGCAATCCAGCATACCCATGAGAAGTAAGATAGGCCCTGGAAGAGGTATCCAGGTACAAGGTACCATAGGAGACCACCCAACCATGCATAAAAGAAGAAGCGTTCACGTGAAATTCCTCCACGGGTACCTATACCTGCATATGTCTGCGAATGGAGGGTGTTGAAAAGAGCACACGTCACGAGGTTGGCAGGCCATACTGTGCCAAGGTGTGAGTTACGGATTAAAGGTGGGAAGAAAATTCAATTCGTACTCATCGAGGGAGGCTGTACGAGGAATCGCCGCAAGATACCGCCGATTGAAAAACCAATGAGCTGAGTGGACATAACCACCATCCATTGGTCTATCCCGCAAGTACTGTTGTCCGAGAAGGGATCATGGACGACAGATACGCCATTCGTGAAAATACACGTGAGAGAATGACAGCAAGAAAGTCCGAAATTCGTCCAGGTAGAATGGGATGTGATATTTCGGGAAGGTACCAAGAAAATAAAACCACAATGATTAGGGAAGTCGCACATTCTGTGAGTAAGGTTCACAATACTTGCTCAGGGACTCACAAATAAAACTGTAAGTTTGTCCATAATAGACTCGCTGGACCGCAATGATATCAGTCTGAAAGTGACACCATGTGAGTACTTCTTGACAAGTTCACAGCTGAGGGGCGTACAGCATAGGCGGCTGAACATTATTAGTTAATCGTAAAGCGGAAGTAACACGACCGAAGTACGCACAAGATCCAGCAACGGTGGCCATGATAGTAACCAAGACATGTTCTTTGATTGAAAATGGTCCAGGGTTCAACTGAATACCAAAGACGCGGACATTCGGCACGACCTATTCAGTCCGGATGCGGTTGATCGTCAACGATTGCAAAAACATCTCGAACTTAACTGGCTTACCTTTGCCCAGGCGCGACCCACAGGGAAAGAAAGCAATTGTGCCGCGATACTCGAGATGTTCACGGATGGGTAGCGAAAGAAAAAGAATTGATTCAGGCCGGAAATCAAAATGGCCCATGCGAGACCTGCCGGTCATGCCTATCAGCATGAAGCATCTCTGGCAACAGAGAAGCGTACCGATGACCCAAGCGCGGAACGTGTTGGAAGGGATAGACGGATCATCCGTGTTAGCCACAGCACTGCGGACCTCTGGATATGGGGAATCATCCTCTACAGAAATTGTAAGGTTGTGTACTATGACTAAAATTTACAAGCGAGATTTACCAAGGACTCCGACCATAGCCTCATCACGATCGATGTTCGGATCGTCGAAGTCAGCGATGGTCTCGAGTACCTCTGTTATCGAATAAAATAAGCATTGGAAGAAGAGCTGCTGTGCCAACCCACCTTGAACCTTGAGATCATCCTTCTCGGAATTGGTTGAGCTGTACCGCTCCTCTTGAAAGTCGAGGGCCATGACCACAGCTGATATGAAAACAGCAATAGTAGAGAGAGAGATCAGAAATGAAACCGCCAATCTTCAAGACTCACGCCTGCAACCCTCTTAAATCGCTTCGGAAGAAGATTCGCATGGATAAGCGGCTTGGATATAGCAGGTGTCTCTTGTGCATGCTCGGAAGATTTCAATCATCTTCATTTCCAATCCCAGGCCGACGTGCTAGATCTTCAGATGTGAGCACCATCTGGAAAGGGGCTTATACACCTGTTTGCTTGGCTAGACATGGTATATTCAACCCGAAACAGTAGACCTATCTCTTATCGCGGTTAAAAGGCGCGCTGAGGAGAACTTTTATATATAGCGTGCCCGTTAAATCCAATGTACATAGAAGAGATATCAGTTTACGGCAATAAAATTTGATTTCCGAGCCCACGATGGTCACACGTACCATGTTGATCAGGTAACGGATGAGAACCTTGGTATATTCTTTGCAAGTATCAAATTCGAAGGCCTCGAATCCCCCTTCGGCCAGTCAAACGGTCTTGCAGAAAACTTCTATAAAGCAGACTGACTCTTCTCTAGTTAGTACCGAAAGAACAAGCGGAAGCACGCAAGGAGAAGCTGAAGGTGCTTGATAGCCAGCTGGATCCACAAGAACAAGTTATGTGCAAGAACTGTAATATAGATCCAGCTTGCCGCCTGGATGGATCATGGTGAACGCTTGAACGCTTGAGCTGTAGCATTCAAGTTGGATATTCAAGGATGCATCGCGCGTCTGCGTCCGCTAAGCACGACAACGAGTCACTCGTTGTCATTTTGAATGACCCAGGCCATTTACGATGTCGATAAATTCTAGACCTGAGTCGAAGCTTCAACGATACCGTGCCAGCGTTGCTGACCTAATACTTGTACTCAACCACCCACACGACCTAGTTTTTCCGAAAGCTCGGAGAAATAGCACGTGGCTGCAATATTGCTATTAGTATCAAGGCTCTCCATCTGGGTGCACCCCTGAAGTATTCGAGCGATGTCGAATCCGAATCGCGCAGTCTTTCTGATTTCAATTTGAAGCTGAGAAGACAGCTGATGAATATGATTTACAGCCGGAAGTAGTCCTTATTATATTATATCTTGACAGTGTGGGTGTGCATATGGCCTACCCCTGCACGGCCGCCCGAGTTCTGCATTACCCACCGATGCTAGCATCTTTATCGAATCGAGACTACCCTCCAACATCGATACCTTCACCGGATAATTGATACAACTCGAAAAGTACTGATATGATACAGATCTGCCACGATAGTCAGTAGTAATACACCTCCTGAATTCCGCGAGCGCATAGTGCAAACATACAATACGCCTATCTACTTGGCCCAGCATTCCGGAGGGCAGCGGGTGCAGTCGGCGGGATGCGTGGAGGGGTTGGATTTGAGATGGACTTCTTAGCATCGTGGAGGGCTGCAAGTCTGTCAGGAATGGCTGTGGGACGTGGCGGCGGCGGCAGAGAAGTGCCAGTGCCAAGCATAGAAGGATTGACAAAGTGTATTGGGTTGTGGGAGCCCACAGTGGGAGACAGTACTGGCAGGGTCTCAGTTCGTTTTCGCTGTGTGCTTGGTGGCACTGCCACATCCTCCTCCTCCAGCTTTCGCTTCATCCCAGAGGTGTTTTGCACCTGAGGGCCAATCCCTTTGACGAAGTCAAGCAACGTCTTAGCGACACGAGCATTCATTCGAATATCTACGTGTTCTTCGCGCACCGCCTCCCGCATGCGTGCGAGCTTATCTGCGAGCGCACGCAGTTGCAGCTTATCTTTCTCCACGGAGATTAAGAGACATATGGTGATAAACTCTACAGGCGAGATGCGCCAGCCAGATTGTAGGAATATAGAGCAGAGTTCAGGGTCGCTGACTAGCTGCGAGAAAACGCGGAACGTGTCGTGGATGCATGAGAGGTAGATTTCATCCTTTGTGAGGTCTTCGTCGTCGTCGCTTTCTTTCTTTTTGCTTTTGGTCCGTCGGACGGGGTTGTGCAACCATTTCTCTATCTGCAGGACGGTGCCCACGGACTGGAGGGAAGGGTACTTTGAGATGCAGTAAAGCGCCTGAGCGATACACCGGAAATCACCACCGCGCGAACGGTCCCAATCTAGGCGTCGCCACCCAGAGGCTTGTCTTGTCCGAAATACTCTACCTCTAGCTGTCGCACGAAGCTACTCATAGGGGTGTTAATCACCTGCAATTTCTCTAAAGAGAGAATGAGCCAAATGCAAGTGTAAGTCAAGTAGGCACAGACCCGCAGGGGTGAGGGCCATTCCAAGTTGTACCCTCTGTAGTTGAATGAGCGGCGTAGTTATAGAATGTGTTGGGGACCCACCTGGAAGATTTCGCGCTCTTCAAAATCAGGAAGGTCTTGATATTCTATGCATACAATCTGCTTATTTGCAAACAGTCGTCGATATTTATCAGGCAGGATGTAGCCCGCGGACCGTCCACTTTGGTTGGAAATGTTCGGCTTGTACCAGTACTTGTCACCAGTTTGTCTGTACCATGTAATATTAATAGAAACTAGGGAATCGATATTGAGTGGTTTTGTGACACTTACGAGTCTTTGTCTACCGAGTGTTTATTGCGATTAGAAGTAAAAATAAAAGAAGAATCACTAACGATAAATCTAAAGAATTCTGTAAGCTGGATCGCACATGACAGACATATATGACCAACCAGTCCATCCATAAACCTGCGACAGAAGAGAGAAAATGACGGTCAGTGGTTCGGCAAGATGAATAGTCGAGAAAATGCACCGTTGTATTGACGTGAGCCGTTGCTTCCCGTCGACACACGTCTTGGTTTCTGAGCCATCTGAGTGCTGATGCGAAACTGGAGGATGAATGGACGGGGAAGATGAGCCATGCACTACGTAGCCTGGTATCATGCTCACCAAAGATCACAGGTGGAATATAAAAGTTGCGAAGTATAGAGTCAATAAGGCCTACTTGCTTCGGCTCTGGCCAGACAACATCTGTGAGAACGTGGCTCTAGTCGTTTAGATTTGGATTGTAGGAAAGGCTTTACGGACCTCTTTGATACTCGGGTTCCAGGTTAATGTCGTTGCCAATGATCTGCTCTGTAATGGTAATGGAGTTGATGGAAATCCATACACAAAACATAACAGACAAGAGACCTACCGTAGAGCGCCTGTGTCGTGTAGGTTGTGGTACGGGGAAGTTTGAGGACGTTCCTAAGTATGTAGCCGTCATCTTTCTCCGAGCGCTTGCCACCGGGCTCGAGTTCATCATAATATTCGTCGCCTGCTTCGGATTCGCTTGCATTCATGATGAGTAGTGCCTGCTCTCGAAAGTTAGCGTCAAGTTAAAGGTTACGGGTGAAGCCTAGTAGTTCGGCTTGTTGTGAATGTTGACTCGCGAGTCGCAGGAAATTAAATCCAAACTTCGACATGCTGTGCAAACAAAGAGTTCGATCACTTTAAATTCTGTTTACGGTGATTTACGCAATTTATCAATAGCGACGCTGACGATGTTTCATGGCAGTTCAACGTTCTCAAAGCCTACCACGAAGGGCTCACTGCTGTCCTCACGTCCAGCTACCACTAAACGTGACTCCCTAATGGCAGAGCTCGAACGGGGTGAGTTCACCAGCCGGAGACACGCCTTCGGGATGCTCATGTCTAGAGAAACCTGACCCCAAGCAAATTGCAGATCCACAGCATTCTACTGCAAAGCGCCAGCAGCGCTCTAATGCGTTCACCTCCCACATGGCAAATGCCTCTCTCGAACGCCAGCTACTCGCCGCACAGGCCAGTAAAACCGAGCTCGAGGCCAAACTCCGTGAAAAAGATACCACGATCGAGAGGCTGGAAAGAGATAGAAGGTGGTTTGCGGAGAGAGAGGAGAAGGAGCGTGAAGAAAAATTGCAGGAGCAGTCGGAGAGAGAGGAGGAACAGGTGCGTCACGCCAGCATGCATGCCGTCAGAGCTCACAATTATTCTGTAGCGCAAGGCAGATTTAGAACTTCGACAACTACGCAGTTCCCTCGCTGCCGTTCGAGAGAACCTTGCGGAACTCGAGGACAAACATTCAAATCTTTCCCGCAGCCACTCACAATCAGTTGCTTCTCACAAGTCGCAGTCTTCAGTCCTTGCTCGCCAAAACGCAGAGTTGGAGAAAGAAGTTGGAGACCTTAAAGCTGTCGCGGAGGAACGAGGCGATGCAATCCAGAATTTGCAACAACAATTGGACGATGCTCATGCTACCACCAACTCCTCTGCGAGAAGTTCCAATGAAAACGAGAATTGGAGTGTTGTGCGAGACGAATTACAGCGGCAAGCTGGATACCTCCGTTCTCTTGAGTCGAATAACGCAAAACTCACCACTGAACTTGCACGATACAAAGACCGGCACGCCAGTTTAGAAGTCCTTCGAGAAGAGAAAAGAACTTTAGAAAGCAAGGTGGCTATCATGGAAGGGCTTCGAGAGAAAGTCGCCAAACTAGAAGCTCAAGTCGAAGCTGCTCGGCAAGAACGGAAAGATTGGCAAGTATCAACCCAATCTTCTCACTTGAAGCTAATCTATGTACTCTAGGGCAAGCAAAACCAGCGAATCCAATACATCATCACAAACTTCCATCTCCTTGGTGCAAAATCTGTCGGCATTACGTCTGGAGAATGCACGAATGATGGAGGAACATGGTGTAAACATGGCACTCCTTCGCCGCCGCGAGGCCGAGCTGTCTAACGTTGATAAGATAGCTTCCGAAGCTCGGGAGGCTGTGGATACCCTACAAGCAGAGGTCCAAACACTGAAAGAAAAGGTGGTAAGACGGGAACAACGAGCTCAGCTGGCGGAACGAGAAGCCAGGTTCCTCCAGGCCCTCGTCGTACGTGTTTACGCCCCCACAGTGTCTTCATGATTTATCACCTATTTCAGGCCAGCTTCACTTCTGAGGAGTCAGCTGCACGCGAGTCACCAGCTGTGGACAGCCTTTCTCAGCAGCGGATCCAGCAGCTTGAGCAGTCTATAGCCGACTACAAATCCGAAAATTCTCGGTTACAGCGTACACTGGATGCTGCCGAGGCTGATAATGCCATAGGAGGGCCGAAACGCACACGCAAGGATCTCGTTCAGGAAATCGACGCACAGAAAGCTGCAGCGGACGAAGCAACGAAAGGTATATTCAACAGAAGCATATGTATCTCATTCCCTCAATGCCATACATACAGGTCTGCAAGAAGCGCAAAAAGATCTGACACGGCAGAAAGACAATATCGAGATACTCGAACAAACACTGTTTGAGCTCCGTGGCGAAATCGGCGCGGGGAACCACGTCCCACCAGGCATGCGTGTGCTGTGTCTGCGCGATAATCCGGCACAGCAGTGGACTGATCTACGACAGTCAGTGATGGACCGTCTGAAGAGCGAAAATGAAGCCCTCATCAAGCGCTTGCGTGAGCTTGAGAGCAGCGGAGCGGTGGTAGACGAGGGCAGGGTTCCGCGCAATGATTTGGTTCCCAGGGAAAGTTGGGACGTGCTCGATAAGGAAAAGAAGGACCTCGAGGAAGTGGTAAAGCAGAAAGAGAAGAGACTCTTGCGCTTACAGCAGGTGCGTGTATCCTCCCCACGCTTCTTTTCACCAATTGATCGCCGACTGTCACCATGGTTCGGTAGGTGTTTACCGCGAAGAGTGCTGAGTTTCGAGAAGCCATAGCGTCCATACTAGGACTGAAGCTCGCGTTTTACCCCAATGGGCAAGTCCGCGTGACGTCGATCTACGATCTTTCTGCGTCATTTGTGTTTCAACCTTTGACGAAGCCCGGCGAGAACGGAGAAGGAGCGAGAATGCAACTCATTGCGCAAGGCGAAGGCGGTCCGCAAGATCTCCCGCAACTAATGCGATTCTGGGTGAATGAGGAGCAGTGTATACCCGGGTTTCTGGCAAGTGTGACTTTGGAGTGCTATGACAAGTCAAAGAGAGAGGCCGGTGCCGAGTCGTAGTACTTGACCATCGTGTGTTTTTGATAGCAATTAATCATGTCCTGTGAGGTTGTGAACGATGATCGATGAACAATGTTCACTGGCTGACTGTATTATGGTGATGTTTAACATCCCATGATCATTAATAACCGTGCATCGTTTGAGCAGCCGGATCTGGGGCGTCATAAGTGCATGACAGCAACATTTTCACCATATTGAATAACTTAATTTGCACTAATCAATCAAGGTCGAGTCTTTGAGACGCTTCATGAATTGTCCGCCGGATGATGTTCAGGTCCAGCCTGAGGATGCAAGGATAGACTGTTCGAGAACAAGTTCATTACTCATTCCCGCACCAGGATGTCCCAGACACGCCTGCGCTGTGCTTATAATCAATTGCAAGGTACACGAATGGGAACCTGGCTGTGCAACCCTATCTTAAGATCTGCGAGTGCTCTATAATCGGTCTATAGGGTGTACGCTAACCCTTGCACCTAAGAAGTAGGTTCTGCTTCGTTCCAAGCCAATGAGTACAGTGATCGTTTCCTTGATGGCTCCTCTTTTCCCTGCTGGTTATGCAGATCGGCCATATCATCAGCTTGCGTCACTCTCCTGGGCATTGCATGACTGGCTGATGAACCAGCAATTGTTCTCTTACCTTCTGCTGCAATTCTTTGAACTGATTTGTTGTAAGGATGAATACAATGTATCTGGACTGTGATGGCATCCTACATGCGAAGGTGGATATGACACCAAGATGGCGTGAAGCAGTCTGCTTGTCGTCCAACATATGTTTTTGTACCCATATCATATCCACCTTCACGAGAATCTCTACAAAATGTGTCATTGACAGCATTACACAGTAAAAAATACATATGATACTCACCTTCTTCACACCAGCACCAGCGCCCGCGGCTTCAACTCAAAAGATATAAGCAATCCATCTACGATTTTTGTGCTTCGACATTTGACGAAGTCGGTGAGAACAGAGAAGGAGCGAGGTTCCGAATTGCGCAAGACCACAGTGTCACCTATAAGTACAGCTTTCGGTCAGATACCGTCGGTACCGAATCATATAGTGCTCGGCTGCTGTAATCAGCCTCAGGAAGACCGCCGTTCCTTCTATATGATGTAGGTCGCGAGGAGGATCCAATCGGGAATGGTATAGTCTTGACGAACTTAGTTTTTTTTTTTGAATTTTTAATTTTGACATCGCCTGACCCTGGCTTGCAAGCTCCGTTTTCGACAGACCTTCTCTCCAACACCTGCTAGTGTGGTCTCTAAACTCTGAAAAGTTTCTGATATGCATTATCTATACTGAGTATGTGTTCAGAAATTGTCATGGTATCCTATAACTTTTTTATGCTGATGGGCCATGGTAGACCCTGATTTTGTGCTGCCGTACGATATACACCGAGGCATGTTGCTGAATGAAGACCCCACAGCGAATCGTATGAGAATTCCTGCTGCTCCCGCTTTCATCCCCTCATCAAAACCACGCGTCCGGATATGCCATCAGTGTGGTTTCGTTTTACCACAAGATTTTCCATGGATAGTTTGTGATGACTGCCAGTTACTACCGCAGCTAAGGACCCAAAATGCTCCTTCCCCTGCACATGCTCTCCCTGCAAACAAAGACGCAGCGACGCCCGGACAAGCTGTGAGTTTTTGCGTTTTTGTAACATATACCCAGGGGGTGCTTGCGGCAGGCTTATTGTACTACGTTGAATCTTTGGCGTCACGCTGACTACGTTACCAGGCACAGTTCTTTGCGACATGTGTGTTGTGCCAACTGACCGTAGAAGGATCAAGAATCAAATCGAGCTCTTACACACTCTGCCCTGCATGTCGAATGAGGCAAGAGGGCATGGAACTGAAGCCTACAAGGCGCATCAATCGGCACGTACCATCATTACTCCCACCCACATCACCCGTCATCGCACCACCCCGCGATCCTCCTCGCCCGTGTTTCTTTAACTCCCGCGGAGAAATTGTTGCTCCTTCCCCTTTCCCTGTGAGTATCCACAAATTCTTTTCTTATGTGAACCTTACTCATGATTGACTTCAGGTTGTCGTGGCGCCCATGCGTGTGTGTATGCGCTTCGGCTGTGGAGCACAATTGGCGCCCAACCAGCTTTTCAACTTTTGTGATATGTGTCTGCGATTGGGGTTTGGCCGTGGAGCGCCTGCACCGCCCCCTGCCCCCAAGCGCCTTCCGAAGCGCATGAGAAGAGATGAACTTCCCTCTGGAGTGCTTATCTCGAAGGTCAAGGTATAGTTTTTTATATTCTTGTGTTTAGAATGCAGTCGAACCATGACGATTTGAAGCGTGATATAGATGCTGCACAGAGGACTGAGGCCCTTGGACAGTCCCCGCAAGAAACGTGTGCGGAACTTGGTCCACACAAAAATGATGATTTGGACCTCGAGTTGATGTATCCTGAGGTTAGTGCGATGCGAGTTTTTTTACTGACGCCACTGGGTCTAAGCCGCCAAGTAGGATGAAGAGCTTGCAGCACAAGATTCCGTCAACTCGATAGCGACAGCTGTTGGTAACAATGTCCCACCTCCAGGTGTTGTCTTGGAACATGGGCTTTCGCGGCTTTCACCCCTGGTCATCAACACTACTGCTCGTTCTCTAAGCCCTCAGCTAGTCCAGGTCAGTGATGTTCGATCACTGTTTAATATGTATTAGGCTAAGGATTTTTATAGCGCATCTGTGAAACCCCCGGGTGCGGAGGGACCGTGCCTTCGTCAGCTACATGGCAGAGGTGCTATAACTGCAGCTTTCAGCGCTGGAAAGAGCGCCAGCAGACTGCTATCACTACAAGTGCAACTGCAGAGCCTGTTTTACCAGTGGACAGTACACATATGGGTCCCTCGAATTCCGATGAGGCCATGCATGGCGTTGAGCCTTCGTTACACGATACACTAGAAGCAGACGTGGTAGATCGAGTTGCGATCAACAGAGAGCTGGGAGTAGTATTGGCTTCACACTCACAGGGAGTAGTCCTTGATGCTGTAGACAAACTACCATTGTTGGAGCTTCCTGATGGACAATCCGTCATTGATGCTACGGCAGTCGCGAGTACTTCCAGTACACTCGTTGCTGAGTGTGGTAGAGACGCTGGCGCCGTACCTAACATCTTCGGATCGGACAGCGACCTGACGGATCTCTCCTCGGAAGACGAAGATGTCGATTCAGACCCTGAGGCCGAAGACTCATCCACGATCAAGATTCACATTCCTGTGCTTGCTTCTCGACTTCCTGGCGGCGCCAGTGCGCGAGTATGCGGGATCAAGCGTTGTAACATTGTATTGCCTCAGGAATACCGTTGGAAGATCTGTGATCCCTGCCGGAGATACAAACGGCAGTACCAGAGGATTCGTATGGAGAAAGCCCGCCATCATATGGCGAACTTTTGTGAGTATGATTGTCATGTCTAAGATCGCCCAAGCTAACTATATGTAATTTTAGCTGAGTCTGCTCTCGTTAGTGATCATCCTGTACCATTTCCGGAGGTAGGGCACATTAAAGATTCCTGTTTAACCTTGCATCACTGACGACAGATGCAGGAACAACGCGACAAAGTGACGCCAGCGGAAAGCCCGCGCATCTGTGCTGTTCCTCGCTGCCGCACAAGGTTGCTGCCTGTGACCAAATACCGGTGGAAATACTGTGGAGTTTGCCGCATGCGTGCTCGTGATGACGCAAGAGCAAAACGATCGACTGCTGGAACCATCCTGGACTTAGAAGAATCGGTGGAGCAGAGTTCATCATCGGACATTTCACCCTTTCCTGCCTTTCAAAACCGCAGCGTGTTGTTGTCAGAGTTTGGCGTGATGCTGGGGCGATTCTTGGAAGCACAGATCTTGTACTTGCGCGCCAAGCTTCAGACAGTAGGCGAGAAAGCACTGTCGAGGCTTGGTCCCGTGCTGTTTGCGTTCGATGGTGAGTACTCGACGGTGACCGGCCAGCGGGGATATCAGGATAATGTCCAAGGCAAATCCGACCCTGAGTACAGCCAGGAGGATGAGATGCAAAAGGAAGTTGCCTCCACTGTCAGGGAGCTCGACAGCACCCTCCTCACTGAATTCAAGTAAGTGTTTTAAGCTGTGCGAGCTGCGGTTAGACAGCTTATGACGCTCACCCTGCAGGCCAACTGAAGGTTTCATAATCAAGTCCGGAGGGGTGATCATGCGATACAAATGTGCCTTGGAGCTGATTACCCCACTCCGTCCTTTACCCAAGACAATGGACTTGAAGGATACCAATACTTCTACCCCTTCCGAAAGTGACACTTCGTCATCACATGTCCCTTACATGAAGTTGCTGTCTGGGGAGTTGGAGGTAGCGGTTGTTCCCGACGACTCGCACAGTATTTTACTGGGTCGACGAACTATTATCCGATTCCAGATGCTAGGATAGCTAGGATAGCTTTCGTTTGGAGTCCTTTTATAATACTTTCCTCACAACATTATTATTATTATTGAAATATAAATATTATCCTCGATTCATCGACGTACTTATCATTGTCGACTTGTTCTAGCATGCATCGTAAACAAATCGAGACTTGCCTTTGAAGAATTCGAGGTCGAGGAACCCTTCCACGAGAATCTGGTGGCAGAGCAGCTGGATGGTGTCTCGGTGGACACCAGGTCTGAGATTTTTCAATACGAGCAGATCCGGTTAATATATCTGCCCATGATGTTGTATGTTGGCACAATCAGTGTATGGACACCGATGGTGAAGCGGTTATCATGCTTGCCTTCCAAGCAAGCGGCAGGGGTTCGACTCCCCTTCGGTGTAATTTTTCATGCCCATTTAAAACATTCTGGTACCTGGCCATGGTATGCTAAAATTTGTCCGGCTATTTATTAGACTCGGAGGCAGGATAACTGGAACTTGTGGCCGCCTCTTCAAATCCATCTTCGACTGCTTGTCAATTTCGCTTGCGTCAACCAAAGAAAATCATTAGCGATTCTGTACAGAGGTAGTATGCGGTCAAGAAGAAAACTGTTTATATAGGGTCATCCGATCGCCTGATCACGGCGCATTAAGGCGTTCGATATTAATATTGTTCCAGCATAATGCCTCAGCCAAAGTACTATGGACGTCGAGACGAACTGAATTTTGCTTCTGCGGGATCAAACGGTTTGAGTGAACAACAATCGGACGAACGGGCCGGGCGAGCGAGGATGGGCAACGTAAGGTTTTGACAGACGCTGCATTCAGATGCGGACAGGACTGGAAAATTGTTGGGATACGAACTCAATGCATTTCTGGATGGGTGTGCACTGAGAGCTCTGTTTATACTGGCAGTTACGAACGACTCCTCGTGATGATGCAAGTTGGCATGCAACCGAAATGCCGATTGAGTTTTTCCAGTACGATCACGTGATTATTCTAAGATCATGAACGCGTGCTCGAGCCTCGCCACTCTTGACTCTGAGCATGGCAAGCGGTCGTCGCTCTCCTTCTCCGGAACCACCTGGCCCTCAACCGATAAGAAGACTCCATGAGTCCCTCATCAACCGAATTGCAGCAGGCGAAGTACGCGCTGGGTTGACACCACGGTACAGGCGCGAATAAGTACTGATCAAATTCACCTTTAGATCATACACAGACCCGCTTCTGCGTTAAAAGAGCTGCTGGAAAACTGCCTCGACGCCGGGTCTACTTCTATTCAAGTCACCGTCAAGGATGGCGGTATGAAGTTGCTTCAGATTCAGGATAACGGCTGTGGCATTCGTGTATGTCTTCCTCACATTCGCATCGAGGCTTGCTATTGAGCTTGTTTAAAGAAAGAAGACCTACCCTTGCTCGCTGAGCGCTTTACTACCTCCAAATTGACCACCTTTTCCGACCTCTCCAAGCTGACTACTTACGGGTTCCGAGGAGAGGCTCTGGCATCTATATCACATGTCGCGCACCTGACAGTGATCACGAAGACCAAGTCAAGCAACTGTGCTTGGAAGTATGTATATATAAAATTGTGCACGGAACGAACGTGCCTGACAAGAATTCTACAGGGCTGCTTACGTTGATGGCGGTCTCGTCCCGTCGAAAGCGGGATACACGCCAGATCCGAAACCTTGCGCTGGAAACAACGGAACCACCATCACGGTATGTCCCTAATAAGTCAAATAGCTCTCTCCTTTCACTTAATTCACCACAGATTGAAGACATGTTTTATAATACACCCACTCGATTGTCTGCTCTCCGAAGCTCCTCTGAAGAATACGTTCGAATACTCGATGTAATGACCAAGTATGCTGTGCACAATTCCAAGGTGTCATTTAGCTGTAAAAAGGTATGTTGGTTCGAATATCGTCAACGATGCCCAATAACGCGTCGTGCAGGCTGGTTCCCTGAGTCCTGAACTCTCGACCCCGTCCTGTTCAGATGCATCTCAGGCCATTCGTCAGCTATACGGTCATTCCATAGCCAAAGAGCTTCTGCATGTCACGGCGTCTTCTGTTTCAGATGATGACACGGACATGGATGATCGGAAGATCCGGAGGCATGGTCGGCAGACGCATATTTCACGAACGCAAACTACCAGGGCAAAAAGATCGCTCTACTGTTATTCATAAATCGTCAGTTTCCCCCTTTCCCGCATTGCTATCTTGTAAAATCTGAGGCGTATTTCATGCAGACCGTCTAGTGGAGTCGCATCGTATAAAACGGTCTATTGAGAGCATATACAGCGGTATACTTCCAAAAGGTTCTTCTCCTTTCGTGTATCTGAGGTAGACCGAATTTTACTGGTGGGATATGAAAATAATCATTCACGCAGCATCAACCTCGATCCGAGGTCTGTGGATGTCAACGTGCATCCGACCAAGCGCGAAGTCCACTTTTTGAACGAAGAAGCCATCATCGAGCGAATATCGGATGCCATTCAGCAGAGGCTCGCGACTCAAAGTCAGTCGCGGGTTTTCGAGTATCAGGTACATGGATGCATATATATACACGTTCTACGTCCGTGCTCTAAACACATTCGTTGACAGACGCTGCTCACTGGAGGGATTGCGCAATCAGCCTCACGGAAGGGCAAGGAAAAAGCGAGTAATGTCGATGAATTGGAAGGAGATGATGAGGGATCCTGAGGCTGATCGTCGGGTATTAGGAAGTCAAGGTGAGTGTTTGCGCAAATTTCCAGTAAAATGCCATTTGGATCTTGTCCAGTAGCGAAGAAGGTGCTTTCTCAGCACAAAGTCCGGACCTCCCTACAGGACCGCACACTGGACTCAATGATTCCCGTCGCCGACCCATTGAGAACCAATTCCGACGAGCCCGTGACAGCCATCCGGTTACGGGATATTAAACAATCGACGTGTCATTTTGCATCCATAACAGAACTCAGGCGTCTCGCTACCAAACGCATACACCACGGTGGGCTATGCATATCTTTTGCAACAAAAACGGTCTTACACGCATAAAACGTAGACCTGACTGAAATCATCAAGAAGCATACCTTTATCGGTGTGATTGACCTGTCCAGGTGTCTTGCGTTGATTCAACACAACAAGAACCTTTACATGGTCAATCATGCTGCACTAGCGTGCGTTACTGAGCTCCTTCGAAGGCTTGCGCTGATATGGTTGCCGCAGGGAGGAAATGTTCTATCAGCTTGCGTTGTTGCAATTCGGAGACTACAACCGACTCAAACTCGATCCTCCTCCATCTCTTCGAACGCTCATCAAGTTTGCAGTCGATGTGGAAGAAGACACAGCGCGCAGTGGCATGAGCAACGACGAGATCGTCGACGTATGATCGAATTTCAGTACTTTGGCAGATCCACTCAGCGTTCTTTCACAGCGAATAGTCAAGACCTTGATGGATCGCCGAGAGATGCTGCACGAGTATTTTTCCTTGGATATTTCAGAGACCGGCGATGTTAAGACACTTCCGCACCTTCTTCGCGAGTACACACCCAATCTCGATAAGCTACCCATGTTCCTGATGCGTCTTGGACCTCAGGTACGTTCCAACGCCATATTCTCATTCCACAGATACCAAGTCGTTCCAGGTCCTCTGGGAATCCGAGCAAGAGTGCTTTGGCTCTTTCATGCGCGAACTAGCGTACTTCTACTCCCCAGCCCCGCTGTCCGTCGTCTCAGCGGCCGCCTCTGACGAAGATGAACAAGAAAAGCAGAAATCTGAAGCATGGCGCATTCAAAATATCCTATTTCATGCGATGCGCAAGTATCTGGCAGCTCCTAAGTTCCTACTGGACAATGACATCGTGCAGGTGGCGAGCTTACCAGATCTTTATCGGGTCTTCGAACGCTGTTAGACTTCATATCATGCTGTAATTTCTATCCGCGAATGACTCTAGAGCTGCCGCAATGTATGTAAACTACAGTGATTCTATAATTCTACGATGCATCTACAACAAGGAAGGCGTCGTGAAGATAAGACAATACAAGCAGTGACCTTCGGTCGTTGCTTTATTACAAAGGCAGACTTTTGTACACTATATTGCACCAATTTCTCTTCGCTTCTTCTTGAAACTCGACGGCTTTCGACACGGGACCGTGACATATGGTTGACCAATGAGCAAAAGGATCTGTTCTGAAATCGAGGACTGCGCGAGAGAGTGAAACCTTTGAGAGTAGTCGCAAAGGAATCTGTTTGCGTTTCAGTGTCAAACAGGAGCAGTAAGGATGGAAAAAAAACGTGATTGGTGGAATGCAGTGGTTCTTGAGCAGTTGGACTTCGACGAGTCGACAATGTAGAGCTGTTATTCGTGCTCACGGTAGTCGCCAGCTAGTGTTTATAATTTTATCGTTGAATTCGTCGCAAAATATGTTTTGTGGAGAGAAGAAAGCACGTTCGAGGCAAGCGCGAGCCCATTAGCCAGCATGTACTACCGTTAAGTCACCAACAGGTAGTAGAACGATGTAGCCGTTTTATTTCCAGTAGTTTTTTTTGTCGTATTGTCATGATACCTGAATCAATTTTGGATAGCGACCAATTCATGAAAAGCACAGGTGGTCGCTATATAGCACTGGAACGAAAGAACAAAAAAGGAGCGACGAGAAGTGGTAACAGGAGCGTCAGTGTTGTACGACGTGCTGGAAGGCGTAGATGGTATCCATGTATGGCTGATAGCAAAATGGAAGAGCGACTTGGAGGTCAAAAGGAGGGAGGGCACGCAAATAAATTGCAAATGAGCAGCACGGTACAATTGACACCGAGCCAGCGTGTTAGACATATTCACACCAACGTTATATATCATCCTCGGGACCGTCCTCGATCATCTTTGCATAGTCTTCGTAACTTGCAAATGTCGGCAAGCTTCTCAGCTTCTTCCGTTTTTCACGTTTGGACTCGTTCTCCTGTTTCCGCTTCTTTGTACTACCGAAGCCATTCCATTGCTCTTCGCCGTCGCCGCCGTCTTCATCAGCGATTCCGTCACACTCGATGAGACCTTGAGGAACTTCATCCAAGCCCAAGAGATCTTCATTGTCCGAGGCCTCAACCATGGAGAAATCGTCGCCAGAACCACCATCTTCATCATCTTCATCTTCAACCTCCTCATCCTCCCCATCGGAATCATCAAGATCAGAAGCTACGCTGTCGCTATCCGCCATGAGGTCTTCATCTCCTGCCACATGAGGCATGGTGGCTTGCATAGCCTGTTTACAAGATAAGTTGAGCTAAGGATGCAAAGATAGCAAGGGGAACCTAGTACCTTCCATATATCTGCTTCTTCGGCGTCACTGTCTTCGTCGTCATCGCGTTCAGCATCATCTACGTCTTTGTCCTGCGCTTCCTCCAACTCACTCGCTGAAGCATCCACGTCAGAAGCATCATCCGATTCCTCTGCATCACTATCCCCTTCGCCGGTATGGGCGGTTTTTTTCTTGTCCTTTTCACGTTTCCTCAAAAAGTGTTTATGGAAGAAGACCTTAAGTGACTTTAGCACGGTCTCGGTCATCGAACAAGCAGGTCGTTACCTCGTCAACAGGGATATCCTGTAACGGCCTACTCAAAAATTTCTCGTCGTTCGGTAGAGCACCGCCGGATGATTCGCCTTTCAATAGCTTCACCCCAATCCTGTCGTTTGCGCTGGCTGCAGGCTGCATGGCGCTGGAGCCTTTTGTCTTGATTTTTTTGGGATTTTTGTAGACGAAACGATCGAGGAAATGAGAAAGGGTATTTAAAGACAGATCTGGGTTTGACGTGATAGGTTGGCCAGAGAGGAGTTGTTGTGCGTGTAAAGAGACAGCCGGATGATAATGGTGTATGAGAGGAATCTAAGAAAGGCGTGAGGACTTGTAAAATCAATGTACAGGAGCGATTACCAATTCGAACAAGGGAGAAGCTGAGGGGTGTGCAAACTGCGGGTCTCGTTTTCGTGGATCATATTGTTCTTCAGAAGTGGAATGGGATCCCCTGGAAAAGTCTCGCAAGCCCGAAACTGTACTGAACAACTGGGAACCAAGTCAGGTGGGCCATCAAATAGGTGAGCAAGGGCGCCTTACTTCTCCTAGGAGGTATAATCCTCCTACAATGAACTCGGTCCCGCCAGCACTGCCACTGGCAAGAACTTGTACGAACCGGCGGACAAAGCTCTTCACACGTTCTAAGTTGTCATCGGCCTTGAGAGATTTAAAAAGTAGGTTCAAGTACATGGTCTGTTTTGAGGATGAGGCAAGGCGACCATCGTGTAAAGACTGGTACAATGTTCGATAATATCGATCCACAATACTCTTCGAGAGTGCAGAAGATGAAGACTCGGGTAAGTGGGAGAGTGAAGATGATATCTGCTGAATAAGGAGTAGGGCTTGCAAAGAGGTGTTGAATGTTGAGGTATGTGTGATGAGGAACAGGGTGTCTATATGTTTGTTCAAGCTTGTCGGAGAGAACATCAGGTGAGCATATACCACGCTTGAGAAACTTACCTGGCATCCGATGGTCCTAACTTTGCATAGGGTAACGCGCGATTCACACCTGTCAATATGGCAGAAATCGATTTTGAAAACGCATCTTCAACTTCCACAAAACCACCGTCACCAACGACTTCTTTCGTTGTCTTCCGCTTTTTTTTCTTCCCTATAATCTCTCCGTCCTGTTCTTCAGTGTTTTCCTTCTTGCCAGACGATCGACTCTCCCCTAATAAATCCTTGAACATCTGGAAATACACATCGATGACTTGTACAGCAACATCTTTGTCCCCCGGAACAAACACAATCTGGTTGAGTGTTATCGTTGCGTAATAGCGCGCATGGTCATTGCTCGTTCTCTTTGTGGCTCCGTCAGACTTCGTTTTTGATTTCGGTTTCGGTTTTGGCTTGGAAGTCGAGACGGTCGTCTCGTCGGTGAAGCGAATATGTGTATTGATACTTGGCGCAGTGGCAGGTGTCGCGATGCTTGGTCGAAGGATGAGGGAGGTCATCTCGCGTACGACAACACCTTTCATAGATGGGTGAGCTTGTAGAAGTTGGAGGAGATGATAGGAAGCGCGAGAACATATGGATTTTTCAGAATCACCCTAGGTATCATGATTAGTGGATTGCTTCACAGCTTGGATTGTTTCCACTCACCAGCTTGTTTACCAGTAGCCTAAGTAGGTTATGCTCCTGCTCAGGTTTGTCGCGAAGGAGCATGTAAGTTAAGGAGAGTGCTTGAGTGCGCACATATGCCAAGGGGTCCATTGAAAGGACCTGGAAAATATGAGCTCCTGCACTCGAACACGCTTAGAATCCCACCTCTAGGGTTTGGAGGATAGAAAAAAAATACTTCTTCAGCCAATCCTCGAAGTACCAAATGAGAACATGATCGTCCTTGACGCCCTGGTGTGATAGAGGCTGATCACGGAAATACCTGAGTAACCATCAAAAATTTATCCGCGAAAGCAGCATGTCCATACGCACTTTAACTTCCGGTTGGGCGCGCCACCTCCAACCCACCAATCGAGTATACAGCGCAAGGCCTTAAGACTCTCTTCCCGACCTCCTTTTCCTTTTCCTCGTTCGGCCATACCCTTCAGAGTTTCCAACGCTTTGGTGTTGTGTAATGGGCTACTTTGCACGAGGAGCGTAAGAGCACTGAGCCTGTCTGACAACGTGCCTGAGTGCAAAATTTTCTGCAAGAATGCATAATCTGAGCTGGAGGATGTAACTGTTGAGGATGACCCAGATTGGTATGTCTCTACTGCCTTCGCATGAAGAGATGCGCCGCGCTCCATCAGGGAGGATAGTTTGGCAGATGTGACGGGTGGAAGGGCGGTAGATGACCCAGATAGCTTGGGTGCATTTTGATACCATAGAGGAGACGCCTCGATTTGAGTTTTTTTCGCGACTTTGGAGACATCAGCGCGAGCTGATGTTGGCATTGTTTTATCTTCAAAAGTTTGTGCAAGTGACTGCGAAACACCTATGACAGTTGCTTATACTGAAAGGGTAGTAGCTTAGATAATCATCCAGTGTTTGGCACGAACAATTACTAATCCCGGGTCAACTTGGGGTATATCTTTGGTGGATGCGCAGGACGGGCACGGGCAGCAAAATTATGCTTGCTTGTAACCATATTATTTTGCTGCCCGTGCGCTTCTTATCGCTCAATGGTTGCAACTAGAAAAAAGCAGTATGTGATGATCTGTGGAAGCGACTGTGGAGGAGAGAGTCAGCTTGAGGCGGACTCGGAAGGGACCTATGAATGAAGAAAATGAACGGGAGCAACCCATCTCTGATAACTTTTCGATGCTGGGCGATATCCTAGATTCAGCATGTCATCACAGGACGATATGATCAACGCGGTCGGATGCACACAACCTCGACATCTACAACTTCAAGCTTCAGCATCAAACGCTGAGCTCTAATACTCGAACGTATTGAGGACCGAGAACGACTTGAGTACGGTGTAGCCTCTGGCTCCGGCGAGTCTGTATTTCCTTCTTTGTAACAAACGCCAATCTGAAAAAGCGACGTCACACACAGTACTACCTAGGGTCTGTATGTCTCAACTCTGTCCGACAATTGCAACAGTCAGAATCCAGGCTGCACGGATCAGCCTCGCCTTCCTCAGGCTAAATTCGCTGTTATTGCAGGTTCAGCACTTCTGAAATCACTCGTAGTATGGGTGGATTGACTAGGACTCGTCATCTGATTGTGTCGTCATAGTCCCTGCGTCAGTACGATCAGGCCTGGGTGCTATGCATGAAGTGACGTTTATTTCATGGCACACAATGTCCATATCTTGGTATCCCGGGTCAGATTTTCTGGATTCCGCATTGCAAATACGTCCCCAGACACCGTGGAGACTCCTCATTTCGTATCCAGAGACCGAGAGCGACATAAACGCCTAGGAGAACGACGGGGGGTTCAACGTTCAGGTACGGTCTCTCCCTATCCTTCCTACTTTGCAACCGATATCGACACAACGGCGTATGCCTTGCATACTAGTATATGTCTGTATGTCTTGGCTATCTACGACATGGCCGTCGTTCCTATCTAACAGCTGTTGATTCTATGGAAAGACTGCAGAATCAGCCCCTGTTCTGAATTGACAATATCCACGTTCAGCGCTTCTTACCCAGACTTGGAGGGTTCCATGCACTATCCTATGAGTCAACTGTCCATCATCTGACTATGTAGTCATCGTCACTAGATCGCATGCAAGCCTGGTCGCTCATGAAGTGGCCTTTATTTGACAGCGGTTTTCTGAATTAACAATCCACTTTCGCTCTACCGCCGAGGCGAGATTCCCTATTATTGTATGTTCAGCACTTCTGACCCAGAGGTATGTCACGCACTACCCTGTGAGCAAAGGGACTGACTATCATCTGACTATGTAGTCAAGGCTGTTGGATTACGGGCCTGGGTGTGCATATTACCTCTAAGCGCCCACGGTGACCCCATCTTCTGTTCCAGATGACGGTCATATCCGTGCCCAGACACCGTGATGGCTCCATGCTATTTCATTTTCTTCCCAGCAAGGAACCATTGGTGTCCGCACTATCCTCCGGATAGGGGTTTCCTAGAGGTTTAAAAGCAAGACTTGTTTGCTACTTGACTTTCATCGCTTCAACGACCTTCTACAAATGTGAGTCACAGTTAGCAGCACGTCCATAGCTTCTCATGTTCATTCTCGCACGTCGCAGCAACCATGTCCACATCAGGAGCTGTCTCACAGTCCGCGAATATGTCTGACCTTCTGCCCACCCACTTCATCGGGACCACCATGAACGCAGTGCAAAATGATGAGGGGAAATTCCGCATCTACTTCCAAAACAAAGATTACCAGATTCACGAAATGTCGTTGAACGACCCGAAGAGCACGGCGTACACCCTGCTCAAACTCACGAACAGCAACATTCCCGCTGCTCGTATCAACACGCCCATCGCAGCCGTGGCGAGTAACGACTTAGAAGAGGTATGTGTTTTGAGGCCGGCCGTGCCGTGCCTTGTAATCTTATTCTCATTTCACTATCACAGATCCACGTTTTTTACATCACTGTGAACAGCCTTGTACAGGAGATTTGTTACTCCAAGCGTCATGGTTGGCAGAAAGGCGCGACCATTGGCATCGCTGTTGAGAACAGCACCTGCTTGTATGCGCAAGGACGATCTAGCCACGGTACCAGTGCCAGTCACCATGAGGCCATGCTCAGAGTCGGATTTCAGTCTGTGGTTGCTCCCCAGACTATCACAGAAGCTTATTGTCTGAAAGATGAGTGGAAGACGCGTGTACTCTAAACTTGGAGAGAATGTTAGTGCACGTTACTCAGATGCCAAGAACGTGAAGTCACGGGGTCAAAAATATTGTATGTACTGTATGCAGTAAACTTCTCATGCTGTTTCGAAGATGAACATTTCAACCCGCCGTCGGATGTGCCACTAAGCCTCCCCTAACTGTCGTAGCGGAGGTGAGCAATGTCCCAACATCAACGGGCTAGTGATGGTACAAAAATCATTATCGGACGAGTCTCTATCACGAAGAAAGACGAGTCGCTATGAGTTCTGCATCGACTCTTTCACGGCACCACACCCTTTCATGCGTCCAGAATTTGGATCAGTAAAGCGGCGGTGTTGATTAGCAAGTAACGGCATTACACAGATGATTCTCGTACTGTAGGTTTTGGTGGGCTTAGCTTAGGGGCACTTTTAGCGGATAGCGCAGTGCTACTACGTTAGTCCGGCTAGCCAACTTCACACTCACTTACAGTCCTCACTTTACATCAGTCATTCATCATTCATCGTAATTCTAAACTTTGTCAGCAAAAATTACTATGTAAGTTGACACATCACAAGTCAGCTAGGATTACACCACACGTTTCCCCACCGATCTTGCGCTGTACCTGTACTCCCACCGCCAAGTACACCCTGTTTTTCGTCGATAAATCCGACACCGTAGCTCGACGCCGCATTGAATCGTGGAGTTGGGCACTTCATCCCCAAAAAAATTGGACATGCGCGATCTGCAGCGCTGCAAACTTCCAGACAAGGCAAGACCGTTTGGTACGAGTACGAAACGTTGGGCAGGAAAGAGTTGCGTTTGTTCGAGCCGCTCTGAGGCGAAGTCAATGCCGGCATTGGGGACGATGGCGAGGAAGAACTTGATGGGGGCTCGGCGCATCGCGGGAAGGACACGGAACATAACCAGGTACGATATGCTTCCTGGCAGCTTTCACAGGTCTGCAAAGGAGAGTATAAGTCGCGCCCGCATGCAAATGTGAGAAGCATGGTCGTGAAGTTGGTCATATACTGGAGAAGGGGGTCTGATACGCTCTGTGGGAGATTTGAAGAGTCGTATGATGATGCAGGGGATTGAGGGAAGGGAAGAGGAACAGCGTATGACGTAGATGGACAAAATGGAAGGGAGTGCACGAGGGGGCAGGGGAATGATGCTGATACGGAGACATAAGCGAACGTACGCTATACCAAGGAGGAAACGTACGAGATTTGGTAGTGAAATATATGGGTCCGCTTAGTTTTACCTGGTCCTGGATAATATATGCAGTGTAGTTTGTGCTCGGTGTCAAGTCATCAATAAGCCACTGAGACCTCCACCCATCGCTGTTGCGCAACCAGAGATCGTTACTCACTACCAAGCCTGAGGAGGATGTAGAGTTAATACTACATGCTGTTTGCATGCCAGATGCAAGACCAGAGGAAGTGGGCGCAATGACGAGAGAGAATGCGGGAGGTGACGATGGCGGTGAAGGGATTGAAAGGTTGGCAGGAAGAAGTGTATAGTTGGGATACATTGGCGGCGAAGATTCTATGGGTGAGAATGGAGGCGAATATATCAGAGCCTGTGTATTGGTAGTATCTCCGAGGAATGGGAGTGCAGGAATTAGTCCATGCACGAGAGCTACTGGCAGTGTGAACAACTATTGAATTCAATGTTTATTTGATGTACATACCTCCTGTCGATGCAATAACTTGGAATGAGGTCTGACCAACATTTTGTACGACTAATGATCCACCTTGCTGTGTGGTGCCGGTCCAATTCCCGAATCCGCTATACAATTGGATTTCAAAAATATCGGTGGTAGATGCTGTGTTGTTATTCACGAAAAATGCTGGAGATGTCGTTCCAGTCGAGCAAATGGCGACGGATACCGTCAGCTGCTGAGCCTGTGGAAGGGAAAATGTGGGATCACTAGACAGAGAAGCTCCGGAAAAAGAATACAAAGTATTGAGAGTAAGTGACTCTTGTGCACTGACTTGAGCGAGTGTTGCATGTATAAGATACCAAAGAAACCGCGAAAGTGTATGCATCGATGAAGCCCGTCGATGTCGCGGTCAACTGCTATCAGTGAGAGCTGTGTGACTTGGCAACAGATATCGTTGTCGGGTATGTTGAAGTGGCTGCTTGGTGGCTGCACATGATGGCTATTACTAGAACTGTTTTAGTCATGCTCAAATTTAAGTTTCAGTCAATCATCATAGTTTATTCATGCATAGACCTCTTTGACTCAGTCTGGTGTCTTTCGATATACAAAATTGAGCGCTGAGCAGCGGGTTGGCCGCGGGACCCGTAAGAACGGTATGTTTCGTTCTTTTTCTCGTTTTTCAGCATCTGTGGAGTCACATTTACTTCGATCGTAGAGAGGTTCATTGAGAACCGAGTGCGGCGTGGCACATACAGTATGTTGATCTCCTTTTTGATCAATCTGTGCTGAATGTCTCGTTAAGAGTTTTAGGTCACCACAGCGCTCACCACCATGATGTAAAATCTCCCAAAGATACCGCGACCCTACCTTGTCGATTTTGGTCTCGCCATTCTAGTATCTGTGATCCCAAGACTAGGTTCTGCACAAACATAAAACACACCATCAATGAGGGAACGACGTCCATCGTGAATGTAAATACACATCAACGTTTAGCGATTCGTACCGTTTTCTTGGTCCATTCCCTCATGTTCTGCAGTTCAAGATTCACGATGCAGTCATCACGATAACTTCGTGTTGTTGGCCTAGACTCTAATATAGTATCTCGCGCTTCAAGACCGTCCTATCCTTTTTGGTACGACGAGGAACTCCATTACTCGATGCCGGGCCCTGGCGAATATCTTACACGAGGATGATGCTCCATCCGCTATCGTCGCTGTATACTTCAACGTCTCGTCTCATAATACAAGTATGATCTTTTTGGTTAACACTTACCTACGATTATCTGATAATCAATGCCTTTCTTTCAGAGATGCGATATAGTATCGCATCTATTTCTTCTTTTACAATGATCAATATGTTGATCGATAGTAACATCGTTAGCTCCTTGCTAATCTCAATGAATCCTGGAATCTCGTAACATTCTTAATCTCGAAGACCCCTCGGACTACATTTGAGCTCTTCTGAAGCGGCAGTAGCTGTCCTTTTCAACTCCGCTTCTCATAACGTAGCTTGCGTTCTGATGATTTCACGTGGTATCTCTATTGTTTCTGGCCTAGGTGCGAGTGTTGACAAAAACACAGGTTCAGCTTGAAAATCTCCAATCCGATGGCCTAGGAACGATCCTTGCCAGTACTTAAAGTGTAACTCAGTTTCCCTGGTATAAAACGCGGCAGACTGACACATGTCTATCAATATGCAAGCTCAAACCAATACGTTGATCTTCACAATCCGGAGTCTTGCAGATGAACCATTCTGGCGTCCCATCGTGACAATTCGTGATGAAGGCCGGCGTTCCTACCGCATCCACCTTTCTCGAATCCGTTCGCAAGACCAAGGCCATAATAACAACTTGTCACATGTTGGTTTTCATCGAAAATTCATACATCATGGGAAGCTGCCTGTTTGCCGCAGCTCTGGCGTAGATGCTTAGCAAACACTTGCCCAAAAAGGCGTTGCTGAGCTCGCATTCACAACCCTTGTTTGCTGAATCTTGATGCATTATCTCCCCATCGCTCTTCGAAATTCATCAAAGGACAATGCACGTGCAGTTACAATAGAACTCGAGGGGTTCTCAAACATCATACAGGGCATTGCCCACCGTTATGCGAATAAGGATTCTGCAAAAGGTAGCCAACAACTATATAGATTTCAAGAGACCATTTCTTCCTCATAATCTTGCCCCTGGGAGCGGAATTGCATCCATGATAGCATCTGGACACTCGTATTGAATCCAGTGACCGATACCGGTAAGAGCTCTAGCATTCAATCTTTCCACATCACGAGGAATGTGTTCGGTCTTACAAATACCAACGCCGAACTTTGGGTCTGACACGAGCACGGTGATCTTCACGTGAGGGGGGATGTTTTCAAGCAGGCTCTTGAAAGACCAAGGACTGTTTTGCTATTCGAGGCCCAATCAGTAATGCTCCCCATTCCGATGGCTGTGAAATTACCCGAAAAACCTCGACCGCCGTACGATCGCACATGGAGAATCCCAGCGTTCTTAACACGCAGTCACGGCGTGACCAAGCAGGATTCTTAGCCATATGCACGTCGACAGGCTTGATATTCGCCGTTTCCTTTAGAAATAGATTTAAGTTCATCTCGTTCTGTTCCTCTGTAAACTCAAGGCCAGGATCGAGGAGTATAACGGTGGTTTCTTTCATTTTGGGCAAGAATGGCAAGAGGGATACTGCCACTGCACCCCCGAAAGAATGACCGATGATTACGTCGTAGGACGTGTCCATGACGAAATATGGTCGGAGGTCCTCTGCAAAGGCGGATATACGGTAGTCGGTATTACCCTGTCTCCCTGCATGCGCAAGAAGATTCGGGGCCACAATAAAGAAACCTGGTCGATCTATCAACAGGGAACTTGAAGAACGTCACTATAGTATATCGAGCCTAACCTTCTGCCACCAATAGTTGAGCGAGACCCTCCCAGGAATTCGATGACATAGTAATGCCATGAATGAGCAGGGCTCGTCTGGTAGCGGTGAGGGAACCCCACTGGGTCGCTGAAATGGTCATCTGTGCACGCTGATATCAGGCTTTTTCAAGATTTTGAGAGCGGAGAAGGATGTTGGAATGAGGTTCGGAACTCAGTCCCCATTTTAAAGGTTGAGGGAGTGCCTATACCGGCAGATGGAATAGTTTTGGTTTAAGGTTTTTGACAAGCCTATAGCATATCGAAACCTAGATTACAGAATCAAATCATACGTTTATCGAACGTTGGATAGTGGACTTCCGAAGACGTCGCTCGCTCAGAAGTGGGCCTGCGACAGCCGTATCTGTAAAGGTGGGCTCAGGCGGCGAGATGACTACACGCGGTGAGAAAACAGGTTAGGGATATGACGTGGTAACCTAAATGCGAAAAGTCAAACGGAGGAGAGTGTAGAAAACTGCTATCAGTGGCTTCGGATAAAACTTGACATAAAACTAATACTCTATCGAATTGCTGTGAAGGAGTCTGGCGGTGCGACCGCACGGTCAAGCTGCTTTGATTACATCAATAATCTTTTGATCATCTAGTATCACAAAGACGGCGGTAAGAATGATACCCCTCCAGAACAAAGACTGACATGACTTACAGGTAGGTCGACCTCAGCATTAGCAGTAATTCGGGTGGTCTGATACCTGGTACTACTGCCTAGTGGCTTATTCGTCTCTCATAGAGTTGGATACACGTTGAGAGGATACGTAAGCCTTGCTCTCCCAGAACGAATACAGGCGTGCTCAATTCTTGAGTTGTCACGGTCGAGGAGTTGTCAACCCTTTGTTTGTACCATTGATTTCGGTTCCAAGAAAGGGTGAGAACCCGGTATGCCATCTGGGATGACCGATGACGGACTTCGATGTTTGAAGTTTGAAGTTTGCGAAAATCTCGGTCTGGCCAGCTCAGAGAAATAAAATTCGCCATTGATTATATGGGCCGCACGAGCCAGGGCCGGATAGCATACTCATGAGAGTACAATGACTGTGGTCATCATTGTTCCCATCAGCGAAAATGAAGTGCTCAAGTTCGAGGTGAGTGCGTTGCAATGAGATGCCCAACATGAAAGATGAAGCAGAAAGGACAGTTAAGAGCTCATGAAGCTCCCGTTTTGCTGCATAACAAGCACGCTGTGTTGTGTGACGATATGAGAATACGATTGCAAGGCAGAGTAAGCGCAGTGGGTGCGGTGCCCAAATGGAGCCTCACCCGGTCGGCTAAATTGTTTGGCTCTAAGGCACGGTGGGACTTGACAACTCTTGACTTAAGAATTGAGCACGCCTAGTAGTATCCCACGATGGCAGCGATTACCCCGCGCAATTCACGCTGAAACATAGAGCTCATTTCATCATTGGTCAACCTAGGGTGCACCCTCGGATGTGACTAGTTGACTGATAATCGATAAGTAAGTAAAGAAGGAAGTTTTGAAGAAGCTGGGTGCTGGCACCCCAACTGGGGTGTCCGTGTGCGACATTTGATTTTATTAGCACCTATGTGAGTCATTGAGCTCGTCAAGCTCGGGTCACATAATTAGATCTTTCACGTTACTAGTGCCTTGTTAATAACATTCCGAAGTAGATTGTCGGCTCCCTGAGGTACGTATGGACGGACCTTCAGTGACTACGTATAGTGGCTAATTATGGTCGAGGCTTAGGGCATTCCGCTTCCCCATACACTAATTTGGCTTCCGAATCGCGTCCTGTAGCGTAGCCTCTCCTTGACAGTACTTTGTTCATCAATCATGAATCAACGTTCAACTTCGATTTCGGTGTCTTTGGATTGCTGAGTGAGATCACTGAGATGAGGACACAATACACACATTATGATTACCAATAACTGGAACATGTATAGGGTGGTGAACGCGAGGTGGAACCGCAAGGTAGGAGAAAAAGAAAAATCTAGGATGCAGTGAAGAACACAAATGCGCCAGGTGACGATAACTGCCTACGAAACGAAGTCCAAGCCCAAGCCCAAGCGACCAGCTGAGCGTCCTTGACAGGACCTGCCGCAGGCACCCGGATCCCCTAGTAGGAAAGGGTCGGTTGACTGGGCACGCCAGAATGGTAGGTGACAGCAGCTTCGAACAATCGACGTCGGATAGCTCCTGCTACCCTTATTGCGTCGTTCTTCTCGTTTTGTTTGGAAGGATACCACTGGGCCTTTATCATACAACTTAATGGGACCGTGCATCACTGTAACCAAGTCTATACCTGGCCAGCTGTATTCAGTATTCATGACCCGCCGGCAAGGTGGTTCACAGGTTGTCGGGGACACCGAGAAGCTTCATCTCCAAGTTCGGTCAGCCTTTGATAGAATGGCCGAGTCATGAGCCAAACTCCATGTGCACGGCCGTTTCCGAACGACACTGGGAATCTTGCCACAGTGATTTGGCCGGTCTGCGAGGTCCATACAAACTGGATGCCTGTCAGTGGGTTGCTCGGATTCAGAAAGCGCCACGAAGTCGAGGCCGCCGCATGTTACTATCCTCCATCCTGCCTGGCTGCGGCCATCAGGATCTTTGCCTCCATCTCTTCTTATCTCTGTGAGTCTCTCACGCTTGCCTGTCTGGCTACTGCTTCTTCCTATTTCCTACCTGCCTGCCAACGCCATGTTGTTATCTGCAACTCCCAGTCTACCACAGCCATATGCTCCTCCAGGTGACCAGAACCGTAATGACAAGTTGACACAGATGACGAGAATGACATGACGGTATTTGAATCGGCGGGATGCGTGATGGTGGCTGAAGCGCTGACGTAGGGTAAACGGCAAGGTGGTTGCGATGATGCAAGACAATAAATCGACAGACCTTTGACCGCACGGAACTTTCCGATCACAGATATGTCCCCCTAGACGTTGCCCAGACGTGCCCTGGGCCAGACTTTGGCGTGGAATGTGCGCAGACTTCATACAAACTGGCCATTTTCTGCATGTCTTCGAAATGCATGTCCATGCAGAGACGAAACTGGATTGTACCATCACAGCCTAAAGTGATCCTCGTTTGTACCTGTTCCATAACACGATATAGGGGTTTTCCGATGCGAAGCACTGGTTAGCAGTTCTCCATAAAGATATGACAGCAGCGCTCAGCGCTCACTTGGCATGCTAGCCTTGTTAGACCTCGGACTGTGTCACGACTCACTATTGCTCAAGCTTTACGCTAGAGATTAATATAACTATACTCCATATCACAAGATGGTCGATTCCTGTGGTAGTGACCGAATGCAGCACAAACTTTGGATCAGGATCCGATACAGTCGCGACAGGCTAACCCGTAAGGACAATAGTCGCGGTAACAACTTGAGCACCGATATGATATAGGCGAGTACGCGTCTTGTAGTGTTGTCCGTACTACTGTCCTTCTCGAAGTTGTTGATGTGGAGCGTGCTTGCGATCACGGTGAACTTTGATCGGGAGAGCTCGCTGCTATCTTGCTGTATATTTTGCTAAGATGGGGAGCTACAGCTGGTCTGACCGGTCATGATGCGACGCAACGGGATTATACTGTCAAGATCAGTTATCTCCGAGGGTAATCCGAGGGAGGGTGTGACACACCTATCCTGGTACAAGGACAACCTGATGCCTCACACAATATTGTATATGTATATCGGTCCATATTAATTTCATCAACATGTGCTCCTTCATTTTGTCTTGCATCCATCCACACGCAAAAAGTCATGCTTCTAGGCAAACGTGCTTGCAAATTCGTCGACAAGCCCCGAATATACCGATGAGCGTTGAAAGCGGTCAGTAGATGTTCTAGGCTATGTCGAGTGCCTGCTTGGGCGCTGTTCCCAACTGGCAGGGGTGACGTTCACGCGATCTATTTTTGGAATATTCTATTATAACTTAACGGATATGAATTAATAAATTATAAACAGCAAGATTTGTTCGAAACTCCATCTCGTAAATTCTAGAAGCTGCTTAGGCTTTATGCAGTGGTCTCCATGTGAGAAATTTTGCTATCAAGGAAGTATGCTGTAACAGCGGCCATCGCAAAATATTATTTTATTTTAGTTTCTCCAGGGGCTTATTCAAGTTCCTTACCAGTCTTTTGGCTCCAAGTTGACTAGAATTTCGTCATAGAATGTTGATGACTAATATCGGCCAGAAGTTATAAGCCTTGCGTTTCGGCCACTTACCACATCCTTTTTCCTCAGCTTTACTGAATGGTACCGACCCCGCTTAATTCTTCCTCTCGTTCCCCTCGTCTTCTAGTTACTTCATTCTCGCTTCTATCGCAATATGTGCCCAGCATCACTCGCAAACTCCTTGGTTTTACATCAGATGACGACAGTCCTTCACCCCTCCACGCGTACGCAAAGCGTGCCGCTGCAAGCACTCGCGGTCCCGAGTTCATCGTCTTCGCGTGTCTCATTCCTGTCCTCGTCCTCCTATCAGGTGTATTTGCCGGTCTGACATTGGGTTACATGAGCTTGGACGAGACCCAGCTTAATGTGTTGAGCATGAGTGGCAGCCCGTCCGTTAGATTTATTTGTCTCCATATTGCTATCCTCATCGTGTCTTTTACAGTCAACAAAAGCGCTATGCTGAGAAGATTATGCCTATCAGGAAAAATGGCCATTTACTCCTGGTCACATTACTTCTCGCTAATATGATCGTCAACGAGACTCTACCTGTCATCTCCGACCCCATTCTCGGTGGTGGAGTGCAGAGTGTAGTCGTCAGTACCGTGCTAATTGTCATGTGAGTACATTCTCATCGGCCAGTTCTTCAAATCTTTTGGCTTGTCGCCTTGCTTTTGATCCGGGATTCTTGACGCGCCCTTTTCTGATCCGCAAAATGAATCTTTCAGGGGACATCTCACTTATTGATGCGCCTTTAAACTTCCCCACATTCTTACGTTTCTATTTAAATCTTGCTCATCCAAAATTGCTTCTAGCTTCTCCGAAATCATTCCGCAATCATTATGCACCCGACATGGTCTTTACTTCGGCGCTCAAATGGCAGGCTTCACTCGAGTCCTAATCTGTCTTCTTGTACGTCATTACATGCCCCCATTGAGCATATGGACCAATTTATAACAGGGTGTCTTGGCATGGCCTATTGCGAAACTTTTGGAGTTAGTACTTGGTCCCCATCATGGAATTATGTACCGCAGAGGAGGTAGAAGCCCATGTTTCATATCCATAATTATACTGATTATTTTCTTCTCTGC